TAAAAAGTAAAAGTAAAAGTTAATAAAGCTAATATGTTATATTTAATATAATAATTAAAAAAAAAAATAAATTTACTTTTTATTTTATAAAAATATTTAAATTTTTAATAGCTATATTAATATTAATTATTAAAGTAAACTTTAATAATTAAAAAAATATAATTAATAAATATATTACTAAGTAAATTTTAAAAATATTTAAAGCTTTTATAAAAAAGCAAAAGTTATAATAAGATAAGTAAATAAAAAATTAAAAATAATAATAATAATTAAAATTATAATAAGGTAAATTTTAAAACTTAAAGGCTTAATTAAAAATAATAAAGTTTTATTTTAATAATTTTTATAATACTTATTGCAAAGTACTTAAAAAAAGGTATATTAATAAGTATAGGAAATTATATAAGAAATAATATTATATTAAATTTTAGCTAATTATAAAAAGCTAACTTTTATATTTATTTTAAATATTCTTTTAAGAAATTAACTTTTTTCTTTTCTTATATATTTAGTGCTTTAATTAAGCTTTTTTTATTTTTAAGAATTTTTAAAATATTTATCTTTTTCCTTTCTTTAATTCCTTTTTATTCCTATCTTCCTTCTTTATTGCGTTAAAGCTCCTTCTTAAGTTATTCTTAAGAGGGTTTAGTAAAACCTATCCCCCATTATTTAGGTGGCTTGTTTTTAATATATTACTTAAAGCATATTAATAAGCAAAATTTATAATATAATAAATAAAGTAAATATTAAAATTTCCTTAGTTATAATAATTAAAATAGCTATAAAATAACTCTTATTATTAAATATACCTTTAATTATTTATATAAATTTATATAATTTATATAAATACCTTATAAAGCTAAAAATAATAAAAAAAAGCACTTTATAATTAATATTATATTATTATAAGAATTATATAAAATAAAAAAGATTGCTAAAATAAGGTAAATAAATAGGAAAGATAACTTTATTAATATAATAATAAAATTAACTTTAAATATTATATTATAAAAGCTTATTAATAATAATAAGCTTTATATATAAATAAATAAGTTAGTTAAGAAATTTAAAGTAGCCCTTTTTTGCTAAGAAAGGAATAATTTATTATTAATATCTTTTCCTTTTAACCTTATTGCTATTAGCTATAAAACCTTATACCTTTTAAACTTAAACCCTTAATATAAACTTTAACCTTTTATACTTTAATTAAAACCTTCTTAATACCTTATTATATATAAGGATAACTTTATAATTATTAATATTATTAATAATTATTATTATTACCTTTTATTACTATTTATTAATAATAATATTAAAACTAACTTTTATTAAATTTATTTACAACTTATTAACTTTTTTTATAATTAAAAAATAAATTAATAATTATTATATAATAATTATAAAATTTTATATTATAAATATTTATTTTAATTATTAAATTTCTATAAAATCTTTTCCTTTTTATTATAATAAAAAATATTAATAATAACTTATAAAAATTATTTAATATTTTTATTAATATGCCTTATAAGAATAATAATAATAAGTAAAATTATTTAGCAAACATTATATTTACTTTCCGCATTAAGGATATACTTAATATAATTATTGCTATAACTGCTATTAATATAATTAATATTAAAGGTAGCCTTATTATAACCTTTAAATAAAATTAAGATTTCCTTATAAATATTATAATTATAACCTTAATTAATAAAATAAATATTATAATTATAACCTTAATTAATAAAATAAATATTATAATTATATTCTTATTAAGCAATAAGATAAAAATTAAAATTATTATTAAGGCTATAAAAAGAGCTAAAATTACCTTAATTAATAAGGATAAAGATAAGCTTATTAATTTTGCTAGTTTTTATAGCAAGGTTATTATTAATAATGCTTATTTAATAAATATTAATAAGGATATTAATAATAATAACTCTTATTTATTTACTTATTTAATAAATATTAATAAAAATATTAATAATAATAACTTTTATTTATTTAATATTAATAGCAATTTAATTATTATTAATAATAAAAATAATTAAAACTAGGTTAATAAAACCTTAATAAAGATTATAAAAATTACCTTTAACTTTATTTTTATATTAAGCATTAAAAAGAGTAAGCTGCTTATTAAGATAAATTCCTAAGGAATTATTAAAATTAATAAGCTAAAGGCTATAATTATAACTTAAGTTAAAATACTTTTCTTAAATAATATTATTATAATAGTTATTATTTAAATTATTAATAACTTTTAATATTAAAATAAGTAAATATTTTTTAATAATATAATTAAAAAGTTATATATTTATATTAAAAGCATTAAAACTTTTAATATAAAATTATATAGCATTCTTAATAATAAGAATTATTAAGGTAATTATTATTTTAAATATTAAATTATTGTAATTTTTATAATAAATAACTTAATAAAAGTTTTAATCTTAAGTATTTTTTATATATATTAAATTAAAAAAATTTAATTATTAAAGGATTAAATTATTATGCTAATTTAACTTTAAAACTTTTTATATTAAATTATTAATAAATATATATAAAGCTTATATATAAAGAAACTTATTAAGAAATATATATTATTATTTAAGTAATTTAAGCAAAAGATAATTATTAAGGAAATTAAAAAGAATAATAAAAAGTAAAAAAAATAATAATAAATAATTAAGTTACTTATAATACTTAATTTTAAAAAAATAAAAAGTAATTAAAGGAAATTAATTTAAAATAATATTAAATGCATTTTAATAATAAGAATAAGGATAAAGATAATAATATTTATATTATAAAAATATATAGTAAAAATAAATATAAGCTAAAAGGTTTAGCATTAACTTTATAAGCATTAACTTTCTTTATAAAAAAAAAATTTAAAATTAAGGCTATTATATAAAAGTTAATAATTTTTATAAATAAATAACTTTAAAAGCTAAATATTAAAAATAATAAATATAATATTTAAAAAATAATATAATAATAATAATTATAAGTTTAAAGAGTAATATAATAATAAAAATTATTAAGATTTGCTTTAAAACTTATAAGTTATAATTTTAAGCCTTTTTAATAATATTTTTTTATAATAAAAGTTATATATATTTAATATATAATAAATTATAATTTTAAGGCTAATTATAATAAGAATTATTAATTATAATAAGAATTATATATATTTATTAAAAAGAAAAGAAAAACTATAAGTATTAGTAAGTATAATCCTTATACTTAAAAGGCTACTTTAATTATTCCCTTTAAGGCACGTAGCCTTTTAAAACTTAAATAGAATAATATCAATACATGATTGCTTCCCATACAATTATCATACGTACGAGAGACCTACCAACACTGGCGTTATGGACGACCATCGGTGCTCCTTTACTTATTATTTATAGAGGATCTCTTCGCCAGTTGGTCTGTCTCCATGCTTAAGCACACCATCCCTGCTGACACTTGACAGAAAGCTTCCTTGGTCGTTTCTGATCCCGCTCAAGTTCTTTTTCCTCTTCGCTGGAGCTCCTCCAAGCAACTTACATCAAGCCGGTCTCTTGACGCCATTGTCGGTTACCATCGGCCTCATTTGCGTCATCATTTACGACGAGGCCATCCCAGCGGTCCCAAGGGGCCGCATACTCGGCGAGATCGAATCCGGAGGTGATAGCCACGTGTGATCACCAAATCGACTTGCAATGGCCTTCTCAAAGATGCTTGATCTTGGATTATCCGGTTCCACGTGAAACTTGCAACTAGACAATTGTCGTTTGGTCATAAAGTCTTGCCTCTCGTCATATGCAAGGACTCATTGGTCGCTGAAGCGGAAGAAACGCATATGATGCCTGTCACAGCAGGTAAAAGGGTGTGCTGATTAACTAGGGAATGCGATAAGCGTGTACTATCATACCTGCCTTTAAGCAAACTGACTTTTTAGAATTCCTTCTACTTCACATTAGGAGCAACTGGTCACTGAAGTGAAATGCTGATAGCCTTACAGTCAAGTTCTATCACGATATTTACCGCTGCACTACTATTGCAAAAGTGGTACCACCAATTGCTCTAGGCACGCAGTGTTTATATCGTCACAAGTTCACACCTAACTCGAAGTGATTGAACTCCTTTTTTTTTCGGCCTCGCAGTTGTCTAGCTACTTGGATAGTTAAGTGTATCGCTGGATGGGTCACTGCCCTCCTTTGAATGAAAGTTGGTCACGGCCTCTCTGATGTGTCTCCGGAGTTCCGAATCGGAAGCCTTGTATCAACCAGCAATTTTGTTCTAGATTATGAGTATGAGATCGATGGTATTCAATTCTGGGGCGCGCTAAAAGGGACGCCGTGTGGTATCTGTTAGAGACTGTCCATTGTCTTTTCACTATTGCTGAAGACATCTAACCAACTTGATAGGCCTTGTACACTTGAATGCCGCCCTCAATGCTCTGGATCAAGCCGAAAAGCAATGTGAGTCCAATCGCGAACCAGAGGGAGTACCACTGAGCTCCATTGCTATCAAACCAGGCCTGTTTCAAGGTAGTTTGCCGAGGGTGCTCGAATCTCTGCAACAGTGCGACCAGGCGATCATGCCAGTGTCTGAATTCCCCGATGTCCCTCTCTCGTGCGTTGCACGATAGAACAGCTTTGTCTATAATGTTGTCTTTGCGCTGCCTAAGATACCATTTCTCTACTTCCGTGTCTCCTTTCGGGAACAGCAGTGCCAGAGTGTTTAAGGTCTCTTCTACAAGACCATCTGGGAAGAAGGCGCTTGGAGAGTCATCAGTAAATGTAAACATCTATTAAAAAAGTAAACTTCACTGATTACTCATCCTGATTCAATAGAAAAGATGCGTGGTGGTAAATAAGAACAGCATCTTTCTCCGGAAGCAATAGAAGGTGGTCGGCCAGATTTGTTGTCAACATGACACTGAGCCCACCTATTCGATCAAGCTGTCTGACGTTGAAAGTAGCCTCGATCTTGATACCATCATGGCTTCTTCGCACGGTCCCTGGGAAAATCCCGTGGAGGAACTCCCGCAGCGTTCCACTGTCCCAGGTAATGCTTTGACGGCCACTGAACGAGGTTGCAGGGAATCGGCCGACATCTCACATGGTCATCAGACGCACCACCAGGTCGATCGCGCCGTCAAGGACCTCAATCTGGTAAGTATCGGGATTGCGAGTCTGGAGTATCTCCCTGAGCTCGGAGCGAGAGAGGCCCTGGCGTAGAAGGGTGCGATGAATTTCACGTCTTGCTGCGACTGAAAAGGAATTCGCCCTCTGAACGCATGGTAGACCATTTTGCATTGCTCACTGTAGAATTTGAAGAACGGCTGCATCTGCGCCACAGAGATCCAACATCGGCGACTTCGTCCGTTTCGGAAAATGTGTCTTGTATTTCACTGCCGCACACGTGCTTTTGCTGGACCAGAATACGGTAAATCAACGGCAATCACAGGATGGTGACCTGAATGACTTGGCCGGATGCGAATCCGATTACTTCAGTGAAGACGACTCTGCCTACGAGTCTGAGGACGACGATGGATTCATCGATTATTCAGCACTGAGCCAACAAAATTCGTTACCTCCAGCGCAAGCCATGACCATTCGCGGACCAAATTCGTCATGTCATAGTTCATCGCTCAGTCCTAAATTGGAGCTATGTTGCAGGCCGCCACAATGCGACGATGCTTCAGTTATTCCGTCATCCTCAAAAGCGCCAAATTTCATCAATCAAGTTTCCTTCAAATCACACGAGCTGGACTTTGCATTGCGCGACCTTTCGAACCTCGAAACGCCTACTTGTAATATCCCAGAGCTTAAAGCTACCACTGTGTCCCTAATCGGGGCCGGATCGACAGAGGTCGTCGCCTACGCAGGATTAAGGCGAAATCTCAAAGGACGGATGAGCGGCCGCTCGTCCTACATACGCTTTCCTTACGGAGGCATATATCAAGAGGTCTACCCGGTTGTCTTCGAATCTGGCATCCAGGTTGGAGATTCGGGCATTATGGTACGAGACGCTGGAAGCGGGAAGATCTACGGCCATATTGTCGTTGCAAGCATTGCGAGCAGGACGGCGTTCATCGTTCCCGCAACAAAAGTTTTGCAGGAGATCCCCTGGTTGCCACCAGTTGCTTCGCCAATCTACATTCGCCTGGATTACGACTCAGGCCGTTTCCGCCTTGTTCGACTGCTGCCTGCAAGCTCATCTGACGACGGCATTTGTTGCGAACTCTCACTTGCATGTCTGAGACCGACCGAAATACGAAGTCCCGTCGTACGTGCGGCAGGAGCAAGAAGACCTCAGGCCGATACTTCTCAATGGCCAGCCGTGGAGTGCGGGAATTGGTATCGCAGCTGCGTTACGGAGACTGAGGTACGAAAGCACAGATAGATATTTGTGGATTGATTCACTATGCATAGACCACAACGACCTCAAGGAGAGCTCTGCTCAGTTCAGACTCAAAAGAAGGATCTACGGCAAATCCAAAAGGTGTCTTATCTGGTTGGGTGATGTGCACCATGGAACGTCTTCATCTACTGACTGGACGTTTTCATTCACGAGTCCGTCGTCGGGTCAGCCTTCCCACTATTCCAGCCCGCTCGCCATGTCGCAGCAAGACGCCCAGTTAGCTTTTGGTCTCATCGCCCAATTTGGGAGTTTAAACAAGCACAAGGAAACCTCAAAGGGTGATAAATTTGGGATTTCCGTCGATTCGGAGTCCCAAAAAGCTTTGGGCAAAATGATGGCTCTCCCTTGGTGGAAACAATTCTGGTCGTTCCAGGACTCAATCGTCACAAGAGCTGCGATCTTGATTTGCGGTACAATGAGTATGGACTTAGATGCTGTCGGGGAAAGTGCATTCACGCTACGAAAATTCCTCAGGCAAAGAGCGTGGCACAGCCGAAGTGATGGGCTGGACTTCAACGTTCTGATTCCATTTCTGCACACCGTCGGCCGACTGCATCGTTTCCGGCACTACCGATTGCCTAACGAATTCAACTTCGCTATGGAAGCCCTCCGAGACCTATTTTGTTCAGATGCTCAACACAAAGTACTCTCCATTTGGCATTATTTCTACGACATCGAAATTGCGCATGGTATCGACTACTCACGTCCAATGGATCAGATCTGCGAGGAGTTCACTGCTCGTCAGCTTTTTTCAAACAATACTCTCTTCCCCCTGGCAAGAACGACAGAGGTCGGACGAGATCCATCGCTCCCATCATGGGTACCAGACTGGTCGGCCTCCATTGGAAACAAATCAAGCTTCGACAGCGAACTCAGCTTCCTCATGTCCTGGAAGACGTTTGATGCGTGCTCCGGGAAGAAAGCTGTCATCAAAATCAGCGATCATATGCTACTAGCTCAAGGTGTACTTATTGACACAGTGTCAGCGACGTACAGCCAAATGGAATCCGGCATTGATGCATCCGACACGACCCCCCAGTTGGCGTCCCATCTTGGGCTGCCCAGAAAGGGGAAGACAAGCCAACCAATCGGAGAAACTCCTTTCAAAGGCAGGACTCGTGGAGTGAATATCCAGAACCTTTGGCGTCTCTTAACAAGTGACATTCGAATAGGAGAACACGACGAAATGGAATGGAGGCGGGCCCGCGATTCAGACCGAGACGTCTGCCTGTGGGAATACCGATCCGGACTCTTGGGTCACGGAGTGAGCGGGAAAATGCTATTTTCGACCAAGATGAGGTACTGTGGACTGGGACCAGTGGATATGAAGGTCGATGATTTTGTTGTCGTACTGTATGGTGGGAGATTCCCTTTCATTCTGAGGCCAGCTCAAAACTCCACGTACAACCTAGTTGGCTATGCTTACGTGCCCGGTATTATGGACGGAGAGGCGGTCTCACATTCTGAAGAGACACGCACCTTTCAGATAATATAGCAGCGTTGCGGCTTCCAGGTACCCAACTAGTATGGTTGTACACAATGGTAGGGGAAAGCACCTGACTCCCTGCAGAAAAAGTGTTTCTCGATGTAGCCATGACACTGTTGTACGACCACTCGAGCTTATGTAAATGTGAGTCCATCCTGTTTTGGACAGCAATGACTGGAAGCAACACGGTAACAATATATGAAGGACTTCAGATCTCAAGCTTAATCGTTGGATGAGCAGTGATTTCGCAACTTCCTTTTAAGCGAGCACGAATAGGAGGAGACCCCAGCATGAGAAACCAACTGTCTAGGCCCGCAAAACTGTGGAAAAGTTTCTAGGCGCTGAATCAATTGGTTTCATCTGAAAAAAAAAAAAAAAGGTAGTATATGAATGAAGAAATTTGTATCTGCCGCTTCTCATAGGGAATCATCAAATAAATAGTCAAGAGCGTCGCGAGGGTGGTCAAGGCCCTCTGCCTGACGTTGAGCCCCCGATCCCGAATAGGAAACTCGATCCTTGAAACTTACATGGGGCTGAGATCATTTGGACCGCGTGACAGCGCGTTGGGTTGTAATGACGCTAACATGTTCCTCCACATCTCATGCACGTCGGACATAAAAGGAGTCGAGAAGTCATATCGGCATAGAGGTTGACAGAACAGTCCAAATCTTTGTGAGATTCATGGAGTTTGATACCACTAAATTGTACCGCAAGTCCAGGTACGAGAGAACGTGACAGTCGGACAAGCGACACCGATCGTTGCCAACCGACCAAGAGATGGAGGACGCAGCTGCCAAGGAGTTTAGCCATGGCCATCCTGTTGACCTGGACGGAGAAGCGGTAGTCGTCGTGACCGGTGCAGCGGGTGGGATGGGAAGGGCGATCGCCGAAGCCTTCGCCGACCAGGGCCGGGCTCTGCTCCTGTGCGACCTAGCGCCCCTGACCGAGGCGCAAGCAGCCATCACGGCGTCGCGGCCGCCGCTCCCGCTGATCACGACGGTGACGGGTGATGTCTCAGACCCGGGATTCGGGGACAAGGTCATCTCTGCGCTTAATGGGCGCAAAGTCAGCGTCCTCGCGCATGCAGCTGGGGTGGCGCCGTCATTCAAGAACGGCCGTCGGATATTTGATATCAACTTCACCGCCAGCAAGAGCCTGGTTGAGAAGATGCAGCCATACATGGAAGCCGACAGCGCCATCGTCCTGGTGGCCTCGCTGTCGGGCACGTTCATCACCACGTTTCCAGTCGACATGGCAGTCAAGAGGCACCTCAAGGGCCACTGGTCTCCTACGGTATGGCTCATGAAGCAGTGGGCCTACACATCATATGCCATTTCGAAACGCTGTGTGCAACTCTATGTACAGAAAATGGCTACGAGTCTCGCAGAGAAGAAGGTGAGGATTGTGAGTGTGTCGCCTGGGGTTATTGATACGGACATGATGGCGGGTTATGCTGAACAGCCGGCGCTGGCCACGTTTGTGGGGTCCTCGGGGCTGAAGAGGATGGGTAGATCAGAGGAGGTTGCATCAGTGGTAGCTTTCCTTGCATCGCCCGGTGCGAGTTATTGCACTGGGATTGATGTGCTAGTGGATGGTGGCTTGACTGCTCAGAAGGGGAGGGCCACATGGACGACTCTGCGGGCCCTAAAGTCGCGGCCTAAGTAGGAGAAGTGAGATGAGGGCAAGCTTGGAATGAACTGACTGTGAATAAATCCCCGGTGAATTTGATATTTCTCTGAAACTACGCTGCCAGGAATGAAAACGGTTTTGAGGTTTACTGAGCTGAAACGAGGGACAGACAAATTGGAGCACTGCACCGTATTTGAGCTGCTAGATAAACGCCCGTTTTCATGTGAAGTCCAAAGTGGAGACCGTTAGCTTGCAAGGGTGTCCCATGTGGCAGTAGATCCATGCAGCGTTTCCCCACATTGGATTCATATGGTGGGGGACGACGACAATTTTCTGTGCCGCCTGCAAGCTCCAGCTCCAAATTCCGCGACAGACAATTACACACGCCGCAAAGAGTCATACTCCTCTCCCACACGAACCCTCCCAAGGCAACACCATTATTCCCAGCATCATATGCGCTCTCGATAGCAATGCGAGCATTCCAGAAGAAACCGACGCACGGACCGTGACAAAGACTTCCCCAGTCGTGAACTGCAAGCTGGGACCGCCGACATCGACAACAAAACAGAGAGACACAGACCCAGACGACATTATACCCTGCACACAGTCGGACTCGCTATCTGACACCAGTCCCTCGTAATGGCGGCTCGAGGCCCGTCTGCGACTGTTCCTATGAAGGAGCAGGTCGTGGACAACCTACCAAAGCGGTTCAAGGAGATGAAGTTCGGTGTACAGTACGGCCTCCTCGTCCCTCCTACCTCCTTCTGGGCCAGCCCGAGCACACGCTGACACGCAATGCCAATAGGTCGATCCAAGATGTTGTCAGCCAAGGCGTCCTGGAGGTTTCCCAGCGCACACTCTACGATATGGACAACAATCGAGCCCCCGTCGCGAACGGCGCCCTCGACCCGCGACTCGGAATATCTAGCAAGATCGGCAAATGCTCGACATGCAATCTTCCTCTCCAAAACTGCGTCGGCCACTGGGGCCACGTCAGGCTCGCCCTTCCAGCTTTCCACATAGGCTACCTCCGATTTACCCAGACCATCCTCCAGAACATTTGCAAGGACTGCGGAAAGGTCCTCCTGACCGAAGACGAGCGACGGGAGTTCCTGAAGGAGTTGAGGCGACCGGGCATCGATAATCTCAGGCGGACGATGATCTGCAAGAAAATCAACGAACAGTGTAGGAAATGTAAGGAGTGCCCGTTCTGTGGGGCCATCAATGGGCAGATCCGCAAGCTGGGAGTGATCAAGCTGGCACACGACAAGTTCGCGACCTACAACAAGTCCACGGCGCAAAAAAAGGTGGCACCGGAGAGCAAGCTCCAGTATGACGCGTCTTTCAAGGAGGCCAAGAAGTCGAAACCCGGACCTCGAAAAGCACGTTAAGAAAGCCATGGAGGATCTCAACCCCCTCAGGGTACTGAATCTGTTCAAGCTGATTGGCCCGACCGACTGCGAGCTGCTTGGGATAGATCCTGCCGAGGGAAGGCCAGAAATGTTCTTGTGGCAGTTCATCCCCGCGCCTCCGATTTGTATTCGACCATCGGTGCAGCAGGATAGTTCCAGTACCGAGGACGACCTTACTGCCAAACTTGCGGAAATTGTCTACATCAGTGGCCTTATACGTGCAGCTCTCGACAAGGGACAACCAATAACGACCATCATGGAACAGTGGGAGTACCTACAACTGCAGATCGCCATGTATGTGAACAGTGATGTGCCGGGTCTGGTGCAGCCCGGCTTCGGCAAGGCCGTCCGGGGCTTCTGTCAGCGTCTGAAGGGAAAGCAGGGTCGTTTCCGTGGAAACCTGTCTGGAAAGCGTGTCGACTTCTCCGGCCGAACCGTCATTTCGCCGGATCCCAATCTAGGAATCGATCAAGTTGCTGTACCTCAACTTGTGGCCAAGAACATGACATACCCGGAACGTGTCAATTCTACCAACATCGAAAAAATGAGAATAGCTGTCAGAAACGGCACTAAGGAATGGCCAGGAGCCAACGGCATCATCAAAAAGGATGGCGGGTACAAGGTGAATCTGAAGTTCGGAAACAGAGAACTGATAGCAAATGACCTTGCGGTGGGTGATGTTGTGGAGCGCCACCTCGTTGATGGAGACGTCGCCCTCTTCAACCGACAGCCATCGCTACACAAGCTGAGTATCATGAGCCATTTGGTAAAGGTCCGGCCTTGGAGGACATTTCGGCTGAACGAGTGTGTGTGTACGCCATACAACGCCGATTTCGACGGAGATGAGATGAACCTGCACATTCCTCAGACAGAAGAGGCCCGAGCTGAAGCCATCACACTCATGGGGGTCAAGCACAATCTGGCCACGCCCAAGAACGGAGAGCCTATCATCGCAGCCACACAAGATTTCATCACAGCGGCATATCTTCTCAGCAGCAAAGACAGGTTCTTTGACCGAAAGAGTTTCACATATATCTGCGAAATGATGCTGGAGGGCAGTGGTCACCTCGACCTTCCACCCCCTGCCATCCTGAAGCCTACAGCCATGTGGACCGGCAAACAGATCTTCAACATCCTTATCCGGCCCAATCTGCAGTCTCCAGTCAAGGTCAACCTGGATGCCAAGTGCAGAGAATATAAGCCACGGCCCGGAATGGCCCCTGACATGTGTCCAAATGACGGCTGGCTGGTAATCCGAAACTCAGAAATCATGTGCGGAGTCATGGACAAGTCGACTGTGGGATCTGGAAAAAAGGACTCAATTTTTTACGTGATACTACGAGACTATGGCCCGGACGCCGCGGCTGGTGCCATGAACCGGCTTGCGAGGCTCTGTGCGAGATCCTTGACAAATCAAGGATTCTCGATCGGAGTCGGTGATGTGTTCCCCATCAACGGCCTGACCGAGTCCAAAGACAAGCTCGTTGAGGTTGCTTACAAGAAGTGCGACGAGCTGATCGCCACGTACAAGGCTGGAAAGCTGGACAAGGCACCCGGTTGCGACATGGAACAGACCCTAGAAAACTCGATCTCAGGTATTCTCAGTAAGGTCCGTCAAGAAGCTGGTCAACAATGTGTGGACACACTGAGCCACAACAATGCACCACTTACCATGGCCAACTCGGGTTCAAAAGGTTCAGCCATCAACGTCGCTCAGATGGTTGCCTGTGTCGGACAACAAATTATCGGAGGTCAGCGTGTGCCGGATGGTTTCCAAGACCGAAGTCTTCCTCACTTCCACAAGAATGCTCGCCAACCCAACTCGAAGGGTTTCGTCCGGAACAGCTTCTATACTGGTCTGGTCCCGTCCGAGTTCCTCTTCCACGCCATTTCTGGAAGAGAGGGTCTGGTCGATACGGCTGTCAAGACAGCCGAGACTGGTTACATGTCGAGACGACTGATGAAGTCGCTGGAAGATTTGTCAACGGGCTACGATGAGACGGTCCGTACATCCAATGGCGGAATTGTTCAATTCCAATTTGGCGCGGATAACCTCGATCCCGTCGATATGGAAGCCTCCGGAAAGCCTGTTCACTTCGACCGCACATGGACACATGCTGAGACCCTGACGTGGGACAACACGGAGCCGACATTGCTACCCCATGAGATCATTGAAGTTTGCAAATCAATGTTGGATGTTGAACGTGCCAAATATGTGAGGCGACGAATGACGGACGGCAAGGTGCTCGCCTACGACGACGACAGCAACATGTCGATCGACGAGCATGAGAGTGCCCGTATCTTCCTCAGAGATGTAGAAGGGTACGTGGCAGCTCGTGCGAAGAAGCTTTCAAGAGCGAGAGGAGAAGTTGGATTAGACCCGGACGACGGCGACGCAATGGAGATCGACACGTCTGTTGAGGACGAAGTCAGTTTAGCACGTGTTGAACGTGTTGCCAAGGTTTCTCGGACTACATTGCAGAAGTTTATTCGACTCTGCCTGGACAAGTATAAACAAGCGCATGTGGAACCCGGACACGCGGTCGGGGCTGTCGGAGCCCACTCCATTGGAGAGCCGGGTACGCAAATGACGCTTAAGACGTTCCATTTTGCTGGTGTCGCCGGTATGAGTATTACTCAGGGTGTGCCTCGTATCAAAGAGATTATCAACGCATCCAAGAACATCAGCACGCCTGTCATCACGTGTCCTCTGGAGAACAAGAAGCAGATCGAGGTTGCCAAGGTCGTCAAGGCCCGTATCGAGAAGACCTACGTGTCAGATGTGATCAAACACATTGAGGACGAGTGGCTTTCTGACCGAGGCTTGATCGTTCTCGAGGTCGATATGGACGTCCTTCAGGATATGCACTTGGGCATTGGCCCAAGAGACATCGCAGAGGCCATCGTCAGGCACAAAAAGTTGAAGGTGCTACGAGAGGATATTAACGTTGGTCCGTCGTACATCGAGATCAGCGTGCGCAACACTTGGACAGATCTCGCCGAGCAGAAGCGGTTGGCCAGGAACGGCAAGTCCAGCACCGTGATCGAGAGTGCCTCAGATCTCCTGCTGCGCGTCAACTACCTCCGCCGCATGCTACCAACCGTGGCAATCTCGGGTTACCCTGACGCCACCCGAGCCATTATCCAAACGTCGGAGAACCTCGAGCATACCGTGCTGGTCGAAGGATACGGGCTGCGTGCGTGCATGACGACGGAGGGTGTTATTGGCACCAAGACGCGATCCAACAACGTGATGGAGTGCCGCGACATCCTCGGCATCGAGGCAGCGCGGAGCACCATCGCCAACGAAATCGCAGAAGTCATGGGCGACATGGGCATCGATCCTCGGCACATGCAGCTCCTCGCTGACGTGATGACATACAAGGGCGACGTCCTGGGTATCACTCGGTTCGGCCTGCAGAAGATGCGCGACTCGGTCCTGCAGCTCGCTTCGTTCGAGAAGACGGCCGACCACCTGTTCGAGGCGGCGGCGGCCATGAAGACGGACAAGATCGAGGGTGTGTCCGAGTCTATCATCATGGGCCAGTCTATGTCGATCGGTACGGGGTCGTTCAACGTCGTCCGCCGGATGGGCCTGCCGGACTGGTTCCTGGAGAAGAAGCCGACGCTGTTTGAGGACGCGTGGGGCCAGAACGTCAAGGCCAAGAGGGAGGCTCGAGTAGCGAGGGCGGCGGCAGGGCGGAATGGGGATGCGCTGCGGGCGATGGCTGCTGCTGCATAGGAAGCATGGGCAGTTATTAGGGCCCGGGAGCGGTAGGCCGCCAGGCGATGTCGCTCTGGGAAGTGAAGATGGTGTGGATGGACTTGGATGGTTCAAGCGATCAACAGGTTGTACTACTACGGTAGAAGTTACCCTGTCTCTATTATAGGAACAAGAATTGTGTTCTGGTCACCTCACGCACTCAGGCCTCACGTGGAGCTTTAATTCTTGAAAAAAGAAGTTGTCTGAACGTGCATGTAGCACTTGTCTGCTGATATACTGGAGACATGAATATGTACAAAGAATTCCCTAACCCACATCCGCACGTCACGTCGGCTGGGCATCCCCAACTCCGCATCAAGAACCCAACGCCAAGATCTTGGCCGCCGCGTGCTCAGCAGCAATGACAATCGTCGCAGACGGGTTCCCCGTCAGCTGTCCAGGGAAGATACTGGCATCCAGCACGAACACGTTATCCGTGCCGTACACCTTGGCATTGGTATCAACAACCGCCGTGCCCCCGGCAGACCCATCATCAGTGCCCATCTTGGCCGTGCCCATCCAGTGGTTCGCCCTCCGGCCGTTGGCCGTCACCAGCAGCGAGTCGACGTACGCCTCGGCGGTCTGGTTCGCCCTGGGGCGCACCCACTCGAGCCCGGGGATGCCGCGCAGCGAGTCCTGGACGCTCCTGATGCCGGCCACGACCGCCAGCCTGTCATTCTCGTCGTGCAGGAACGGCTGCGTCGAGACCGTCATGCTCAGGCTGCCCGTGATGGTCGCGCGGCCGCGGGACACCTGGCCGCGCCCCAGGTACTGCGAGATGGTCATGGCGTGGGTCGAGTTGGTGAAGGCCGAGTCGCCCTCGACGCGGGCGGTCCACTGCAGCTGGCGCGTGACGCCGTCGGCGCCCTTGATCTCCTCCCAGAGCATGGGGCCGATGTTGGGGGCCGCCTGGGCGAGGATCCCCGTGCGGTTGCCGAGGTAGGCCTGCTTGTCGGACTTGATTGGCCTGTCCCAGGCGGCGTAGAAGTCGTAGAAGACCACGTCTGGGTGGGTGACTATCACGTCGGTCTGGAGGCGAGGTTGGTTAGCTGGGGAGGGGGGAAAGAGGGGAGGGGGGAGGCTTTATGTGGGTGGTGGGTGGTTACTCACGTTCATCTGCTCGACGAGGTTGGACCCAACAGGCAGGTTGATCCACGAATCATTGCTGATCAACTTGGCGCCGTCGGCCGAGGCCTGCACGATGGACAGCTGGTCGGCAGGCCCGATGCCGCTCCTGAACAGCAGCTTGGGCGTCCCGAAGGCGCCCGCCGACGAGATGACCCTCCCGGTGCCGGGGGTAAGGTTCACGGTGCCCGAGTACCCGGACCCGGCGGAGCACGAGACCTCGACACCAGTAGCGTGAGACCCCTTGCGCACGATGCGGTCGACGGCGGTGTCGGTCCACAGCGCGAAGACGTCCTTGCGCGCCGCGGCGCTGGCGAGGTACGTGGCCAGGGGCCCGCCGCGCTCGCCGCCGCCGAACATGAACTGCCCGTGGCCGAAGGTGCGGTTCTTCTTCTCGGGGACGTCGTTGCCGACCACGTACTCCCACCCGCTCGCGCTGAGCCCCTTGGCGAGGACGTCGTAGCCCTGGTGCAGGTAGAGCTGGCCGTCCGTCGAGGGCTGCCACGTGCCTGGGATGCGCTTGAAGGCGCACTCCGTTGCTGCCGTGACGTCCGAGGCCTTCCAGCCTGCTGGGAAGTTCTCGTCCCAGTCGGCAGGGTTGGGCTGGTGGTGGGTGTCAGTTACGGGTTCTGGTGTATCTTGGAACATTTGAAGCTTGGAGGGATCAGTGTCGACTCACCTTCCACCACAGCCCTGCGTTCACGGCCGTGCCTCCGCCCAGCACGCAGCCGGCCATCTGGTCCATATCAGTGCACGCTATGCCGGCCGAGTCCACCCAGATCTGGTTGCAGAGACCGGGCACGTCGAACCGGGTCAGGTTCGTGCCGTTCAACCAGCCAGGCCCGAGAGCGCCGCCCCATTGCCCCGTGGACGCGGGCCCCTTCTCGATGAGCAGCACCGAGTGGCCCGCCTCGCTCAGCTTGTCCGCCATGGGGATACCACCAGCGCCACCGCCGACGACGACGTAGTCCCACGTCTTGTTCGCGGGGATGGTCTTGCACGCCGCAGTGGGCGTCGCGGTAGGAAGGCTCGTGGTCGTCGTGGCATTGCCAGTTGGGGTAGCGCCCGCACAGGTCGTGGCTGTCGTCGTGGGCTTGGGTGGAAGCGCCGCGTAGTCAGAGTAAGCAGCCACCGTGGCGTTGGCAAACGAAGCGCCATACTGCCCGAACAGACGTCGGTGGTACGGGATGGTGATGTCGTTGGGGCAGCCCGGGTTGCCGGGCGCCTCGTTGGCGGCGGCGCGGCCCAGGACCGTGGACCCCGTGCTCGTCGAGATGCTGCCCTCCGCGCCGTCCTGGTTCCAGACGAAGCAGTTCTGGCAGCGGTAGACGATCTCGAAGGCGGTGTCGTTAACTGTCGACGCCAGGGTCGTGAGGGTTGCGTTGCCGGTGTAGCGCGCTGGTTCCGAGTATCCTGAGGCGAAGCGGAAGGACGTGAGGACTTGGCCTTCGAAGGGCCATGCCATCAGAAGCAGCGCTGATATCATCTGGCCGGACTGGCCGTGGGACAAGCCGCAGTACGCCGCGCCTGCTCCGGACGGGGTTGTGCAGCTCTGGCTGTTGGTTAGAGACGATGCGTGTACATCAACGGGCGGGGGATCTTACGAGGTATCCGATATACTCATAGGTATCAGTTGTCAGTGCCGTATCAGGCACGACAAAACCAAATGTGTAACCGCTCTCATCCACCCAGGTCGGGAACGTAATGTTCGTCGACGGGTCTGTGTGCATGACGGGATCTTGTGCCCAGCATCGTTGTCCATCTGCTTGTTGTCAGTGGACTCTTCGAGCAGAGATGCGAGTGGAAGCAGCACTCACAGAAGGCGACCGCGGTCAACGCGACGCCGATACGTTTTGAGAACTGCATCATGAAGACGTCGTCACCTCTTGTTTTGTCGGACCGGCGAGATGGTGTGTACAGATTCTTTTTCACAGTCCCCAGGAGGCAGACCCGGGAGACTAAATACAACTGGCCATATCAGCTGCGATATAGAGGCTGCTGAAAGCCAAGAGCGGCTGTCAGCTCCCCCCCCTTGACTGGGATCCTACGTTGCTTGAAGGACTGGAATGGTCATTTGTGATGGTTAATCACCGATAGGTCAGCCCCCTGTGCTACACGGCGGGGTGGAGCATAACAGCCCTGTGGAAGATTATATTGCGGCAAAGGAGCAAGCCACATCGCGGGAGCCATAACTAGGTTCCTTTGCCCTCGGGAGCCGGACGCGTGGCCCTGAATGCCGGGACAGGACCGGGGGGGGGGGGGCGTGTAGCCTCAATCCTCTCAAGGTTTGGACGAGAGTCATGGCGCCTACCCCTCCAATATGCGTGCGTCGGGGCCGGAGGACTTGGCTCTCCTCAGCCGCCGGGACAAGCTCTAGGCCATCCGTTTCATGTCATCGCGCCATGGTCTTGTCACGATGACCACCGTCGATATGCGGCCAGCAAAGCCGTCCTGAATTTGTTTAGCTGACCCCTTTTGTGCTTGTTTTTCGGCATGTGCTGTGGGTGCATAAGGCCAAGGCTGTTGGTCCCAGGGGGAAGGAAGGCAAGAAGCGACTAGTCGTCTGCAGATAGCTGAACTCTGCTGGCCCCTCGCCTGAAGAGAGTTTTTCCGCCGTGGTCCTGCCCGGCGGGCAAGGGCGTCCTGTTTGAGATTGAGAAGTCGAGCCCCGGGTCTTGGGGTGACGTTGGAATAAGGTGCAGCGATCGGCAATCCCGCATCCCTCTCTGTTGCGGCGGTCAGTCCGTTTTGTTTCTCCTTGGCGGCGGATTCCGTGACGGGGTGCCAACTCCGTCCGTCGACTTTGGATAAATGACGATCGCTTGGCGGGCTGACTCCCTTTTTTGGTCCCTCCTCCTCGCGGCCTCGTTCATTTCATTTATCTTCGACAGGAACCAATACCCGCGCGTACATTACTCAGGCCAGATCCTCGTCATAGACCCGCCTTCAGCCTATGCAGCCTGATCGCCCACCATGACCCTGGGAGCGTTTATATTTATACCCACTCAAACACGCCAAGAATCCCGTTCATCCAAAGTACGTTCAAAGGAAAATCTGTCCCCGTGACCTCCGGTATCCACATGTCATGATTATTCGGTTTGCTCCAATTGGCCCTCCAATCGATTCCTTGAGAAGGATTTGGTCATTAAGTCTCCTCCCCCTCGTAATCCTGGCGGCAGAATTGTGCTCATTTCGATCGTGATTGTGTGCAGATTCATAAACCGCCACGGTCCCTCTTCAGGGTTCTCTGATTTGACGGCCGCTGTCAGCAACATTGTATGGTCTCGCTCCCGTCTGGGCCGTCGAGCCGCCCAACCGAAATGGCCGTTGATCTTCAGTGGTCGATCCGACGTGGGATTCTTTCTCTTCGATGAATCAAGCTGCTAAACTACACCTCTCTCTCTTTGGTCGTGTCTCTCGACAAAACTCCGTTCCAATGTATAATTCTTGCCCTGGGAACTGCTCGGAAGCGGCACGTTTGCCTGCTTGCTGGTGGTAGGCCAACGGTGTCGATCGGATGACCTGAGGAGTTCGTATGTCGAGGCTGGCCGATTGCTCAGGCATCGTCGATGTCTGTCGCGAGCATGGTGGGGACTTGAAGATGATGATTTCGAAAAGAGGTAGCCGCAATCCTCGAGAGGAGGACCGTTGTGATTGAGAATCAGGCGGCGAAAAGGCGCGTTGCGGGTGTGGGACGCGGCACTGGCGCAGCGGTTGTGAGAGACTCGAACTTCACCAAGCAGAATCTGTGCACCCGCCCCTCCGCTTCACCCCATCTGAAGGGCTTATAGGTAAGCCAATTCCACCTGCTATCGCCGGAGCACCTCCTACACTGTTAGCTCAGTGGTAAGTTGAGGTGCTTTCGACCGGAGGGTGGTCCGTTCAACCCGCGCCCGGTACAAAAGATCCCCAGTCAGTTTCCATGGATCCCGGAGCTGGAAGAAAGAGTAAAACCCATAACGGCATCACCAAACAAGATGGGGTTTTCCGCCTTACAAGGTTCTTTTTGGCCTCCACATTAGCTTCAAGCGAGCGAGATAATGCAAGATCCTGGTCAATTGACTGCGCTCAGGATCACTTTTTTGCGTTTTGGAGACGTCACAATCTCAACATCGCTTGTTACTGTCAAAGGAATGGTACCGCCGAACCCACTTTAGGAAGCTTTCAGTTTGTGGGCAAATGTTTCTGCCCATCAAACATGCATGCTCCTAAATGTTGTCGAAATATAATGAAGCGACCACGTCAAGTCGCGGACAAGCTCGTGAGGTATATGTTGTGCACATGGGCTCCCAATGCTTCGTGATAGTCCAGATAACAAACATGAAGCTCTTTTACATATCGTTTTGGAAACGGCCGAGGAGAATTGTCACGACTTCCTGATTCACATTCACCGAAGACATACGTTGAAGGCCGGGATCATTGTTGAAGTAAATTGGCTAATGGTCTCTGAAACGCTCAAATGACTTCACATTAGACCTTAAATGGCAACAACTAGTAGATGAGGAGAATGAATATTTATAGAATGGTCTAACTGACTTAGAACTTTAAATAAACTTTTCACTATGAACACAATGTTCACTAATGAGGAAAGCCTATGTTTACTATGTACCGTCTTCAATACTACTTTGCATTGCTGCTGGGCTTAAGAATGAAGCTTACGACTTACTGTTTGGATAAGATTTTCCGCTATGGCTCTGTGATATGGCACTGTTCCATGACAACGCCTCTGGAAGCATGACATAGTCAGCATTCTTTTGAATCCTGAGAGGATCAACGGCTCGTCTCTTATTCTGTGTGAGTCCTTGGCGGGTCTTTCTCTTGTTAGAAGTAAATTTGACAGAGGATTGATAAAACAACAGTAATGTTCAAGGTTGAGCACCGAGCTGACATGCAGCGGATTCTCCATTGAGACGCAGGATATGGCTGCCTACAACTGTGTAAAGCACGTAATGGGGCGGAAGAAAGCCGCGAACGGCAACGGTCCATAGGAAACAGAAGTCTGACTTTCCTATTTACTAAATCTACTCATCCTGTTATAATCCGGTGATACTCAGCTATGTGATTTGATGTTATGAATTTTTATGAAAAGTCGTTGATGAAGTTCCAGGCAACCAGTTGAAATGCACTGCTCTGAGGTCTCGAGCTCTGCTATCGATTGGTTTTGTGGCTCTAGTTCCCAGTCCCTTGACGGCGCGCCGAACGACGCCACAGCAGGTGTGCTCCTAACAAAACTCCCCCTCTGTCCAGGCCATGACACGCACATCTGTAGGTTTTTGGTAGCGAACATTACCAAACGTCGATCCACGGAGGCAGGTCCCCGAGAAACAAGCTCGGTGGCTTGCACCTCCCGCAGAGCCGTCACCCCCGTTTTACCCGTTTGGGGAAACCCACTCATGCGTCCGCGATCTGCAAGGGCCGAGATTCGGTTGCAGCTGTCAACCTGAGTGGGGCAGCGGACCCCGGCTTAGCTTATCACGCTCTCAAGCTCGTCCCAACGACATCCTTGCACACTCATGATACCAAGGGCACCCTTCTGCTGGTAATGACAGGCACAATTCCAGCCTGATCACAGAGCAAGCTTAAGTGCTGACCACCACGCGATCGTCCCGTTCTCTAATCTGTGTCTGGCTCCCATGATTGCGCCACCGTCGATGAGTGCCTGCGGCCTTAAATGACTGTCACATTGCGGAGAAGTTTCAATATGCGCCTGACCAGCGTCTAAATGCGCTACCCATAATTCTGAAGACTTTCGACGGAACATCGGGCCTTTGTTGAACGGAGAATGTGGCTTCTCTTAGGTGGCTTGCCATGGCAGCCAATGAATTTCGTCCAAGGGGGAGAAAGTGACGGACGAGGGACTACATATACTCCTGATGCCCTCAAATTCTGAGTGTATTCGACAAATGCTTCGGACGGTCACCTGGACGGCTTGAGTGAATCTTCTCGGTTGCTCTTCCATATTGTACCAGCCCATCGCCAAAATGCATTCGACACTCCTCTCACTGCTTCAGCTGTCGCTGTCAACACTCGGCCTGGCAGCAAGCCTCCCGAATGTTGTGCTTCCAAGGCAGGGCTCAGGTACCCTGAAATATGGTAAGTGCAGCGATTTTCGAGGACATCGTGCTCAAAAGACATTGACTAATCGCACCTCACAGTGGGAACCAACATCGCCGGGTTCGACTTTGGATGCGCCACCGATGGCACTTGCACAACTTCCAAGGCCTACCCTCCCCTCTCGTCGCTCGGAGGAGCAGATGGGTAAGCCTTACCCGTCCTTCGTCCAACCCAATGGTCTTATATATATGCTGATCAGAGCTTCCCCGTTCTCTCCAGCGTCGGTCAAATGCAACATTTCGCCAACGACGACAAATTCAACATATTCCGCCTTCCAGTCGGCTGGCAATACCTAGTCAACAACAACCTCGGCGGCAACCTAGACCAGGGCAACGCAGGCCGCTACGACCAGCTAGTCCAGGCCTGCCTCGCGACAGGCGCGACCTGCGTAATCGACATCCACAACTACGCGCGCTGGAACGGCAAGATCATCGGGTCGTCCGGTGGGCCAACAGACGACCAGTTCGTCAGCCTGTGGCGGCAGCTCGCCGCCAAGTACGGCAGCAACTCCCGCATGGTGTTCGGCGTCATGAACGAGCCGCACGACCTGCAGTCCGTCGACGCGTGGGTCGCCACCGTGCAGAAGGTCGTCACGGCCATCCGGGCCGCCGCGCCGACGAGCCTGGTCCTCATCCCGGGCAGCAGCTGGTCCTCGGCGCAGGCGCTGCCCACCGAGGCCGGGCCGGCGCTGCTCAAGGTGGCGAACCCGGACGGGTCGACCGATAATATTGTCTTTGACGTGCACAAGTACCTGGACAGCGACAACTCGGGCACGCACACCGAGTGCGTCACGAACAACATCGACAATGCGTTTGGCCCGCTTGCGACGTGGCTGAGGCAGAACAAGCGGCTGGCTATCAACACCGAGACCGGGGGCGGCAATACTGCGAGCTGCCAGAAGTACCTGTGCGAGCAGGTCAGCTTCCTGAAGCAGAACTCGGATGTGTTTATTGGCATTGTGGGCTGGTCTGCCGGTGGGTTTGACCAGACGTATGAGTTGGTGGAGACGCCCACGCGGAATGGCAATGGCTGGACAGATACCTCGCTTGTCAAGGCTTGTTTGGTGAACAGCTGATCGCTTAGAACCTTTTCGTGCGGTTAGAAGCATTCTCTTTCTGGAGGTGTTCAGGTAGAAATTCTCCAGTGTGATCAACACGCTGAAGGGGTGACGTTCCTCAATGTTGGTCATGAAGCCATGTAATTCTTTTTTTTTTTTTTTCTTCTTTTTTTTGCATTCGTTTCTCAGCTCAGTCGTATGCCTCCGACTACGGTTTGCACCCTGAAGGCCCTCGTGTATCTCTAGTAATTCTTTGCCCACCTGCGTGAGCACTCGTGTGTTCCTGCAAATCCACCTTCAAATCGTACCTGGAGCCACAACACTGCGCGACGAAGAGTCTAAAACCCCAGTCAAAAATTGTGCGCTGTCACAGCTGCTAAATCATTGCCAGACCAAAAGCAAAGCCTAAAACGGCGGGTATCATCATCAAACTCATCATCATTCCATCGCTTGCAGTTCCTGCACCGCTGCTGCCAGGCAGCTCCTTGGCCACACTGGCCGTTGCACTGCCCGTTGGCAAGAAACAGCTCGCAGTACCGCAGTTGTACCCAGACGGGCAGCATCCCGCAGTCGGCCCCGCTTCCGAGGGGCACATGGTCCAACCGCCGGCGCAGGTGCCCTCCGAGGTGGTGGTAGGAACGGCAGTCAGGGGCACGACAATCGTCTCGTCGCCAGACATGATGGTGGTGGATACTGTCGATGGGCATGATGTCACCTGGCAGTCGCGGCCGGTCTGGCAGCAGCCTCCGCCGTAGACAGCTGAACAGGCGTAGAAGCCCGTGGGACAGTAGCCAGGGGGTGTGGTCAAGGTGCTCATCGAGGTCGGGCGGACGGGTGCCCCTGGACCAGAGGACGTCTCTGTTGAGGTCGTTGATGTTGAGGTGGCTGTCGTGGAGGATTCCCTCGTGGAGGTTGAACTCGAGCTCGCAGAGGGTGTCACTGTGACGGTGACGATGATCGTTGTCGGAGAACCGTTGGCCGACGAAGTCAGAGTGCTCGTCCGCGTCACAACGGTCGCCGTAGCAGTCGCGCTCTGCACGCCTGTGAGTTTTGTCAGTAAGACGCTTCAGACATCGAACGCATTTGCTCCACACTCACATCCGATGCTGGCGCAGACGAAGCCGGGGATACAGCACCCGCCACCAATGTCTGAAGGACAACCCTGCTGGGATCCTGAGCAGGCGATTGATCCAGTGCAACTTATGCCATCTGGACAACATCCCACTGGCCCCAAGCCGGTGTCGGTGATCTGCACGCATTCTGTTCCTGCCTGGCAACAGCTGTTAGGGAAGCCGATGGCCGAGCAGTCAGACGTCCCTGTCGGACACGCGAACTGTCTCTTCTCCAGTCTCGCGACGACATCCTTAGCCCTTTGGAACAGGTGCCATCCGCTCGCACCGCCCTCATCCCCCCTCGCTGCCAAGTGCGGGTCGAAGTGTGGCGCGAATGGGGCGCGGAATGATACCGAAGCCGACGAGTTGGCCGCCAGGAGCTCCTCTTCTTCAACATCCAAGACTCCTTTTGCTAACATGGCTGGTTGGGCCTGCGTTCCGACCTGCGCCACTTCCTCCTCCCCGCCAAACGCGTAGTACTCGTGCAGCAGCTTCTCGCCTGCGTCGGGGCTCATCTTCCGAATGGCCGTCGGGAGTCGCTGAGCGTCGGCCAGGCCCTGACCGACCTGAGCTGCTACAAGCAGCAGCAGTGAGGCGGGCAGCCTGGCGAAAAGGGTGAATGGTCGCATCTTGAAAAGCACCCTGGGACTGAGTCCAAGCCACCGCTGCGCGAGCAATGCAGGGAAGTCAGGCGTCGTTAACCTTAACCCTGGCAGCGGCGACGGCGTCGATAACACCCGCCAAAATCCGAGTGAACCTTGAGCTTAGCCCACAGTACCGCCCATGACAGATTTTCAGAGATGCAGGTGCTTCAGGAAAGTGACAACGAAGAGTGAAATGGAAGTCTGCAGATTGGCTGCGATGATGAGGTGGCAGTGTGGCAGCCAGCTTTTGAGGTGCGTGGGTGGGCAAACCGGGTCCTTGCTGTTACGAGGTGGCTGGGAGAGGTGACCACGGGTGGATCACCAGCAGCACACTGACGTTTCACCGATGCCAACGGAGCGGCATGTCCAAAACGAATGGCTTCTTCTGGCGGATACGCGGTCTCGTCTGCTGGATTTGAGGTCGTCACAATGCATGGTAGAGAAAACAGTCAGTGTCTGACCCGAGTCTTACGCTTCTTGCATGTGCAGCTGCAGCTGCTGGGGGGTGACGGCCCAGGTGACAGGGGTCAACCACACGATTGTACCTAAGTACCTCACACCGAGCTCCTAACCCTGACTGCACACGAAATGCTGAAATCGGGAGGTGGGGGGGGAGGGGCCCACTTGGTTACGATAACCACTCCTAAAACAAATGTCAACAAATGCTTTTGCTATGGTCGCAGCTTTCCATACGGATGAATTTGGCACCGAATTCCTAAATTGTGATGTAAATCTACGGAAATTGCATTGAGATATGATGTCTTGTCAAAAGCACTGTCGGTATAACAAGCATATAGGGGGGAAACAATTCATAAGTCTAGTACTATCCAACTCAAGTCAACGGGCTCGGCTTAAAAATCACAGTGTGTCACTCTCGAAAAAGAAGATGATATCACCGAACCAAAACTGTATTATCGAGGCGTTGCCGTAATGCTGCACGTGCTAAGCTCTTCTACCCTCAACGTTCATCGCTCCTAGGGTCCCGATCCCGGCCAAAGAGTTTCGCTTCGCACTCCAAAATCGCACTCCTAACGCTTGCCATCTTTCCCTTACCTGCGTTAACCCTACGGCTTCTCGGGCTCGCGGGGGGCAGCTTTACTGCCGTACTTCTGGAATGCAGCATCGGCACCAGTGGCCGGCTGCTGGCCACCCTGCTGAGGATTCGGATCGGTCCGAGGGGCGGGACCTCGAGCGCCTGTGTCGGGCTCACGGGCGGGACCTCCAGATTCGTACTTCTTGGCTGCAGGGCTCACCCACTGCTGCTGGCCGGATTGCTGGTCGGACATTGTTTCTCCTTGCGCGTTCTGCTGGGGTCTGGTGTGAAAGTGGTGGCAGTGTCTGCGAAGCAACTCGATGATGATTAGGCCATTGCAGCAAGCGGCACGTGGATCAGCAGTCGAATGGTTATTTCCTCACCTGTGTCAATGTCTTGAAAGTCAGGAAAATTTTTTGAAGATTGACCTCAAGGTGGAAAGAGTCTTTGTTTTGTGCTTTGCGTTCTGCGATTCTTGTGTGTGCATTGATGTAGGTCTGAGAAAAGCGAGGAGAGCGGTCCCATAGTGTTCTATTTATATGTAGGAGTCCGGCGATGGGAAGGCATCGGATATCAGTCACGGACGTTCTCAAATCATCAATACTGCTGTTATAACCCATGGGCAGTCTGAAAGACTGGTTCCGCCATCATTCAGCAATGTGACTTGCCGACTTGTCGGGCTCTCCTGTGGTATGCATCAGGTTTACGTGGGACAACTGAACGGTGCCTGGAGGCTCTTGTGACCGCATTAATTTTGCTCGTCTCTACCCAGCCTTGACTCTTCATTGAGATGCAGACATGAGAAATTGAAGAGCAGGGTGTGGATGACAGCAAAGTTATATGAGTAACGAAATTCAGTTACTTGCATAGCGTAGATCAGCCTATAACATACACCTCAACAGCACTCGCAACCAAGGCATACTGATATTCAGTGAGAAGTTAATCGTTTTCTCTTACCAAAATCACTTCTAGTTGGGCTAACATTTGGCCCTTGCTGCTGATTAAGTATTTGATGCTAATTTGACTATTGATAATGTGGTCTCTGAGGCCTTGCCCGTCCCTAGGCAATGCAGCTAGAAGCTGATTTAACGACGATTCTGTCCGCTGACCTGTTCACTCGTCTTCGTGTCTTCAGAATGTTCATATTTAAGCCCACGTAAAGCTTGTGTTACGACCCGTGCTTATAGCGAGCCACGAGAGTCTGATCGAGTCGCATCTTTCCGTTTGCGGAGAATCTTGAAGACATGTAGGCAAGTCATCTGGGTTCCGAAACTCAATAATGAAAGCCGAAATCATTACCGACGCCTGCAAGAAGAAGTTCCAACGCCGATGGTACTTGCAGCATGTCCATGTTATCAGCATCTCCAGTCATGTCCAAGCCATCCCCGACAAAGCTGGTGCCGTAGATATGATTGGCCTGTGACACGTCCCCAACGATCGCACCCTGTTGCTGGGACACGAGACGTCTTGGGTCGGACGAATCAAGACCGGCAGGTCCCAAGTAAGCCGGTGCGGGATGTCCATGCCCAGGGTGGCTAATGGCTGGCAGGTGTGTAGCTGAGCCGTTGAGAACACCTTCGCCAACCCGAAGATGTTCTTGAAGCTGAGAGTCACCGCTGTGGCGAAAGATATCACCATCACCAGCTCCATTCTCCGAGTCAGGCTGAGTGCGCCAAGAACCAGTCGCTTTCCGTCCCTCGAATAGGGCTAATAGGCTTTGCGCATATAACCACTGTCCTTTGAGAGCATGTAAAGTGAGTATCAGTGAGTCAAAGAGGCGTTTAGACTTAGCTACGATAAGTGGATTCGCAGAGCGCATCTGGTCTGACACGTGTACTAGGGCAGTGAAGAGCACATGAATACTTGGTATCCAGAGCTTGTCCAACAAATGCCTTTTCCTGAGAGACTCGAACATGGAGCATATTGTAATGGCAGCGTCGCAACAAATGCTCAAGTCGGTGTCTGCCGAGGGACAATCGGGGTCTTGGCTAGGTGATGGCCGATGGAGCAGGATCAGGAAATTATTGTAGGTTAGATGAAACATTGCTTGCCAAGGGTCTGGGTCGGCTTTGGGACTGTGAAACTTCTCGGGCAGATGCGTCATTAAGTCCGCAAGAGCTGCGTCGGCCTCTGCGGTCGCCGCGGCTCGGTCTGCGGCAGTAGACCGCAGGGCCACTCTCTTTTTCATTGCTTTTGAGAAAATGAGGCATAGGCGGGTATGACTGATAGTGAAGTCGAACTCTGGGTTGCTAAGCCCCTGGAAATGATGCTCTTCAAGTGGTCGTGCGTCGGACTCATCGAGGTTGCTAATATCACCGACTATCAGCAAGAAAAGGGAATTTGCGCAGTGGATAGCGGAGGCTTACATGGCCTGTGGTCGGCCGTAAGACGCAGAGACCAGAACGTCGAATTGAAATAGAATCCACCACAGCCGAACCCAAAGGCGTTTGTCCATGGCGTTGAGACTAGATGGGCTCGCATCTCGGTGCATACCCATACCAAATGCTGTTCTGGTAGCGACACCTACCCAGTGCCAAGTGTTGGAAACGATGTCTTCGAGATCATCACACTGCCACGTCAAGAGGAGAGAGGCTTGCAAGTAGGTCTCGCGATGTTGCTCGAAGCGACTGTCGAAAAGGGCTTTGGTTCTTCTCCATAAGACGGGTCTGAGGGACTTGACCTCCTCTCGCGCTGGTTCTAGAACGCGTGCTCCAACGAGGAAGACAGCGTTCAGCAACAGTAACGATACTGGTCTGCATTGCGGCCTACACCTCGGGAAATGGCCAGTGCCCTCGCAACCATGGTAAACCTTCATGAAGTCCTCCTCATCGATAATAGGCAGGCCTCGATTTACATGAAGAAAGTATGATTTGACGAGTTCATCGGCCAAGGCCTTGGGTGGTAACTCAAGGATCTCGGCCGGCACCGAAGGCACTTTGGGAGGCAGCGGGTGGCTTCCGAAATGGAGCACCCTCTGGTCTGGCCGCCTCGAGCGCTGGCGGACTAAGTAGTGGAGGTTGGAAAATTCCGTACCGATGAAGAAGAGGCGGCCGCAACGGGTTATTTCCGGGTGCTCGACTTCCTGCCTGTTCAGGAAGTCGGCCATGTTATGTGTTGCATCTTCACTGCCGCGGTCAGTCTGAGAGGTGGCATCACATGCTGAGTTCGGTCGAGGAACGGGTCTGACAGCATCACCCGCCCACGGGCTCGATCGGGTGGGAGTCGGCGTTGCGGGAGCCGTTGCGGACTGAAGACCAACCGATCGAGGTTGAATTGGCACATTGGAACCGCGAGCGGCACGGGCCGAGGATCGTGTCCTCTTCTCATAAATCTGACAGTCGGACGCGTTATTCGCCTGACATTTCGAGCACGGCGCACCCTTCTCGAGAATGTCGCATTTGACTTTCCTCCGATGACATGTCAGACAAGCCCTTCCATCTGCCGCGATGTTAGAATGGGGCTCTCAGACAAGACAACGCAGAAGCACGGAAGAAAGCCGAGATCGGGGTCATACTGGTTCTCGATTTCTTCGACGTTGCGCTCAAATGCGCCCTGCGCCTGACCGGCCGAAGCCCTTCTGTCACCATTTCCGAGGGACTGACGAGATGGGGCCCTCGACTACCGAGGTGGCCACAAAGGTTGAAAGGTTAGCATCGAAGAACCGGAGGAAAACGACTGCTGAGTGGTGCTAATCGGAAGTTTGTGAAGGAGGAAAAACCGAGCTGCCCTCGGAAGTTTGGTTCTGGCCGGTTTTCGCGTGCTCGGGAAAAGCAGCCAATCACTTGGATACACGAGCATGAGCGACCCGCTTTGTCAGCGACTCGGTTCCTGAACTGTCTTGAGGTTCGGCAAAAGTAGCCAATCGACTTGCACCGTTCTCTGTTGAGCCACATGAAGGAAACTGACAGAAGAGTAATGGTATGACAATTTTCAAGCGGTCAATGAAACACGAAGTACGTAAATATGAGAATAAATAATAGCTATAGTTCGTCCTTTGCACCTTGTCTTGATGGTGCTTTGGTGGCAGGCCAGCTTAACTACAGTTTGTCTCGTCGGATTTTGAGCAATCTACCAACAACCCACCAACATGGGTCCTGAAGCTGAGCGCCCCGGCGGTGGCTTTTTTGAGAAGAAGCGGTCTAACATCGACGTCGAGGACCAAGGAAACGTCTCCGATGATTCATCATTGGAGAAAGAGCAAAATGAAGTTGTCGATGCCACCAAGTTCTCATCGGTAGGGAATAGCCTCAAGCCTATCCAACTCTAGACGCACAATCTGACACGTCCTAGCTGCGAAAACTGCACATTGTCGTCGCGGGTTTTACGTGCACTTTCAATGGAAACCTGGGATCATCAATGCCCTCGGGCGCTCTTGATGCGATCAGCGCCCACTTTGGGGTGACCAACCGCATTCATCTCATCCTTCTCAACTCGCTCTTCATGGTCGGCTATGTCATCGGCCCTCTCGCGTTTGCTCCCCTCAGCGAGTACATCGGACGCCGGCCAGTTCTGATCGGCACTTTTCTTGGCTACCTCGTCTTCATGCTCGCCTGCTCTGGGGCCCCGAATTACCCAGCACTGCTGGTATTTCGTCTCCTGTGCGGAATCAACGCCGCCGCTCCGACCAGTGTTCTCGGCGGACTCTACGCTGATACCTTCGACGACGCTTCCGTTCGAGGTAACGCCATGGCCCTGTACATGACTGTCACCACTATCGGGCCATTGATTGGTCCCATCATCTCCGGTTTCTCGTCCCAGATGTCATGGCGCTGGCCATTTTGGATTGCTGGGATGATTGCGGCCTTGGGGTTGCCTGTTGTCCTTACACTTCCCGAGACCTACGCGCCGGTACTCCACAACAAGGCCGTCATGAAGAGGCTCAAGAAGCCCGGTGCAGATGTCGAGAGCGGACAGCAGCTTGAGCTGAAGCCGTTTGACGTCCAGAAGATCTTTCTCCGTCCGGTCACCCTTCTTGTCACCGAACCAATCGTGTTTTGTACCTCTGCGTATCTGGCGCTGGCGTACGCTGTCTTCTACCTTATGTTCCAAGCATACCCCGTCATTTTCCAAGGCTTCTATGGACTTTCTCCAGCGATTGCCGGACTGGCGTTCATACCGCGTAAGTGACGCTCATTCCACCACTCAATACCACAATATTTCTAACATGTTCATCGCAGAGGCTGTGGGTGTTATTCTTGCATTAATCATGTTTGCTGCCTTCACATGGTACCACGATCGACAAACCAAGGCGGGTGTCGCATGGACAAAGAACCAAATCTACCGCAGACTGCCTCTCGCGTGCATAGCGTCTCCTTGGTGAGTGTCCCTGTCACTTCATATTTGATATGGTAGCTTACTCAGCCTTTTTAGCATGGTCATCTCCTTATTCTGGCTGGGCTGGACAGTCTGGCCCTCAGTGTCTCCTATCGTGCCCATGCTGAGCGGCATTTTCTTCGGATGCGGCTTCCAGCTGCTTTTTATGGGCATGATCAATTATCTGACCGACGTCTTCCGGCAGTACTCTGCGTCGGCACATGCTGCTGCCAGCATGACGCGGTCCATCGGAGCAATCACGCTGCCCCTTGCAGCGAACAGCATGTACACGAACCTAGGGGTTCACTGGGCGCCATCGGTGTTGGGTTTCATTGCATTGGTGATGGGCGTGATCCCATTCGTTTTCATTAGATACGGGGACCGTTTGGCGCGCAGCAGTAGAACAGCACGCGAGGCGTTTGCGGTACAGGATTAGATGGCACGAGAAGCGTCGGGCCCCATGGTACATAGAATAGTGGAAACAAGGACAGTTGTTCCTTCACATCATGTGCCCAATTTCTTTCTAGCATGCCCTACTCAAGAGGACAGTGTACCAATTTTCCAGCACCATTTAGGTGTACGCACTCCTGACCGACCTTATAGAGCCCTGCAAGCTTGTTCCTTCCCTCGAGGGGGAGCCGAGACCACCCGCCAACTCGTATTCACTAGGCGGGCTTGAGGATTCGAGGCTGCTGCCGTTGAAATTGAGAAGATAGTCGCCCGTAAAAACAGTGAGGAAGCCGCAAAGTAGCGACATAGACTTCACCTCGTCGGTTACGTTGAATCCTCGAGGAAACAGGATTTGTTCCCAAACACCGTTACTCCAAGAGCGAAGCAATTCGTCAAAATGTTGAGGGCATCGCCGAGAAGTTCGGCATATAGGGCATGTTCTGCACCAAAGCGAAGAGCGCGGACTGGGATGATACCCAGAGATGGATTGTCAAACTCAGCCGCAACCTAGGCCCAAATCATGAGGACCTGAGCGGCGACTTTGTCGTTCGTGCTCAGTTCCTCATGCCCGCCGGCGGTCTTTTCTATTCCCCCAGCGCGCCTGACGCCCCGGGCCTTGAGGTCTTTATGAAGAATCACGAAATCTTCCATACAGCTTGTTGGAACTATGCATACACCGGCGGCTCACAATCCGAGCCCGACATGGTGAACTTGCAAGACAAGAGAGTTGGCATCATCGGCACCGGTGCCACTGTAGTCCAGGCCGTCCCCGAGCTAGCCAAGTGGGCAAAGCAGCTCTATGTCTTTCAGCGTACCCCGTCTTATTGCAGCCCGAGGGAACAACTCGAAAAGACTCCCGAGAGCTGGGCAAAGGTTGCCGGGGGGCCAGGCTGGCAGTCCGAGAGGATGAGAAACCTAAACAAGTTCCTCAACGACCACCCAGAGGTGGCTGCCGAGGACGACCTTCTCAAGGACGGCTGGAGCCGTGCTCGCCAGTTCTCTGGCCTAATTGGCAGCCCCCGAGCGAAGGACATCACGCCCGCCAAGGCGCCACAACATCTACAGCGTGTGCTGGAGCTAGATGCAGGAATCACTAACGATCTCCGTAAGCACGTCGAGCATGAAGTGGAAGACCCGGAGGTGGCTGAGATGCTAAAGGCTTGGTACCCTGGCTTGTGCAAGCGTCCGACTTTCCACCAGGAGCATCTCAAAACTTTCAACCGCCCAAACGTCACGCTTGTCGAGACCGACGGCCAGGGCATCTCTGGCTATACCGACGGTGGTATCTTGGTTGCAAATGGTGAATTCACCAAGGAATATGAAGTCGACGTACTTGTGCTGGCGACTGGCTTCGCAACGACCACCGGTGCAGATGGTGATCCTTCTCAAGTTCTCGGCATGCCCATTCGGGGTCGCGATGGCCGCGACTTGACCGATAAGTGGAAAGGCGAGGACTTTGCCATTTTTTTCGGCGTCGCTACCCACGAATTTCCCAATCTGCTCTTCTACAAAGCGAAAGGCGCGACTGGGTCCGCGAACACCACGTATCCGCTTTCTATTGCAGCAAAGACGGCTGCCCACATCGCCAAGACGGCAGTCAAGCAGGCTTCTAATGCTAGCGGGGTTGAGGTGGAAGTCAGCAAAGAGGCAGAGCAACGATATACGGAGAGCCTGAAGCCGTACAGCCCGTGGTACGCCACGGTGGCATCCTGCACTCCCACATACTTCACGGACTACAGAGACCCAGCCAAGCAAGATAAGCCTGACGACAAGAAGAGATCTACGGTGGGATGGACTTTGGGGTCAGTGGCGTTCGAGGATGCTATCAACAAATGGATCGACGGCAACCTAGAGGGATTTGTAGTACGGGGCTGAAATAGGAGCCATTCTGTCTGTAATGTAGGTGTAGGGTATGGTAGATTCGAGGTTGCAGCAGATCTGGGTTCGGGAACTATGCTACTACAAGCTAGGTTAGCACACCATTAGAGTATAAATATGTAAGTTAAATGCAATATGCTTTAATTAGCTGCAGCCTTAGCTCTGGGAAGGTATTTCTATACCCTTTGTTTCTATCTATATGAGTCTTGTTAGGTCTGTGGGGCTGATCACAGTCTGGGCCTGCTGGGCCCGTCTGCTGGGCTTATCTTATTATCCTAACTGGCATGTAAGACTGCTGTGACCACTCCAGCCAATATAGATCGCGATCTGAATAGCTGTGTGTCTCATCACACTGGAAGGGGATAGGCGGCCAAGCTTGGGTGGTAATGTCGAAGGGTTGACTGCACTGCAGCTACTAGTCAAAGGGCATGTATGTTGCGGTAACCTATCACTTTCAAGCTCCGTGTTGCAGCATATCCACCCGTCAGCCGCAGCAGGCTGCCTCGGCAGAAGATCCCCCACATAGCGCGGCTGAAGGATTCGAACAGGCCTGTCAATTCTCCGCAGCAATATATCTTACCCTTCGTGACTCCGTATAACGACTGGTTTGTACCCCGCAACCTATTCTCTTTGCTCCGGCAGCGAGCTCGTCCAGCCGGTCCTCTTCGGTGAAGCTGTTAATCTGTGGTATGGCAATCCCAATGTTTGCAGGGGTGGGGTTCTCTACACCACAAAAGCCATCCACCACCGCGCTGACTATTGAGCACCAGCATTCTTCTATCTCTTACGACTTTCCAGACTCCAAATCCCTACTTTGCGATACACACGCGCGCCCGATATGCATTTTTGTGAAAAATGTGATGTTCTAAACCAGGCAGTCCTGCCAGAAGGTACTGGAATACACCTGTCTACCCTTGAGAAAACTGGGCAGGGGGAGGATTCCTGTCCAATCTTGGCAATTTTATACCAAGGTATCATATTGTACAAAGAAAATTGGGGGTGTTTGACTCAGGAAGACGCGGTGTCTGTTATGGTTGGTATCCGTATATCGAAGGATGGCTTTCTGGAAGCGGATATCCGCAAAATGTGGGAGATACAGCCTATTCGTATAGCCATGGTTGAATTTTACGCACTCCCAGGTAAATTTGGACATTGTTTTTTGTTCCCTATCGTTTTCTGACCATTATACTGCACGACTTTATTAGGAATCACCTCATGACTAATAGACGATAGGATGCTTACCGCCTTGGCCGACCCCTGGGAGAAATAGGACCGGAGACGACGTGCCCGAAAGACTAAAGGAATCTTCAGAGATGGTTGCATCTGTAAGAGGAATGTCAATTCGTTTATCCCTCGAAGCCGAGTCCAAGGAGTTCTCGGAGATGATCTCAACCTGGACCAAAACCTGCCAGGATGGTCACTCAGCTTGCAAGTCTAGCACTTCCACACGCACACTCCCCACGCGCGTCATCGACGTTGGATCGCCCGATGGCAGGACGGCACCTCATCCTTGCGATACAAACGGAGAGCCTGGCGATTACATTGCTCTCAGTCACTGCTGGGGTGGCAAACAGCCTCTTAGAACCACCAAGGAGAACATGTGTTCCATGAAGACCTGCATCCCGTGGGCCAAGCTGCCCAACACCTTCCAGGACGCCATTGCAGTGACCCGCAGGCTTGGCATTAGGTGTCTCTGGATCGACTCGCTTTTCATTGTCCAGGACGATGCTCAGGATTGGGAGCGCGAAGCGGCAAGGATGGCGCTTATCTTCGAAGCGGCCTATCTTACAATCGCCGCCACGGCAGCAACTGACGGTAGCGTATGTATATTTCTGGATTAATCCTTCTCTCCGCTTGATTATTTTCGACAGTACGGCCAGCTTTGGGACTCCCAAAAATAGCCGGAGTTTTGAGACTCCTTTGATCAAGCGGTACTGACCCCAGTGTCTTGCAGCAAGGATTGTTCCCTCGCGAGAGGGGCCATGAGTTCGTCATGGGCAGTTCCGAGGTCGAGCCACATGTATTCATGCGCGAGAAACGATCTGACGGCTGCTTCCTACCACGAAGGCTGAACACAGGACCCGTCTCCATAGATGTGGAAGTGGACTATAAAGTTGATGGGCTATATCCTCTCCAGGAGAGAGCCTGGTGCTTCCAGGAGCTGGTATTATCGCCTCGGGTCCTGCATTTCACCCATTCGGAAGTAGTCTGGCACTGCCGGACGAAGTGGGACTGCGAGTGCGGCGCCGTCGGACTCGGTGGGTCATACATCCGGAAGTTCGACACCTTCATACAAAATCCAGCCGGATATGAAGAAGAAGACGAGTTTGCAAAATCGGTCCAATGGCCAGATATCAAAGCGGCTGATCCTTCGGGTTCGTGGCGTGGTATCGTCAGTGTGTTTACTTCCAATCAAATCACATATCGTGAGGATATCCTCCCGGCGCTCTCAGGCACGGCGAAAAAGTTCGGATTGTTGAGAACGGGGCGGTACGTCGCTGGACTCTGGGAAGACAGCTTTGCCAATGACCTCTAATGGCATGTCTTGACAACTGACAGGTCTTCTCGCCCGACCAGCTACTTGGGGCCTTCGTTCTCGTGGTGCTCCTGCGTTTCGAGAATCGAATGGCCGAACTGGCTCCCCGGTTATACATCACGTCTGGAAATCCTCGAACTTTCTTCGACGATTGATGGAACGAACACTACCGGGAAGGTCTCTAGCGCGTTCGTGAAAGTCAGGGGACTCATGACGCCAGCCCATCACATTCTACAGGCTCGGCCGCGCATGACTTCCATAGAAGACTTATTGAGAGAACAATCAACAGACCATGGGGGTACGGACGCGAGCCCGGAAACATCTGACAATGCAAATGACCGGATGCCAGGAGGTCCGAGGACAATGACTCAGTGTGCAATTATACGCGCCCAGGAGACTCCGGGTAACAACGGGAACATCCTGCGTGCGTCTCCATGCAGGATTGATACGGTTGAAGATACAAGCTATGCCTCCTTTTGCCGCGAAACGAAAAGCAATGGCAGTCCTTGCGAGTGCTGCGAGGAAGGCTCCTGGCAGCGCTTCGACGGAACGCACCCGAAGGATCTGTGCACGGATAAGAATGTCGTCTACTGCTTACGGATCCTTGGCCGAGACGAATACATCGCATCTGTGGCGCTTATACTAGTCCCAACGTCCAATACTGGGCCAAAGATATTCAAGCGCATCGGGATTGTATATGATATGGTTGAAGAATTCTCCAGAGACGAGCAAGAGCAGGATGTCACTATAGTATAAGTAAGAGTTCTGCGAGCAGAAGGAGCCTTGTGACGCGGTAAGAGACTGCTTAAATTTCACAACGTTGTCTTGCATTTTTTCTGCTATAAGCTTTTCTGAAGGAATGGAAGTTATGAAAGCAGAAAAGCAGCCCTAGTGCGCAACTGGCTCAGGATGCAATGTCCGCTTCCCCTGTCTGTCTCCGGCTGGTCGTCTTTCTTCCCCGGGGCTTCTCTTGTGGTAATATTCACCCTGTCCACAATAGATGTTGGTCCCAACATTCCGGGAACTTGTGACTCATCACGCCGAAGATATCGTCGGCAGCCTTGGCGGCGAAGTCGTACCCGACAGGCGGGTGCGCCGAGCCGCTGGCCAAGGGCGGTCCGAGAGCAAAAAGGGGCCTTGGCTAGCCTGGGTACCTAGGGCACAGCTGCCCAGCTGCGCCACTGCGCGCCTCCTGTGGAAAAACTTTTAATAAAAACTGTCTGCACTACAGTAGCATTCAAGCGCGGCAGTCGAGTGCCGGAGACGCACTGCTACCTAGATGCCAAAGGGCTGGTGCGCCCAGAGGACGCGGTCGCTGCCACGTTTCTTTGTAAGCCTATGATCCAGGAGCCTTGGAGTAATTAAAGGCACATGGAGGAGCGTCCTAGGCAGGCTTGGCCGCATCTCTTCGTGGGTGGGGCGGTCAGCTTTACGGGCGAGCCCAGCCTGGCCAATATGCTATTTATCTTGGCCGTCCCCAGACACTGGGTGACCACGCCGCTACCAAGACCGATTTACGGGGATCAAAGACCCTTACGCAGTCTTGTCCGACTCGTGATGGGCGTCGCCTATTACTTGGCAACTCATGTTCAGCATGTTTTGGCGTGATGATGCTTTTAACTTGTTTACATCGATCCTGGACTTTTCGTATTTGCGGCTGAAGAAGTATGTGATGGAGGACCTTGGCATATGCCAGCTGCACGCCATTTTACAAATTCCAAGGTATGGGGCTTGTGGCCTTCAAATAGACTATTATTCTCCTGAGCTCCGAGAGAGCCAGCCATACTGATGTCCGGGAGCCAGTAGGTTTTCTTGGTCTGCCAGCTTGCCATCCTGAACTACACGCTGGTTCGGTGAGCAGGTGACGGTAACGACTTCAGGGGGCCATGTATAAAGGACGGGGGTGCCCATCAAGTCCAGCGTAACATTGGATGACGCCAAGTCTTCACCAGTCTCTATCTTTAAACTGGCCTTCAGGCTCAGCATCAATCATTCGTTACAACGGCCAACATGACGTCCAGGTGGACTATATCGTTGCGCATAGCAGCTTTGATCTTCTCTCTTGATGCCGCCTTTACATTTGCCCAGGGCATAGACGACGCGCCTGAGACCAACATAACCTCCCCACCAGCGGTGTCCAACTCCACGCCACTTGGTGTTAGGCAAACTATCCTCTGCATCGTTCCTACTGGAGACCAATGGGTCGCAAGCTTTGCAGATATATGCACATTGGGTCTGGAGGGGCTCGGCATCTCTTATGAAGTTCTCACGTTCCCTCAAGCTGGAACGCCTCTACCGACGCTTGAACAAGACGGGTATGGCAACTATGGCGGTATCGTCACACTCAAGGAGCTTTCCTACGAGTACAACGAGCCCGGGAGGGCAGGCTGGCTCAGTGCCCTGACGGACGCTCAGTGGACTGCGCTTTATGACTACCAGGTGAAGTATGGCGTGCGAATGGCCCGGCTGGATGTGTTTCCCACGACGCAGTTCGGTGCCAACATCAGGGCCCCAGGAGGCTCTTCGGCTGCCGGCCAGCTCTGGTCTTTCACCAACCTGACAGGCTTTGAGAGCTCTGGGATCAAGGAAGGGGGCACGGTCGCCATGGACGGTCTCTACTACTACGGTGCTGATGTGACCGATGCCGCAACGACCTACCCTATTGCCAAGCTGCACTCTGGACCAACATTCACGAGCGATGCCACGGCTGCTGTCATCAACGCCTTTCCACATGCCAACGGCACGCGGGAGCAGATGGTCTTCTTCACCAGCTTTGCGGCGGGCTGGAGCCAAGCATCCAACTTTATTCAACATTCGTGGATCAGCTGGATGACGCGCGGGCTGTATCTTGGCCAGCGACGAGCGTACCTAGGCACACATATTGATGACGTCCTCCTGACTACCACAATCTGTAAGTATACGATAGCCCCTGCTGCGGTACCTTGTCTTTCACTTCCAAGCATTTTCTAGCACTCCCTAGGAGCCGCACCTGGACCTTTGGGGCCGAAGGCTAACATACAATAGACGGCACCGAGAGAAACTTCCGCCTGCGCGTGGATGATGTCGAGGCACATGCCGCATGGACAAGGGATATCAATTCTCGCATGCCCCCTGGGTCTGACTATTTGATTGAGATGGCCTACAATGGAAACGGAAATATCGAGGAGGCTGTGCAGGGCTCCTACGGGTCCGACATATGTGTCCCAGAAACCAACGTCATCACGGCGGCGAAGCCCGTCCTCGTTGACCAGGAATTCAAAAAGCCTCTCGGTACTGGCGAGGACGCCTGGCCCCCCGAGCAGACGAGCTATACCTGGTCTGAGCAGTGCGAGGATCTCGACCCGCTTGCGACTTACTTCACGACCCACCTTGATGAGTTCTACCATGTGAGCCACACGTTCACGCATCTGGCTCTGTCCAACGCCACCTTCTCCGATGTGGACAAGGAGATCCGCTTCAACCAGATCTGGTTCAACAACACAGGCTTCTCAGGCCACCCCAAGTTCTCCCCCCACTCCCTCGTCCCGCCGCAGATCACAGGCCTGCACAACGGCGACGCCATCCGCGCCTTCACAGGCAACGGCATCACCTACGTGGTGGGCGACAACACCCGCCCGCGCCTCCTGAACACGGAGCGGCCCTTCTGGACGCTGACGACGACCGAGGAGCGCAACGGCGCCGCCGGGCTGGAGATCATCCCGCGCTTCGCCACAAACATCTACTTCAACTGCGACGACGCCGCGTCCAACACGGCGCTGTGGCAGAACGCGCTGGGGCAGACTACGGGCTTCGACGGGATCATGCAGGTCGAGCGCATGGCGGCCGCGCGGAACCTGCTCGCGCTGCGGCACGACCCGTACATGTTCCACCAGGCCAACATGCACGCCGTCGACACGGGCGTCGTGCGGACCGCCGCCCGCGAGTACGCCAACCTGTCGCTGCTGCAGATCTGGGTCGAGGAGCTGGTGGACGAGATGACGAGGCTGGTGAGCTGGCCCATCCGCACGCTCAAGCACGACGACCTCGGCATCGCGTTCGTCGAGAGGCGGCAGAGAGACGAGTGCCGGCCCGCGCTGAGGATGGACTATTCGGCGGACGGGAACAGCCTTGTCGGGGCGACGGTGTCGGCCGCCGATGGGAACTGCCAGGTTGAGATCCCGGTGACTTTCCCCGGCCCGGTGAGGGATACAAAGGGCGCCAGATCTGAGCAGCTTGGGAGTGATCCGCTGACACTCTGGGTGAGGCCTGGCGGTGCGAGCGTATCGTTTGAGTTGACTACACCTGTGCCTGTGAGGTAATGTGGGTACGATGTGATGATTTTGGGATAGCCCGGTTTGATAAGCCTATGTAATTAAAATTTATTCTTAATTAACCTTTACCTTTATATCCTTCATGATCTTGTGACAGTGTAGACGGTATTCAAATGCCAATTTTGTATAACCCATGCAATACGAGGGAATCTTCACAGACAGAGTGATAGCCCGGAAAGAAATTGCGTGGCATTGCAGTCTCTGTGTATCCTGGGTCTGGGATCCCACAACGTTCGTCGACCTGCTTGTTGTGGTAGAACCGCCATCGTCACCATGTTGCATTCGGTCGATTCATATCCCAAGTACATTACCGGATCCGAAATCTACGAACTCAGCGATGCCCTCAGAAAGCAGGCCATGTCTTTTGCCAACACTGTGAACCTAGAAGACTCACCCAGAGCCAAGGAGTATCGTGCTCGTTTCGCCGAATCTCCTCGCGGCATCCATCATGCTGCCACCCTTGATCCAGCAGTCGTGGAAGGAGGTGTTCTCTCTTCCAACATCTTCTGGCACGGTAGACGATTGGCCGATGCAATGGGACATGTGGCAAAGTTGTACACGAATGGCAAAGCGGAGTACGTCATGACAGCTCAAGAGGATACAGCTATCCTCGCCGCTCTTTTGCGGGCTGCAATCCAAGGAAAGGTCGATTTCTACCGCATTTTGATCACGCGCGCCGGCTCGGACTTCGACCGGCAACCGTCGGATGCAATTCCAAAGCTCCCATTTAACATGGACAGGTCTGGAGGGTTGGAACCTGCACTTCGGAATTTGTATCTAACGGGTGTCAGCATTGTCCAGGGGATTTTACGTGGCTAGAGTGACAAGTTCAAGAAAGGGCTCAAGGATGAGAACTACGTTGGGGACTTTTTTGCATCGCTTGGTGGTGAACCGGACTTCATGACCCAGGGTCTCACATCCGTCACTGGCTGAATGCGGTGTCCTTTGAGGAGCATGTAGCATTTAATTCGCAACATCGAGATGCTCCTGATGTCTCTTTGCTTTTTTTTTGGGTGTAATTAGTGTCATTATTATTATTGTAATTAAAGCTACTCTAGCCACGTGCTGGGAGGACACAGCTGTAAAGGCTTTCCTATCAGTCGGAATGAGCGGAGAAGCCCATGTTATATCCAAAGCCGTGTTATGTCCTGGATAGGTCCCTCTATATTTGATTATCAGTAGCACATATCTGATCGCCCGCACAAATAACTATCGAAGACGCTGTTCGAAAAGGTCTACTGCAGGGATCGTAGTACTTTGCGATATGATTGAGAAGAGCGACAAATTTCTAGAACAGGGTGTGCATAAGGTATAGATGAATGTTATGATAACTTCTCATTCTCCAGCCTTTAGGATGTAAAAGGAGAGATATCACTGAATCTGGGGGAAATGAAGTCAGGATATTTAGGTGTTCGATGGCTGGGTTCTAACTCTCTCTCACTGCAAATCACTCTCTTCTTCTACACTTGGTCCATTCAGCTTTTTCGTGTGCTGCATAAAATCCTTGACCAAACATTGCATGCCTCTTGTCGCTGCTAATGATACCAAAGAAGGGTCCGGATGTGCGAGTGTCCAGGGAACTTGCACACGTGGATCCGCTCCAGCTTGAAGTAACAGCCTCACCAGTCGTATCACATCCTGGTTGTCTGTGTCCGAGTACGCCATCATGGCTTCCTTGAGTATAGAAGAGAAGTACGATAGACAAGCTCGAGTTGGAACCGCACCTGCTTCCATGAGAGGCTCTACCACTAAGTTGACTGATGCCGCATTCCGAACTGCGAGCCAGAGGGGTGTCTCGCCATGACAGTCCGGCAGATTCGGGTCTGCGCCTCGGCTCAAAAGGACGTTGACGAGAGTGTTGGACATTTGGGAGTCTGTATTCTTTGTTTCTGCCAGGTAATGCAGCGCTGTCCTTCCTTCCGCATCTTGGGCATTCACGTACTCAGCATCTTCATCCAGCGCCAGTCGATAGATGATTTTCTCGAGCTTGGACTTCCAGTCCTCCGCGAGGTCGGAAACTTGAAAGGGTACTCGGAAGCCTGGAGGCTCGTCCGAAATGCTACGAGATAGCATCTTGCACGCCATCGCGAGGGCTGTATGGCCATGCTTGGAGATTCGTTGATGATCGGGCTGGTTCTGCCGCTCAATCCAATCAGATGTTCGTGTAGTCTCGCAGCAAAAATCCAGTTTTCAGTCACCTCGGCGATCCGAATGAGCGATCCGCCGAGCCTATCAATGTCCACCTTGTGACGAAGAAGCTCCAGACAGACTCGTGTCCTGCGAAGCCACAAAGCAGCCTCGAGAGGGTAGCATGTCGCCACGAAGCCTGGACTGCGTATGTCGTGAATCATTTCAAACGGTCCGATGTTTGGATCTGCTCCGAGACGCAAGAGGTGATAAACCCAAGCGTCACTCTTCACTTCGATGGCTCTCCACAACAGCGATTTTCCATCGAACGTCGGCGTGTTCACGAGACCCTGGCTAGCAAGATTCTCCACCTCTTCCCACCTCTCGTCATCTAGCGCCCTCTCGATAGCTGATTTTTCGGATAACCCTTTTGCTTGAATCCGGTGAAACTCATACTTCAAATCCGGGCGAAGTGCTAGAATCACAGCAATAGCGACCAATTTGTGCCTGTCCAGCAGCCTTTCGAGAGCGTCAAGCAAACTATCATCTTTAAGAGCTCCTTGGAAGGATGCATGAAAAAGTATTTCGCGAATGAGTCGCTCCTCGTCCTCAGCAGATAAGGCACCTGTGCAGATCCCCGTTGTCAAAATCTGGATCGGCGAACACTGTAATACGGAATGCAGCGCAACCGGATCGGCACCTAAGTCGAGAAGTAAGGTGATTTTGTCGCAATTCGACGGTATCTCATTGCTGTGCAAGCTCAAGAGATACCGGACCAAGAAGTCCCCCAGCCATTGGCCACGGATGCTCTTGTGCAATTCGAGGGCACGTACGACTTCAGCCTCGTGGCCTGGGGCCAGATCGCGCTGGGAAAGAATATTTCGGAATAATGACCCGTGCGCATTCTCAACTGCCCATACAAGGCCCGAGTATGGCCTTTCCTCCAGGTCTGCGCATGGCGGCTTGACCGTAGCCACGCCACCTTTCAGAAGCCGCCACCAAAGCCCCCAACTCTCCTTGCAGTGCCGAATGTTTTCGTCAAAGAACCTTGTGTGAAATACCCAATGGCTTGTGGCGTAAGGTGCGAAACAACGCGGGTCTAGGTCTTGCTGTATGCGAGTAGCCTGTATCTGTGAAAGAACGTGTCCGATGTCAAATTGAGAAGGCCGGGTCCGTCTTTGTTCCCTTGATCGAATATGTTGAACCAAGCGGCTTACACCTGGGAGAGACTCCTGTGTGGTTCCAATCACGTTATCTAACACACCAGCGCTCTGGAGATTCCTCGTAACGGTTACCCTTGAATCCAAAACGGGGAGGTGGAGATACGTGATACAGGTAGCTCCAATGTAGTTTTCGGCAGCCTCGGCTGAGAAGTGATATGATGTCGTGTTTTCACTGCGTGCTGGCGAGAGCAAATGTTGGATAACGCTGTGGTGGATGAACCGAACTTTCCCATCCTCCTCGTCGAGTTCGAGCAAGTTCCCTCCACAGAGTGATATAAGTTGGGTGCCATCCTTGGCGATCCTTTCAGGACGCCAAACCGGCTCGCCGGGGACAACGCACAATGCAACTCTGATATCATCGAGGTCGAGAGGAGTAACCGCGGCCATGACCAGTTTCATGATCCTACCTTCATATTGGCGATCTGTAATTCCTTCGAGAGCTCGCTCGAAAGCTTCCGGTAGGTCTTTCGGGAGATGCGTTATAAGGTTTAAGATGCGGTCATCCGTGATGACAACATTTGAATTGGCAGGGAAGATTGTATCAAGCTGAAGCGAAGCCCATAAATACCTGTAAACATCTGCTTAGCAACGGTTTCTTCCTCGAGGATTTTGCCCACTGACATTCCCTGTGCCCCGATAATGAGCTGCTTCTTCACGAGTTCCTCCAGGTGGGGACTTAATTGTCTGGTAGTGTTTCTTTTGGTGACCTCTTCCACGATATAGGACTCAAGCTCCGCGTCGTGATTGACGTCATCTGGGGATATCAAGAATTTCGGCTCGAAATGTTGCTTAGCAACGAGCTGAAACCGTGAATCAGAGCGACTCGAATAGCATAGCAGAACAACTCGGTTCTGTGCCAGGCGACGGAGACCGGAAATCACATCAGTTATGTCAGCCCCGGAACAATCCTCTAGACCGTCGACGATAATGATGAATGTTCTGTCCACGGGGAGGAGGCCCAAAACGAAGTTGATAATGCTCTCCGGGTCGAAAGTGTTGATCATAGCGTCAAACTGCTCGGCGTCTCCCCAGATCATGGCTTCTGGCGGCAGATCCAGTAAACTGAAAGCAATACTTCCTAAAATATTCGCGGCTTTCAGACTTGTTGGTTCCTGGGATGCACAGAACGCGTACGCGCATGGCTTCTCGAGGTCCACCCGGGCAACTAGATTTGCCATTGATACCGTTTTGCCGCAGCCCAATTTACCACTAATGCAGAGTGTCGCGGATGTCTGCATAGACTTCCAGTCCTTGAAACTTGGGGTGTCAAACATCCATTCGCAAGTTCCTTTCTTGCGCTGGCGTCTCCATCTTGTTTCAAAGTCGCCCTGGTGAGGTGATAGCCTCCGCAATATTCGTTGTTTCGCGTCTTGGGACCTGCTGTCTTTTGCACCGGTGGCTATCTTCATCGCTAAGACTTGGCATTGTTGCTGAATCAAGTTTCCCCACTGATCCAACTCCTTTTGAATAGTCCCAAATTCCGAATCGAAAGATGATCCTAAGGAAGAAAACAACTGGGCACCAGTGTTCTTCTGGCCGAAGACAACGACCTTGTTGCAAAGCTTCATGAGAACGACTAGGTACTCACAGAAATACGTCTGAAGTATTTCTGATCGGGGGAAGAGCTGCGCAAAGTCTTCATGAAGTGCCCATGAGGTTCCGAGCCTCATAAACAATGTCGACAGTTTCTCAAAGTAGCTCATGTAATTCGTGGCAATCTTGAGCATGTTAGTCAAGAGACAGCCGGCCGCTCAAAGACACGGCTATGGAAATTGAGCAGATGGACTCACTGTTAACGACAGCCTCAGAGCACTCCATACCCCTGTTGCAATGAGATTTTGAGATCCCCCGATTAAGACATCGCCAATGCTGACAAGTGTCTGAATACGAGATAGGAAACCACCCACTTTCGTTCCATGAGTTTTCCAGGCCCCTGGTATGTGTTAATCACCTGCTGTTGAGCCTAAGGTGACACATTCTGAAACATCCCCGAACACGACAGAGGGAAAATCGTAAGAGGAGAAAAACTGTGCTTACGATGGCGACGAGATCCCTCCTGGTTGATCTCTTCGGTAACCCTGATAACGTCCCAGCCTGATAAGTGGATGCCTTTTGCAGTCTGCATGCGCCGAAACTCCTCTCTGCGCTCATCATCGAGGGACTGTGCGAAGTTGGAGATCTCTATCCCCAGGCGCACTTCGGGCTTCAACTTGCCGCTCAAGATGAGCTGCTTCGACATTCGCTCCATCGGCGCGGGGGTGGTCTCCCGGGAGATGGTTTGGGAGTGACGCGATAGCAAACGAGGCTAACAGGACTCCTTGATGCAGTGCACGACAAGAGAGTAGCATTTCAACCTGGTTTAGGTGACAAGATCTGTCAAATGGATTGTCCAAGACTGTCCAGACATCTTTCCACAGGCGTGGGCAGGCTGCCGCAGGACACGTGATACATCTCGGGGGCGTAGCGGTGACTTGCATGCATAATATGCATGCTTGCGCCCTGCTGAACCCAATTGGGCATTTCAGCCGCTGGGGCACAGCCTACTTCTTGGATTGGTGGTGCTGATGCGGACGAATGATGAAAATGGAATAGTAACATCAACAGGAAGCGAGATCTGCGGCAAGGCGGATTCCGAACGTTTCACAAGATCACCAGCGTCTAGGATGCCTGCCCGTCATGTAAACAAAGCGAGAATGGTGTCTGCATCACCCGGTTAGGATTGGTTGCCTTTCTGCAAGAGGTATTGCCACGAATACTACACAAACAAAAATATCTATCTCATCGCGAAGCGGAGGGGCAAAGGACACGTGGGAAAAGAGCCCGGAGAACGCTACCAACAAGAACTTCTCTTCCCTTATTTTTTGGTCTCACCTCCCCCGAAAGTAAAATGCACCTTGTCCATCTCTTCAATCTCGTGAATAAAAAAACTACTGCATCTTCTCGTGAGTGGCCATGAGGGAGCCTGCAGTCGTGTGGTTAGCCATCGTGCCCCAACGCGGGGAATAGGGGTGTTGAGACGCATCATCAGCTTACCAATAAAAGTGGTGACCAGACGCGACCGGACCTGGCAGATATCCTCGGGCACCAGCCAGATGGTGGCGCCCATCTTTCTCGCAATCGAGATACTTAGCTTGGCGTTGAGGTACGCGTCGTCGTCGGTGCGCCCTGGTGTGACGAGGTCGTAGTCGACGTAGTTGCTCTTCATGCCGTTCAGCACGTCAATCAGGAAGACACCGGTGCCGATGCTGCCGTCCTTGAAGGAGCGGATGGCCGAGTTCCTGCCGCCCTTGCGGGACATGTCGTTCGCCCACTTGACCATTTCGGCGTCGGTGATCTCTCGCTTGCCGAGCCGTTGTGCCAGAGCGCCCAGCGTGATCGTAATGTTCTTGCGCATCAGCTGCCACACCAGGCCGAGGGTGAGGGTCTTTTGGCCATCGGTGATATCGGCTCCTTGGATACCGACCAGGGAGAAGCCGTTCTGCTTGCCTAGCTCAATCGCGTAGTTTGTGTTCTCGACGGCCTTGAACCGCATCAACTCGTTGCCATTCGCTGGGGGCTTGTTGACGTGCCGCCAGTTGACCGAGCCCTTGATGACCTTGTCGTAAGCCTGCAATAGTACTGAGCCATCGCGCAGGTCGTCGAAGAAGGATTGGACAGCAGGTTGGACGTCCAGACTGTTGAGCCACAGGGTGAAGACCCTGGCCTCGCGCTCGCCCTCGGCATCGAAGTCCTCCACTTCCTGCTTCTCCTCTTCCGTGATAGGGTCGAGGCAAGGGTGGGTGTTGAACAGGTTTGCGACAAAGGCGAGGTTGAGCTTGGGGTTTCCGGCAACAAGGGATTTGGGGGTGAGGAACTTGCGGCAGCTCAGCTTGTCGGCATCTTGAAGAACCTCCTCGGCACGCTGGAGCAGGTCCCGTGTTTGCAGAGGGGCTCTTGTGCAACCGTATTCCGAACCAATTTGTGCCAGAAGAACAGCATAGTTCTCGCCGTCCTTGACGTCGGTGGAGAAGTTGGCAACGCGGCGGGGCCAGTTGGCGGCCTTGAGATGGTAGTTGACCCAGCGCAAGAGGATCTGCTCTGGTGGCAGTCTCAGGAATTGCTCGAGGGTCTCGTCCTCCTCCAACAGCCGGTACAGCTCGGGGTGCAGCTTGATGTCAATCTTGCCCAAAAGACCCCTGCGGATGACCTGCCAGATGAGACCCAGAATAAGATGTTCGCGGACCTCGATGATATCCCCACTGCCAATGTTGACGACGGAGCAGCCGATACCCTTGGCGGACTCGATGACGATGTTGTTGTTCTCGGTCATGTGGAATGCATTCAGCTTCTTGATCTTCCTGCCGGGAACGTTCATCACACGCTCATCGATGGTATCCGGTACGCTGTCGTTGATGAGCTTGGCCAGGACCAAACCGTCGCGGCACTCGTCGAACATCTCGAAGGTGTCGGTAGGGAAGGGTAGGCGGTCGCCAATGTCGGCATCTCCGGCAAGGACGGCGTTGATGTGTCGGGTGAACTCGGTGCGCTCGTCCTCGTTGATGGTGTGAGTGATGTTAGCATTCGAGCCTTGGACGTGGATCTTGCCGCTGATGCTGGACTTCTGGGCGTGCCCGCCGCCAACACCGCCGCCGGTGCGCTGTGCGACGACGCTGCTGGGAGAAGCGGGGGCGGCGCCTCCTGTGCGCATGGCGACCTGGGCAGGAGAGGAATCTCGGAGTTTCGCGATGAGCTATTAATTTCCCGTCAGCATCGGAGACCGGCGTGGACGGCCACCTTCGTGTGCCTCTCTCTGTACGTACGCCAACATAGTCCTCCAACTCGACGCGCCTGGAGGAGTCGAGGTCGACCTCCTTGAGTGCTTGTCGCACAACATCGTAGGGCTGTCGCTCGCTGGCCTGGGTTGCCTTGATGGCAGTGGCCTCGTCTACGTAACCCTTGTCGTCGACATCGAGCTTGCGGAAGGCGTCTGCCAGGCCGAATATGTCGTTCTGCTGGAACTGGGGGAACTTCCTGTGTTGGTGGTGAGATGGTCAGCCCCTTGATCACGATGCCTCAGCTCAGCTCAGCTCCATCGTTGTTGCGCGCGGAGACAGGGTCGGGGTTGCCGGGGTGGAGGGACTCGTACCTCTGCAGCTTGAGGACGTTCATGATGGCGTGTGTATGCACTCTATTTTGTTGCTGATTGGAGATGCTGGATGTGATATGGTATTGGAAAGGGAAGGGCAGTGAGGCAAAGGAAATACGCAGCCCAAAGAGGTCAGGTCGTCAAGTCTGGGTCGAGTCGCATGTGGGGGAAGGTAAGCTGGAGGAGGGATCAATCAATCACTTAATCAATCAAGCACCCGCCTAGGAGCTGTCGGGTGGTGACTGGCGGGGCACAGGAGGAGCAAGCAAGCGGGCGTACTGTGGGAACCTTGCAGTATGACGTCTCCCTCCAAGCCTACGGGCTGGAGATGAGCCAGGGGCCGCAATCAAGCTCGCAGGCTCGCTACTCTTTAGGCACCGCTGACCAGCAATGCACGCAAGCCACGGCGGGTTTACGCGTACCACGTTCTACCCGCCGCAGGTCAAGCGAGATGCCAAGAGGCCCTGACGACGCATGGTTAGGCAGTCATTTTTTTTTTTTGGATCCGACCAGTTTTAGGTTCGCATCGCCATAGCCCAACTCAATGCCCGCCCATGACGCATTTGAGATAGCGGGGCACTTTTTCCTCATGCAATTTCGACCAGATCTTCCCAACTGACTCGAGGTATCTCATTATGTGCATGAATTCCGCCGGTCCTGCGACTGATCTACTGCTCTTCAGAATTATCTTCATTCTCTCAGACTTTGAAGGTAGCTGTCCGCCGTCGCTTTCACTGATCCTGTTCAAAAGCGAGCACAAAAAACTCAACTAATACATTAGAGGTAAATCTCAAGTGTCGCTGCCGTCTTCATGAACCATCGAAGCCGATGACTTCTTTCATGAGCGAGCTCTGACGTCTGCATTCTTGCTGCCCAGGCTCAGTGGCCCTCTGCCTAAGCACTTGCTCGATTTGACGTCTCTTCACCGGTCGAGTATGTTTCTCTTATTCTGAGAATAGCCTCACCTGTTTTGACGCAATGCAGCACTTGGTATCCTAACTGTGTCTGGCATATTCCAGGCCTTCCGTGTTGGGTGAATCCCCGTGGACAGCGGAGAGGAACTGTCCTGGTATATGTCTTTCTAACCCCCAACTAAATTTATCTCACCTCGGCTGGCTGGAGCCCATCAACCTGGACGACATCTCAGCCAACCTCACTCACGCTTACTTACTTTCTGTGCCTTCTACATGTCCTTTCATTCTGTCTCAGCCTCATCCTAACAGCCTGACCAGGCCCCTCCTTCAGCTTGGAATTCCTCTCCCACCCCTCAGGCAAAAAATGGCAAGCAGCAGCACAACCCCACTCTGCAAAGTCTGCGAGGACCCCCTCGTCACACAAGTCGACGACGGCGAGCCACCTGTCCAGGACGACCTAGAGCTGCCCTGCGGCTGCCACTACCACTGGCAGTGCCTCCTCGACCAGGCCGGCCACATAGCCCTGACGCTCACCTGCCCCTCGTGCGACAAGTACCTCCCGTCCAACGAGCCGGGCCCCTCGGTCACCAACCCCATCTTCCACACTCCCCAGCACCAGACCACCATCCGCACCCGCTACGCCTCAGAGACCGGCGTCGAGGAGAACTACGACATCCTCCCCACCCTCACAGAGGAGGCCTACCTCGAGTCCCACCCAGACGAGACCCGGCCCCGGGCCTTCCAGACCATGTGCGGCGAGGGCGACGTCCTCGGCGCCGTCGAGCTGCTCAGCGACGCCGCCGCCCAGGGGGAGGACGTCCCCGCCATCCTGCTGTACCGCGACTCGCTCGCCCGCGGCCGCACCCCGCTGCACGTCGCCCTCGAGAAGGGCCAGGAGGACGCCGTCTGGCTGCTGCTGTTCCTCGGCAGCCCGCGCCTCTCGCTCGACAACTTCCCCCAGGAGGCCCTCGACGCCGCACGGGGTATGGGCCTGGACCGCATGCCCGACCGCGGCGGCGAGGATGTCCGCGCCGCCCGTGACGATGACGGCCGCACGCCCGAGGACTATGCCAGGGCTCTGCCGAATCTATGGGGTCGGTTGGTTAATGCGGGCGTTTTGCGGCCTTGAGGGAGCCGCTGTCCGTCGATCATCCAGCTCAAAAGCAGAACCTCTTCTTTCTAGTTGAGCTGTGGTGACCGAGGCTTGTGACTACTAGGAGGCTGTACTTCATAGTTACCGAGATATTACATATGAGAAATCAAACAATAATGAAATTCTAAGACCCCAATTATCGCTATTTGCATATCATCCAGCAATGCGCCGTGCGAGGAGAATTATCGTATAGCACGGGTACGAGTACGAAAGCGTGTCGCAGGGATCGTATTGTGACCCACTCCCACCCGGAAGCACGGCCACATCCAGGCGTCACATTAGGGACACAATCGGGTCAATGTTCACTTCAAATCGACCATCCCTTGTCACTGCTGACTGTACTTGAAAAGCAATGAACTCCTCATTATGGCCCTTCTAGAATTGCCATTACCCTGGCGATCTAATGCCAATCGAAAATAACGCCGTCCGGCCTAGCCGAAGCACCCGTAAGAAAGCCCGCAATACCAAGAAAGAAACGCCCAGTCGCCGCCCGCCACTGCTTATAACCCAATCCTATCTAGCAGCGCAGCCCGCCGTCTAAGTGAATGTAGCGTGTGTCCATCCCGTGTGTATAGGTGCATGTGTCCGAAAGCAGGAGCAAAATATTCAGTTCATCACCTCCTCCCTGCATCACTGCCCTCCCCCTTCCTGGAGAGCAGCTGGCTCATGATGAAGTGTGCCACGTCCTCATCCGCCCAGTACGCCATGTGGCTGGCGATTGTGTTCATCGGGTTGAAGTCCAGAGCGCCCTCCTGGATGCTGTAGTCGACCCGCCCGTTCCTGTTGAGCGCTCGCACCTTCATCTCCTCCTTGCGCACCCGCGCCGCCTTGTTCTCCTGCGCAAGCCAGTCCTCCCTTTCCGTCTCGTCCTGTGCACCGCCCTCTTCTTTGATCTTGTCCGCCCTGCCCTTCTGGAACTTGCTGTACAACGTCTCCAGGTCGTCGTCCAGAAGTGTCATATCGTTCCCGCTGATGCTCTTGCGACCGCCCTGATCCTCGGCCAGCTGCCTCTTGCGCTCCGCCGCCTTTTGGCTGAGGCTTGTGGACGAGTCCTGCCGAGAGATTACGCCAGACGACGTGGAGATGTTGGTCCCAGCTCCTGGGCTTGGCGTATGCTGCTGCTGTTGCTGCTGCTGCTGCTGCTGTGAGGCGGTAATTTGCGCAACATCCTCGTGGGTCAGCCCCAGGCTGCGGTTTAATAGATTGTTAGCCAGCCCGGCACTAATGTTCGCCCACAGGCCGCTGACACTTTGCCCGACCTTGGCACCGATGCCTGAGATGCCCTGGGGAGCCACAGCACCGAAGATGCCTTTCTTGGTGTAGGGCAAGTTTTGAGGCTTCAAAGAGGACATGGCGGGTGAGATGAGGGGCTCGATACGGTAGGATATTGGATCGGCCGGGTAGAAAATATTGAACATCTGGGACACTTTAGGCGAAGACACAGAATACGGCAGTCCTGTGACAGGGGAAATGCGGTGGTGGTCGACTGCTAGAGGCGTCGTGCGGAAGGGATCGTCGGCTGAGTCTGGATCAAAAGGACTGTTCGCTGGTAGGCCACCTGTGAGATGGCGGGCAGAGATTGTTCTAGTGCAATTAGCAAGGTACGTTGTGACTTTGCCATGAGATTGGGACACTTACCGTCCCTTCAGCATCTGGAATAATCCAATCGGAGAGCCGAGGCAGTAGAAGTCATCAACCTCAAAGTCGAATGTCAAGTCTCGAGGGTCTTTTGTCGCGGGCTTCCGAGCTTCGGATGGCCAGATTCTGAGCGGGTTCTTGGACTGCTCAACTTGTTTCTTCATCTCTTGCTGGCGGCACAGAATATCGAACATGATTGCAGACCCGAGGGAATGACCCATGATATGAACCTTGCCCTTAAAGCCAGGGTTTCTCTCAACGAAAAGGTTGTATATCCTGTTGGCCTCTTTGAACACAATCTCGGAGATCTGTTCTCTGTAAGCGCTCTGGTATAGGAGGACGTCCAATGCCAAATCAGATATAAGCGATCGTGCAAATGCCACGCCTTCAATCGTTATGTCGTCGAGGGAAGGATCTGGCGCCTGAGTTAGCAGAAGCCCCTCAAATAAGCAGCTAAAACTTACACTCGTCTTCTTCGGTCGTCGCAAGGCCGATGTCCTGCTCGCTCTTCTTCTCCTCACGTTTTCTGGGAAAGTCCAGTAAGTGACGCCAGCACACGGGCAACACCTGCACACGAGAATTGCCTGGACCTCCGCCAATTTCTGAGTTGAGGGCCCTGAGATCCTCAGAAGTAGTGTAGACAGACTTGATCGTCTTCCTCAACGTGTTGACATCGTGGACGAAGTTGACACTCTCCATTCGCAGTCCAAGCAACTGGCCAATACCGTGAGTAATCAGGACAAGGTGCTCAATCTCACGCCCCTGTGTCTCGCCGGCTGGTGCGTTGTAGTCATCCTGTATTTCCTTTTCCTCCCTCTTCCTCACGGCTTCTTCCTCCCGGTCGACATCGCGGTTTTCGCTCTCAAGCAACGACGATATCTGCCGCTTGAGACTATCCCCTCTGATCTCAATTGCTGTTTGGCCTGTTCCCTCTTCCTCCCCGCTCGAACGTGCTATGTCGATGGAGTCGGACCTTGTCGTCGGTGGCGCAGACCTACGTTTTCTTGCCTTGTCGAGCTGTTCCTCCGTGTTCTTGTTGTCAGTTGGTGTAGTCGGCGCCTTCTCGTCCTTGGAAGAGTCTGTTTTTGGCTTGGTCTTGCCGGGCTCTGTGTATCCACGGACAAGCTTAACGCCACTCATGTAGCCGCCTCCAGCGAAGCGTTCATACATAGTCGAGGTCACCCATGACAAAACGCCATCGGAATTGAGCCATGCTGTTGTAGAGTCCTGATACGTTGTTACCGAGTTCATCCAAGCACCAAACAGCCGATGTGTTTGCGGTGGCCCCTGCGGTTTCAAAGATGGGTCGGCTTGCGCAGCGGCCTGGGCCCGGAGGTTATCGACCGATCCCTTCGGTGTCACGTCTCCCTTCTTTGATTTTGGGTCGCTTCGGATTCTTGGGGCTAACCAGGAGTTAATTCTCCGTCGTTTGCTGGGCCGCTCTTCCAACTCACCAGGATAGAGCCAGGGTTTGCACTTGAGATATCCCTCCTCCAGTTGCGCAGCGAGATTCTCCTCGCAGGGACGAAGGTTCGAGCCCTCCTGGTAGAACCAGCTTCCACGGCGCACATCGTAGACAGGACCCAGCCAGTAGACTGGGGCGAGCTCTCGTTTTTCTATGTCGACGTCGAAGAGAAAATCTTCATTAACCGGGACCTTAGTTCCACCTTGTGTATCGCTCTCTTCAGAGTCTGAAGTGAATGCCCTCCGCGGGCCTGAAAAGTTCCTGGTTGGGCCCGAGTTGCTTCGCTCCCGCTCGATTTCTGTGCTCTCTAGAACGCCCTGGTATGCAGCCTCGATGGATCGCGTGTCGTTGTTGGAGAATGGGACCCATTTCTTGGGAGGTTGGGGTGGCTTTTCGTCGGGTTTCCGTTTGCCCTTGATGAGCTGTGGCTTTCGCTTGGGGACCTGCGGCGGTTGTTTGTCAGTTATTTGCCTGCAGTGCTGATTGTGGGTACCTACATCAACAGCATGGAACCACTGGACCTTAACTGGAGGACAGTCCGGAGGATACTTCCTGGTACTGATGCCGTATATGGGGTTGATGCTGTGGTCGCCTCCCTGGGGAGCCGGCTTGGGCGTAGGAGGCGCTGGTGGCTGCTCTTTTGGTGTCGGGGTCGGTGTCGAGCTTCGGCTGACGGACCACGGGTTGATGGAATCCACTGCAGAAGCCCAAGTTGATTTCTCTGCCTTCTTGTCGGCACCGGATCCAGAGGCCATGTTCTTATGCCATGCGGAAGAAGCTTGTGAGGAAGACCAGCTCCTGGCAGAGTGGCGCCAGGCGTGCCTTGCAGTCGCCCGCCTCCAGGCGATGGACACGGCAGAATTCCGGGGCGCCAACTTGGGACAAGAGGGCACGTAACACGGCCGTGATCGATGGGATGGGTTGGGGTCGCGATTGGCAGTGTCCGAGCGGACGGCTGAGTCGTGTAGGGTGGGGGAATTGTCCTTGTCACGTCTTGAAGGTGTAGGTAGCCACCGTAGCTGTTTGGCCAAGGACGACAAGAGGCGGAGGGAGCTGGGAAGGCAGCATGAACCAGCTTGACGTGGCGTCACAGAAGATAACACGTGCATGTGACGAGGCAGAAATGCGAGGATTATGCGGCGAGTCTTGGATTAAAGGGTCATGCTATGTCTGGCCAGATTTGTCGACTGTCAAGGTTCGTAATTAGAAGTCGGCAAGCTCATTGTCTCACCCGCAGGCGCGCCCGGCCCCCAATGAGGGCCTGTGGATGCGACCACGCGGCTCCTCCATCAGCTGGCGGGATGAGTCTGGCAGTCCCGAAGGAGCTATGACGTCCCTGACCGGCGGCCCGCCACTTACCGTTTCAGGGGAAGATCAACCGGCAGCAGCCGAGCACCTACAGCAGGCTCCCTTGCCCGCCGCCTGCCCCAGGCTGAAGCGCCAGGAGCTCCAGCTTGACATTGCAGTCGTCGGTCGCAGGCCGTGTTGATCAATTTCGTATTTGAGTCTGCCCACCGTTTTGCGAGGGGTTTTAATGCCAATGATTTCCACCGATTTCCACCAGCTTCCCACTTACAATTCGCCTGAGCGAATAATCTCCAGCTCCAAAACCGCTTGGCGATTAAAACCCAAAACCGCGATTCCCGGTCCTTCCGGGTGGGCGTACTGACGATCCCGCCGACACCTGCCATCCAGGTCATCTTATCCGTCTTCGCGAAGCTGTTCCTGTCTGGTTTAACTGCCATCAATTCTCTGCAGCCGCCAAGAGGGCTGGACACAAGTCTGCTGGCCCGTAGTATTCTTTTTGATATTGGATCCAAGACCATGGCTTGGTGGCCTAGCACCGAACCGATTCCTTGTCCCAATATACCGACGCCAGCTACGCCAGGTGGACGTGCCTGGCTTCGAGTGTGAGAAATTTGGGTGGATACCAATTCTGCCGGGAAGGCTGTCTGACCAACAACTCTCAACCTGCAATCACAGATACAGAAACGATTGTAAGCATCGCAATCATCGACTCGTATGTCGACTCACATAATCTTTCACACAGTCACTCATCCTATTTGGGCCAAAATTAGTCATCGCAGCCACTTCCGATATTACGGTATATCCCGATCACCTCGGCTGGGCTGTATATACGTCCAGTTCACAATGCATCAAGGGCTGTTGTCAGATACTCCATCTCATTGAATAGAATCTATCAGCTTAAGCAGTTCTCCTTAGACTCAATTATCTACGCCAACTGCATTTAGGTGGGCACATCGATCGGCTAAGGAGCTCGCCCAACCCATGTGGGGGTCAGTGTACTTGGTCTAAACATGCATAGGCGCGTCAGGCCCATCAGTCGCATGGTCCCGCCGCATGTGCTATACCCATCATCGCCTTTCTTACGTCGCCAATATCTTCTTTCCTTATTTGACCACTCCCGACATGGATCACAACGCATGGAACAGGCGCTGAATACAATTTAACTCTACTCTGTGCCCCAATTGGCGTCACATGGGAGTGGGGTTCAGCCTGTGCGCTTTTAGGTAGCATCCATTGCGGTTGGATCGGGACGTGCAACCAACACCTTAATGCTTCGCTCAACCACACACATTTCCGGCCTAGAGGAAACGCGCTTTTGCAGCACTACAAAAGCGTGATCCTGTCCATCCAACCCAGAATGAAGACAGAAAGTAAACACCGTTTACTAGTTGCAACTTGGCTGACCGCTCGAGTCCATGGCCCGTGATCTGCCTCTATCAACAACAGGAATAAGGCTTGAAAACATTCAATCGACAGCATGTCAGACTTGACAATATTCAGGTATTCCGCCATTGGTTTCCTTGGCATCGCCCTCGCTATCATCTGGCTGCGGCGAAGGCTAATGCCAAAGCCATATCCGGGCATTCCTTACAACCAGGAGTCCGTCAGACGCATCACTGGAGACATCCCGAACCTCGTGCCAATCATCGAAGCCACCAATGAGTTCTCAAACACGCTCTTTACGGTCACAACTCAGAAGCTAGGCGTCCCCATCGCCCAGTTGTTGTTCCCTGGCCTGCGAAAACCCATGGTGATTATCGAAGATCCTCGGGAGATCGAAGACATCCTAGTTCGGCGGAAAAAGGACTTTGACAAGGCGCCAATGGCAATAGACATGTTTGCACCCATGTTCCCGAACTCGACCCTTGGTCAGTACACAACGCCGGAGCTCCGCGCTCAGAAGCGACTGTGGCAGGATGTCATGAACATCGACTTTCTTCGCAAAGCTGCAGCCCCGAATATCCACAAGGCAGCACTGGAGCTCGTGGACTTGTGGCGACTCAAGGCAGCATCTCTCTACAAGGACCAAGCTTTCGAGGTTCATGACGACTTGAAAGATGCTACCCTGGACGCAATGTGGGTAGCCGTCGTGGGCGAAGAACCAGGCTTGACGAGCTAGAACTACCGAAAGCTGCAGAAACAGCTCTCCGGGGACCAGGGGCCAGACGATGAGCCCGCCCCGCGCGGTGCGTTCCTCAGGGAAGAGGTCCGCTACATCGGGGCAACCATCGCCAAGAACTCCAATCACCCTCTGCCGAAGTGGGCCCAAATATTCGAGACTTACACACCACGCTACCGAAGATTCAGACGGACTGTCCTTTCGGGAGTTGGACGTGTGATGAAGGCGGCTGTTGAGCGGTTCCAGCTGTTGGAGATCGGACAGCTTGAGTCCGATGCTCTGGACCAGTGCATGATGGACCTGGTTCTTCGCCGGCACATCCTCGAGGCCAGGAAGGCCGGAAGGCCCCCATCGGACCCCACTAAGGACATCAGCATGCTAGATGAATTATTTGTCATGCTGGTTGGTGGTCACGACTCTACCGCCAATGCCATGACATGGTTCCTGAGATTCATGGAATCCAACCAAGGCGTGCAAAACGAGCTTCGTGCTGCACTGCGTGCTGTCTTTCCCGGGCCGGACCCCCCCGACCGTTAACGAGATAATTCAGACCGAGATTCCCTACCTCGACGGGGCTTGCGAAGAGGGTCTTCGCCTCGCCGGCACTGCGAAAGCCAACCTTCGCCAGGCAGTGGTTGACACCGAAATACTTGGGTACCGCATCCCAAAGGGCACAGAAATAATCCTCAACCTCCACGTCAACCGTCAGCCCGCTCCCGTCGACGAGGCGAAGCGCAGTCACAGCAGCCAAGAGGCCGCGACAAGGCACGGGGATGGGTTTGGGGGACCCGCTGGCCGCGATCTTGGCCGCTTTGACCCGAAAAGATGGCTAGTCAAGAATGAAGCTGCGAAAGAAGTATTCAATCTATATGCGCTAACCAATCTTGACGGTGCAAGACGACCGAAACAACCTCTTTTATGCCACGGCCCCAATAAGAGGCCTTTGGTGGCGGGCACAGGGGTTGCTTTGGTGAGTCCCTCTACACACTTTGGTGCTTCTCTGATACGTTACTAAGATTTTGCCAGGTCGACGTCTGGCTACAATGGAATATCACATCTTGGTGGTTCTGTTGATCTTGAACTTTGAGTTCCTGCCGCTACCGAAGGACCTGAGCAGCTTGAGCGCGCAAGAGAAGATCTTCCGGCATCCTGACTATCCCTATGCAAGGATTAAATTTCTATGAAGGCGATTACCAGGCGAAGTGACCAACCGTTGGGCAACTGGTCCAAGCAGAGGAGATCCGTCCATGCAAGTAACCTTAGCAAGATCATCACGCATCCAAGATAGCCACACATAATCGACTCCAAGAGCCGGCTGAAGATTCATGACAGCTCATCCTCGACTCTATACGTCCTCGATACAAATTTTGCATTGTTCATGCCAATAGATTTGGTTTGTCAGTCAAGGTGTATGAAGTGGAGCTAGCGTCCAAGCCTCGTGTAAGTCGAGGTACCCCCAGAGCCATACGCGAGGGATCGGCTCGATATGAATCAAGGTGTATTCATGACTAGCCTCAGAATCAAAAAAATGAGTAATAAAGAGGAAATCAATTGGAGTGTAAGAAAGAATTGGGCACCAGCTGAATAGTAGCATTTTATACAAAGGATGATGTCACCGAAGTCCCGTGACATGGCGTCGACATCGCGAAGGGGATCCCTGCCTGCCAAGGGTTAAGCCGCCTCAAACCACCGCGCCCCGACGACACCCTCTCCGACCGCGACCCTGTTCATACGAACGACATCGACGGAGCACTTAAGTGTCCCTGAAATGAAGACTACTTTACTCGCACGTCCGTGACGATGTGCGGAAGATACGCTCTCGCCCTGGTATGACCTCATCGACTACCGCCACTTGCAAAACACCAGGCAAAACTGACCAGGCAACCACAGCGTCCGTCGCAGGTGCGCCGAATGCTACAGGATGACGACATGCCAGTCTGGGACGCTCCAGCTGATGAAGGAGACGGAGCACCTCGCCAGAGCTACAATTTCGCGCCTGGGTACCACGGCATCGTGTACCGCGCAGATGTGCCCGACTGGGGAGCCGGTCCGCGCCGCGAGGCCAAATCCAGCAAGGGCGCGAAGGCTGCCGCTGAAGACGCGTCCACAGAAGCTGAGACCGCGACAAATGATGGATCAGCCGCAATTGAGGCCGACACCCGGAGTGAAAGCGGCGAGACGCACTACAAGCTCCAGTCGATGAAGTGGGGTCTTGTCCCCTTCTGGACGAAGCGGAACCCGGACTACGGCGCGGTCATGAAGACGATCAACTGCCGGGATGACTCCCTTGCGCAATCTGGTGGGATGTGGAGCTCGATGAAAGGTCGGAAGAGGTGTATCGTCGTGGCGCAGGGGTTCTACGAGTGGCTGAAGACTGGCAAGGAGAAGATGCCGCATTTCGTCAAGCGCAAGGACGGACGTCTGATGTGCTTTGCTGGGCTTTGGGACTGCGTGCAGTACGAGGGCAAGTGACCATCCAGTTTTCTCGTGACCATGACTGGAGAGTTTCTACTCAAGCTCTAGAAGGCTAACTGACCGATGCAGATGATGATCAAAAACACTACACTTATACCATCATCACGACCGACTCGAATAAGCAGCTCAAGTTCCTTCATGATCGCATGCCTGTCATCCTCGACCCTGCTTCGGACAACATGAAGACGTGGCTCGATCCTCAACGCTATGAATGGTCAAAGGGCCTGCAGGACTGCCTGAAGCCATTCGACGGCGAGCTAGAATGCTATCCCGTGAGCAAGGACGTCGGTAAAGTCGGCAACAATTCTCCCACTTTCATCATCCCCATTGCAAGTAAAGAGAATAAGAACAACATCGCAAACTTCTTCGCCAATGCCAAGGCGAAGAGGGAGGCCCCAAAGGCCGACGTGGAGGTTAAGGAGGAACATGCCAAAGAGGAGACACGTGAGAAAAGGTCGGTGGAAGATGTCGCCGGAACGGCAGACGATGGTGGTATGGGAATCGACACAGTCTCTGGAACCAAGAGGAAGGCAGACTCGGAATTAGAGGATGAGGTTGCGCCTCCTACGAAAAAGGCGCCTGTCCCTGTCTCTCCAACAAAGATCAAAACGTCTCCCTCTCCATCCCCGAGCAAAACCGCCCCGAAGAGCGGCAGGGCTATCAGTGCGACAAGCAACGGCGCCAAAAGCCCTGCCAAGGGGAAGCCGAGTGGGATGCAGAAAATTACAAAGTTCTTTGGGAATAGTGCTTGATCTCTTTCTGGACTGCCTCATACGGTGATTGTTAATTCCAGGTTTACTTAGTGCCTGGCGTGTATGGTTGGAGAAGAAACACAGCGCGAGGGTAATGATTGCGTATGAACTTTTGCATTATGCGGTGTGCAGGGTGAGGATGGTCAATCTATGGCAAATTCTATTTTAAAACTGTTGAGCAGAGTGGCATAGACGGCGCGCCCTGCTCTGTTTGTTGTTGCCTTTCAGCTGAGCGTTGTTTGCTGGGAATGGATTAAACCGTGCTGAGGTACCGAACAGGGCACAGACGAGAAAGCTTTCGTTTGCACAAGCCTTTTTGACTTCCCGTTTAAGTGCCACCGTTGACCAAGCTCGGGGAGCAGCTATCGGATTCTGTGGTTTCCAATTCCAACGTGTGTTAACTAGACATCGTCATTTCCCCCATCCTTTCCACTTTGACCCGGTTTTGGATCACGTCAAACAATAACAACTTCGGCTGACACACTATCGCCCACGTCGCCGTCACCAAAGCCAACGTACATTTTCCCAACCTCTATCGAAAGTTTGCAACGTTTTGTCAACCCCTCATCCCCAGCCCACCACCAGGGCTGTCACCATCACGGCGATCTCGACTTCATTACCCTCCTTCGACCCTCACTACGCCACTGGCAGCAACGATTGCCTTTCGCCAAGATGGTGGGCCTCCTCGACCTCCCGCTCGAGCTTCGAGAGCCAATCCTCGTCGACGTCGTCCTGGACACCACTCAACAGCCGCCTGATGACCCTGCCTCGGCCGAACGGAGCGAAGATTACAAAGTCATGGAAACCAGTGATCTCAATACCGACCCATGGGGTCACGTCCATTGCAAACCCCTCCAACGTCATGCGATGCCATTGCTACATGTCAATCAACAAATACGTGCCAAGATCATTGACCTGGTGCCTCGAAAACTGGCCCAAGGGGTCGACGACGCCAAGTTGGATGTCCTCTTCGTAGAACGCACTGATCGGCAATTTTGGGCGACCTGGCTCTCAGCACCATTTCCCACCAACATTCTGAACAATTTACACGTACAAATTCGAGACTTTCAGATACCCAGCTTCTTTTCTCGTTTTATAGTGCTTCAGAACCTCAGCACCAGGGATGATTGCAATCATTGGGTAGACCCAAAATCTGCTGAAATGCTACTCAAGTTCCTGACCGACTTCTTACGCCCACGGACGGGAAAAACCTCAATTCATAAGAGTCAGAGAATCGCAGGCGCGGATGGAAGCCACCCAGCCAGCCGCACGATCCAGAATCTCGTCATCGACGTTCCCTTCGACCCAGACCAGCAGGATTCGCTGGAGGGACGGGTACGATGCTTGTGGTGTACGGGTCCGGGTAACATCTCCAACTATCATGCCCGTCGCAGGATCCCGTCCGGAAAGCGCGCCGCTTTGATCTTTGCCCAATCTCTGCACAAGCAGCTGATTCACATCTTTGAGACGGCACCCACGGGCTGGTGTACCATGAGTTTCCCTAGAATCATATTCGAAGCCATTGGTACGATTCATCTCAAGGTCTATGGGAGGCCATTCGGAAGCCTGGACTTGAGTCAAATACTCGCGGAGCTGCCCCATAGCGAGGAGTGGAATGAGGACCGCATCAGCAGGGCCGAGTTCTTTCAATGGAAGAGAGCGGCTGAGGAAAAGCGGAAAACAGCTGGATTCAGACTGGTCAAACCCTCAGTCCAAGAACACGAGCTCGTGGGATCCGCAGGAATCATAGCCAGCATACTGTCGGCACGAAGTGAGAGCCTTGTGCGTGAGGTGACCACATCTTCAGAGGATGTGGGGCCATCTGCCAGACAACCAGCAGTGAACGAAACAGTTGCTTTCGCCGGCAGAGCTATGTTAGTTCAAGAAGACGGCAGTGCCTTTCCCGGAAATGCGACCTTTTACCATGCTGCCAATAGGTCTCAGAGGGGTACGCACCGTTGGTCAATCGTCGTGCAGAGAGTCGACGATTCGCGCGAGAGATACCACCAGGGTGATCACATCGAGGAACCTACAGAGTACACCCAGGAACCACCTTCGGATGGAGAGCTTGTTATTTTCACGGGAGAAGCCATATTCTTTTGGGCAAACAACACAGAGACCACGATCACTTCGGGAGAAGCCACTTTCTACGGCCCAGGGGAAGAGGGAAGCATGGAGTAACCTGGCGTCATCGAAGCAGACTCTCAAGCAGGGGATCACCGTCGCACTTGTCGCACATGATTCCTCAGTGATTCTCTCAATTAGGGTAGTCTGGCAGGCTTGAGAGGATTTCTATCGTGGCTTGAGAGGCCCACCAACGTCCAAATGAGAGAAGGAGCTGCACACGGAAGACAAGACGAATCATGTGCAGGTATGTGCAGGGCTGGTTGATCAGCCATAGATGCGCATGCATCATGGCGTCTACAATTCCAAATCCTGAGCAGTGAGCTTGGACCTTGATGGCCACCTTGGTCGTTCAATTGGCCTGGCACCACAATCTTCTGTGTTGCGCTTCAGGCCCCACGATCACGAGCTGTGGACCACGAGGTGCTCTGCCACGTTGGGGATTGTAAGAGAGCATCGGAGAGAGAGATGAAGAAAGCATTGCGCGTTTCCAGGATGTGAAAACGAGAGACAAGGTGCTATCGAGTGCATGATGCTGCATAGCACAGGCATCGTCGGACTTGCATCATACGAAAAGCACAAGAACCCATCACGAAGATGACACCACTAATGATCCCCAATCCAACCCCCCCCCCCCACCAAAAAAAAAACATCATAGAACAGCACACACACCACCGGCAACACTAATGATTCCCCGTTCACGTTTGGTAGCTAGATGAATACAGATTGAAATTAAATCCCCCACACAGGCCGACTTGCTGGCTGTACCGAGACTTCAGGATCGGCGCCGGTGACTTGTTTAATGAACACAAACATTATGATGCTATCCCCGCAGTGAAACGGAGCAAGGAGTCAACAGGACCTCAAGTCTAAGAATCACACATCCGTAAGCAGAGTAAAGTTTGACTGGTGTTGTTTCTATGCAGGGTATCTTGAGATAAGAATACAAATGACGACACCTGTACCTGGGCACACCCATGTACGATCTAAGCCCCCGACTCCTCCCCCTTGTCCTGCTCCTCGGGCTCGGGCTCCGCAGCGTAGTTCCACAAGAAGTCGTCCCAGGCACCAAGATCCGGCTTTGCCGGAACGGGTGCCTTTGCAACTGGCTCCTGAGCCTCCTCGCGCGGCGCCTCTGTCGCCTCTCCGGACACTGACCGCGGTTCTTCCGCAGGCCTGCTTGAACCCTGGAGCTCTGATTGTGTCTCCTTGCCCGGTGAGGGCGTCTCCTCTCTAGGTGACCACTGCCTCACGCCCTCGTGTATCTCTGGATCCTGTTCCTGTCGAGCAGACAAACCGTTTCCTTCCATTTCGTCTTCTGAAGTCGAAATCTCCTCGATTCCTGCCTCATCTCCCTGTTGCTGCTGCTGCCGTTCCCTCTCTTCAACCGCCGCCTTGGCCAACTTGTTTTCTTCCACCTTTTGCTCCATCAGCGCGATCGCCTTGGCCTTGTTGCTGATTCTCGAGAATGCTCGCAGGGTCCAGTCGTCGCTCTTGAAGCCCGCGGCTTCGAGGCGGCTCATGGCCTCCACGGCCTGCTTGGTATTCCCGAGCCGGGCATACTCTGCTGCGAGTGTGTTCCACGTGACGATGTTGGGCTTGACTCCATGGAGCTGCATGAGCTTCAAGATGTGCTCGGCTTCTTGTGTCCGGCGGTTCGACATGAAAGCCTTGAGGAGAATACTCCAAGTATAGACGCTAGGTCGAGGGTGGCGGATTGGAGGTCTTGCTTCTCCAGAAACATCGCCCACGTTTGATAGGATTGCATCAAGTGGAGATTGTTCCCCATCTGCTATTTCCCTTTCTGATTCCACAATGTCAGCAGCAGCGGTCGTGTTGTCTGCTCCAATCCCTGAGATATCGAAGTCGACAGCCATTTGTTGAATGTTCGTAGCCAGATTTGGTGAAGATTGACTGGTCTGTGGCTCAGATTTGTGCTGTGACGAAGGGATAGTTGCAGCCGCGGCTGGACTGATATCAGTCATCATATCTCTGATGATGTCCAGCATGATTCGAAGCGTGCCTTTCCATTTGAGCAAGGCCCTGAGAACGATATTGTGGACAATTGATCCTTGTTCCTGGACGATAATTTGCGCCACCGGATTCCCTTCTTTGAGCATTTTCTTGAAATGGTCATAGAATCGAACCACTTCAATAGGCCTGGGGAGATGCCGGACGAAACCCAAGACCATGAGACCTAATGTTGAAGATGTCGGTTGAACGACTTCCCTGGGGGGCAGAGGTGGAATCTCATAGAATACGCCCTGCATCCTACTCGGGACGAACCCCTGCTTCTCCATGAAGTCGCGGACGTCAGTAAATTGTGTTGTTATGAGTGATCTCAGAGGCTCGGGTTGGAAGAAGCGGGTGAAGATTGCGTTCATTGGGCCCCAGACGATACATCGGGCCCGGCGCACTCCACCTGGGACGCGAGGTTCCTTGAGGCAGGCGAGGAATGTGGCGTGGATAATGTCATTCCATACCACGGGATCTCGAATGTCTGCAGCACGAGCGTCGAGTGCGAAGCGCAGCATTGTTCCAAAGTCTCCACATGATTTGCAGCCGTTTATCATGACCGAGTATGTATGTTCGTCTGGTTGGATACCATGTTGCTTCATAACCTCAAAGACTTCCATGGCAGTCCGTAATTCTTTCCTAACGCAAAGGCTGTGAATGATACATGTATAAGTGATGACGTTCGGTACAAGGCCCAAGTCAAGAAGAGATTGAAAGAGCTCAGCAGGTGTCGCTGAGTTCTCGTCCAGTGCATGCAAATCATCATCTTTGAAGGTGAGCAACGAGGTGCAGATACTGGCGCCAAGGGGCGTGTTGATATCCAGGGATTTGGTCTCGCACAGGTCCCGCCAGATATCGAGAGACAAGTCCTTCGTCGCAGACATCTTTGCGAAGCGACTCGCAAACTGCAGCAAGGTGTACTTGGGCAGCGGGGTTTCATGGGCCACGAGCTGATGAAACCAATTTTCAAGTTGACTCGGTGGGAGCGCATCCATGATAGAGTAGACGGTGTTCTGCATCAGGCGGATAAACCCCTTCTCTGTGAGCTGAAACATTTGAAGGACCGCATCAGCCAATTCGCGGGCACAGCTTTGTTTCACGCCTGCTTCCATCTGGCGAAGATTGTAGGCCAGAAAACCAAGGCTATCTTCAACCATGTAGAATGGTAGGCGCGAAGCCGACAATAATGCTTGGAGCAGCATGGCACCCTTTTCAGGAGCATATCGAAGCGTAGTGCATAGCAGAATCCTGTCTCTCGCCTTGCGTTTGTGGGCCGGGGACGAGTAGCTCAGAAAAGCCCTCATGGAATCGATGCTGTCGAGTGTAAGGATGTCATGGTGCATCCGACGTTCAATGAAGGAAGGACTTCTGCTCTCGGGGTTCGATATTTCTTTAAGCAGTCTTTTCCAGGAGATGAAATCAGCGGATGCATTAGCAAAGTTCGTCTTTTCCTTCTGGCACGTATGCCGCACAATCTCGAGTTGACTCTTGTCCCTTCGACTTAGAAGCACCGGAGCCCTTCGTCGTTTTGAATAGGCGTCAACTTGCTGCGCCGGCGTTGGCTCGTCTTGTTTGCTATGCTCCTGGTATTCCTCTTGATGGGCGTTGTCCAGTGCTTCATCGACAGCCACGGCCTCCAAGTCTTCCATTGACTGACTTGATCCGTCCAGAGTAAGCCTTTCCGGCCCAAGATTGGACCTCGAAGAATCTATCTGAACTTTTCTGAATACGAGCAAGGGCGGGGCGGCAAGTGTGAGAAGTTGATCGACACCTCGGGCATTCGAAAGCTCGGGGAAGCTGGCGGCAGACCAGTCAACATCCGTGGTCCAAAATCGCTCGGCCTCGTCGTGGTCTCGATCGAGATGGTTCTCGTGGTGCTCGTCATCCTTGCCGGAGCCTCTTCTGTCATCGAGAAGGCTCGAGGTGTGATTCATTCGCCAGGAGAGCCGGGGCCAGGGCTGGGGCCATCGTCGTGGTTGTGCAGGAGTTCGCCATGGTTGCCCGAGACGCAGTATGCAGGAGCGGCAGACGTTCTGCATACTCCTCGGCTGGTCTCTGTCGTTGAACGCCGTCTCCTCAACGGCAGTGTCCCTTTCATATCGTTGTCTTTGTTCGCAGCATGGTTTTGACGCAGGGACCGAGGCTCCGTACGTGGCGTAATCGATCGCTCGTAGAGAAGTTGACGTTGACGACAGCAATGCACGGTGGAAATTGGGCGCAAGAATGCATGCGACGCCGCGAGGCTCCAAAACTTTTTCCTGCAGTGTCGTCGGCCACTTGGCGTTAGCGTGGGCGCTTGGACCACCTCCCGTCATCGCAACCGACAAGAGCAGACGTCGGTAAATAACGGGCACTGCTTGGGGAGAGGTGTTCCACAGATTTCAAGTGGCATAATTCGAAATAATCAAGCCTCTCTTGTCTATATTGCACACTGTTTCGGATACCATACTCTCGATTCAACCCAAGAGTTAGAGGGTAGGGCGAGGCCAAGATCTAGGCAGATGCGCGCTCATACTTCCTACAGGATCCAACGCTAAAGCACCGTATCTTAGGTACTCATTCCCTAGCAAATTGCTTCCTTTTAGCTTCTTACACCCGCTCGCATTCAATCAAACCTTCTACACCCGGTAGACCACACAACCAGATCTTCACGATTTTGAGACTCAGCCCGCTCCCTTCAATGAGCTGATACCATTGAGCCTCAGTTTGCTCCAAAGCAGACAATTGAGTCATCATTAGCATATCGCCAGCTGTGTTCTCCCAGTGAGCCCCCATCGAAGGAATGACAACGTCGTTGATGAGAAGCTTGCTGTAACCGGGTCTCATAGCCTCAACCACTCGTGTCAGGATAGATTTACAGACGTGGTCGGGCCAGTCGTGCATAATCGAGTGCATGAAGTAGGCTCGCGCTCCCTTGATCGGCTGTTCAGTGTGAAAGTCGTAGGAAAGCCGTTCAATGGTTGGGTCAAGATCTTGAATATCTGATATAACGGCAGGAAGATCTTCGAGGTAGATCTTCTTATATTTCGGCATTTTTGATCAGCCGAGAGCAGGAAAGTCTCTGAGATGGGAAATTTACTCACGCCAGGGTGGTTAGGGAACCGGTTCTTGAATTCGGTCAAGTCATGCCCCAGACCACCAGCGATGTCCACGAGAAATGGTGCGTCAGAGCCTGCTTCAGCTCCGTGGATCAAGTTCTCTTGGACCGGGTAAATGGATCGGTCCATCCAAGGTGTTCGACCCTGCCGGTATCCACGCACTGGGTACGCCCGTTAGTAGAGTCGGGGGTATCTGAAATGATCGTTCAAGATGCAGGACACTCACTGTGATTGTTGACCTGTTGAAGACACCCTACGGAGTGGAGGTACTGAAAGACATCAAGGTCTGTACCATAAGCCTCCTTCAGAGCACCGTTCTTTGGATCAGTGGGGTTACGCCAATTGTTCTTCCGAGCCCATTTGTGGAACTCCAATCCACTTGCTCCTATTTCACCAAGCCTACATTGATCTCTCAGCTTCACGACATAGAAAAAGGACGGAAAACTTCCTACGTGGTACTCACAGAGTAATGTAGCCACCCGAAATTTGTGGAAGAGCCATCGACCGAGTGAAGTTGGTGAGCCTGTATTGGTCGACGCCGGTCTCAATGAGATACCCCATAGCCGCAATATGGCGCATCCTGCCGCGGTTTAGTTTCAGATTCTCCGCCCAGGAAAACGTATTGTTCGGAACCCAGGAGTGTTACTTGCAGTCGCCCTGCATAATGTTAGCTAAGCTCAAACCCAATTTCTCTTCAAGTCAAGTTGTATGTGCGGAGAAGCGTGTGATGCAGAAGCCTAGTGACAGCTGACAAAACGAGACACAGCAAAGAAGAACCGGATCAAAACCAAGCGTTTCCGCGAGCTCAGCAACACTTTGAGGTCCGTCACCATTTTTAGCCATCAGCACCCAAAGTCCTGCGTCAACACCAGTGACCAAACCTGTGTCCACACCCAGCTTGATGGTAATCCAGATCAGAAAGATGCCAAAAAACAATTCATGGGCGTCATCCTTACCTGTGCCCAAGTACGTTTGGTCATAGTCTCACGGGGCGTTTCCAGAGCCTGGACAAGGGACCTTGCTTGAATGAGGAGAGCATGCCTGGCAGTCTCATCCCCAGGTGGGAGAGCATTGGCCTTTTCGACGATGCCCTTCACAATCCCGGGAACTGCACCAAGATCGTTAGGTCTAACGGCAATCGAGAAGTCCACGGTATCTGCCATCTTGTTGATGAGAACTTGAAACTGAATGGAAAAGGAGGAAATTTCCGGGTGGAAGTGATCGAGGTTGAGACTGGACGGTTTTCACCTCGGCACTGTCAATGGCACGAATTACCGTGTAGGCGGGAACTCTGTGGGCCAAAAAACGAGGGTAGGAGACAAGTCTTAAAATTTGAAAAGCTGCATGAGTATGGGTCGACCCACAGCTCGCTCAAGGGTGCACGAGTGGGATACTGTTTACCCAAGAGGCACATATGTAAGGAGCCAACAAGCAAGCGTGCATGAACCGGAGGTTCGTCATCTGTTGGGGCTGATACCATATCTCACCAATTGTAAAGTGGAGAAGGAATGTAGTTCCTCGAATCAAAACTGGCAAAACTGGTCAATAGTCAGGTGTTGGTTCCCACAATTACCACTTGTGATCACAGTCGGGAAAGTTGCACCGAGCGATGGGATGGTGAAACCACTAAGGATAAAACATGATCATGGATGGCTGCCGGAGAAGGATAAGCCTCTCATAGTAAGATCTCACGTTTATGGTGATCACATGTCTCAATGATGGTCTTGTAATCTGACAGAAGCAATGCGTTAGGCATTTGGGTCTTGACTCGGAGGACGGAGAAAATATACTGCAAGTGCTCAGCTGATGTTCTCAGTCCGGTACGAACTTTTATGTCCAGAGTCAGAAATAACTATTTGGAGAGCATTCCAAACCCTTCAACCGCCGGCATACTCACGCAAGGCACTTACTGTGCCGCACAGGTTTGTATTATCATATCATATGTTCTATCGACCATTTCGGTCTCTTATAGCAATCAGAGACACTTGACCAATCTCTACACGCAACAACAAGAAAATGGGTTTGCGTGTATGCACTACCCACCCTTCGTTGCGATGGCATCGCCAAAATCCACGATATGTAACGGGTGAGCGATCTATGTTGCACCTCAGCATTCCATAATACATAGTGAGTTGCCTACCCCTAGAGAGTGTACCTAGGTATGCTCCTCCTAGACTTGTAAAGTTGCTGGATTCCGTACATTGCAGAGTCACACTTCAGTACCACTGCCAAAAACCTCCTGGATAAAGTTGAACCCTTGTCTTTGTAACTCATAAGTCATGTCTACTGGCTTCATTGTCGCTGTAAACATGTGTTCTGCTCCTGGAATCTCGATGAGCTGCGACCGGACTCCAACGCTCTGGAGCTTCTTCACGAAGCCTTGCGGAGCCTCCACGGGGACAAAGGTGTCTGCTGTGCCTTGTGCAATACAAGTCGCCGGGAAGTCGCCAGTCACATTCAAATATGGATCGATGGGCTTGAAGTCCACTGTCTCCACCCCTTTCGGATAGCACACATTTAACAACTTCCCCCTCGCCAGTTGAGCATACATAAACGCCGCTCTGTGATCGAGCCAAGGCTCTTTGATGATTTTGAGAGGGCACCACTTGCCATTCAGTCGCACACCTCCCTCGACCGGTACAGGCTTCTCCTGATAGACTCGCTCCATGAATCCAGGATCCATGTCTGGGAGCCTAGTCATCCTCTCGACATTCATGAACCACCTCGGATGGCCGCACATGATTGTCGGGCACATGGCGAAGACCGCTCGCACCGGCTTGGGAACGTCAAACCCCAAACATAGGGCTAAGCTTCCGCCCGAAGACATTCCGTACGACGCGATGCGATCCAGGTCGGCGGCGAAGCCGTGCCTGTTCAGTTCTCTGTCCAGGCCGCCACTTTGCACCCAGGCCAGACAGGCACGGGTGTCCTCGATCGGACCCTCGAGCATGTCTACCTGTGGACAAAGGCGGAACTGAGGAGACAGTACGACCCAGTTTCGTGAGAGGCAGTCCTGTAGTTGATTGGCATTGATGAGCCGACTGGAACCGAATATCCACGCGCCTGCATGTACCGCAATCACTATGTGGCACGTTGTCAACACTTGGCCCTCTTGGTTCAAGCTTCATCCATAGTGTCCAATTCTGAGGAGTAGAGCTACGAGGTACTCACCTATGGGGCATTTTACTTCCTTTTTCGAAAAAACCCGACAGGGGAGGAAGACGTCAACTCGCAATTCTTGGTTGTCGACAACTTTAAAGATTGGACTAAGCGTAGGCTCAAGCTCCTTCGACGCCATGAATTCTGGATATAAAGTGCTAGAGAACGAATAAAAAGACCTAGTTTGCATGCCATGATATTTGGGAAGAGGAGACTGGATTATAAATGGTTAATGTATTTTCTGAATGATCGGCTTCTACTCCGGAGTAGTCAAGGGCGAAGGGGGTTGCAAGCCCGCCGGCTCGCATACGTATGTAGTGTCTCCAGTAGATTAAAGTTCATTTCATAAACAGTAAGACAGTCTGAATCCCCGCCAGAATATTTGATAAAAACACAAGTACATTGCATAGATCGCCGTGCATCAAACAGAAGTGTGTTACTGGAAGCAGAAGTCCCTCGCCCAAGGCAAAAGTCTATATGTAATGATAAAGGTTGTCTCAGTTTATACCGAAGCAGAAAAGACTGGTCTCGTAATAACTAGACCTAGAATAGATGAGGGAAACCTTGCTGCGGCAGTAACGATGGCGATGGAGGTGTTCCGAGCTGCCTTCCCAACTACGTCGCTTGGGCCGTCGTCTGGGCTTCATACCTACTACCTAAGTGACCTTCACGTTATGGAACCGAGCACCCCCAAACGGTCAGGCTCGTGATGGAAGCAATCGCGGGCCCTCCCCCGTGAATTTGAAGTCGTACTCGCATGAAGTGTACTGATTTGGCAACCCTGTTTTTCTTATTCCAAACAGCTCGGAAGCAGGCCGAGCATGCAGCACTTTGTCTGCGTGTAGATCACCATTGATCAAATGCATCTTGTTTGCCTGAAAATGAGGTTCTATGAATGAAGTAATTAAACCTTCTGTCCAGTCTTATTCTGCCTTTCTATCCACAGAGTCTGAATCCAAACGAGCCACAGCTTTCTCAATCAACGCCCTCACCTCACGATCTACCGTCTCAGGCTGCTCAATATGCGGAACATGTGTCTGGCCCCGGGCGCATGTGAAAGAAAACCACTCCGCGTGCTTCTTCTGGAACGTCTGGTGAAGAGTTTCGTATTCCGCCCCACTCCCAGCTGCCTGCGTGTAGACATGATGGATCAGCGGCGGGTCCGCCAGGGCCTCCATCCGCCTCAGAGGCGAGCCCCAGGTGGCATACGCCGCCTCGATGGTCCGCCCGGCGCGCGACCACGTCTCGTGGTTGAAGCCGCCCGCGTTGAGGAGCATCTGCTCGCGCATGTTGGCGCTCTGCGTGCCGTTGCTCCAGCCCTTGAAGAAGGCCATGACGGCGGGGCGCCACGTGTCCCTGCCCTGCAGCGCCCTGAGCCCGGCCAGGAACTGCGGCGACGCCTCGGTCATGATCAGGTCCAGGACCAGGACGGCCGGGCAGCGCTGCCGGCCGACCATGCGGCTGAGCTCGAGGGCTGGCCAGGTGCCGTGCGAGGCGGACACGCAGACGAACTGGTCGACGCCGAGCGAGTCCAGGATGCCGAGAACGTCGCGCGCGTGGTCCTCGAAGCCGAAGTCCTCGACGGGATCGCGGTTTGGGCCGTGGCCCCGGAAGCAGACGCTGATGACTCGGTAGGTGTCCATTAGGTAGGGCGTGACATTGGCCCAGCCACGATGGTCTTGGTTCCAGCCCGAGAAAGTCACGACGGCGGGCCCGTCATTTGCGAAGCCGAAGTCTGTAAAGGCGATGGAGTGGCCATTGATGGTTTTGGTATATACCACCGAGTCGGCTACTTTGATTGCGCTGGTGGCAGTGGTTTTTGGGCTGGGTTGCTGCTGGAGGGAAGAAGATGGCTTTCCTCTATGACCCGTCAGGCAAGATAGAAGTCCCATGGTTGCAGCTATTCTAGACAATCTACGCTGTGTTGACGAAGGGCTGTGCAGACAAAGCGGACGTCCAGAGGTTCAAACTGGTTTTTCAGATAAGGCAGTGCAAATGTCGAGGTGACAGCAGGTGTGCTCCTCGCTAAAATTTGCAAAGACATCTCAAGTTCCGCATTAGAACCATGCTGTTCTGGTTGGATTCCATAGAGCTCTGGAGATCTGTCGAAGCATGTGGTGCGATTGAAATTCCGGGCCTTAGTCGACAGAGCCTAATAAGCGCCGACGACCTGTGCAATATTCGCCGGTGAGGATCAAATCGAAAGTGGCTTATCAGGAGGATCCGTACCCAAGGTACCGAGCCCCCAGGCAGCCAATTACCGCTGTCTGGCCGCCGCCAGCTTCAGCCTGCTAATGAGCTGACCCGACGCTTTGTTTAGTGTATCTTTAGATCAACCATCCACGTTCTAAGAGGCAGGTTCCGCAGGTATTGATTTAAAGGTCATGTAAAGTCCATTAGAGTCGAACTGGCTGTAGCTGGAGTACTTCCAGGGGACTACACAAGACCCATCATTGAATCAGCAATTTGAATGCCTCAGAATTGGCAGGGGTCAACAACGAATATCGTGATGGGGCTCTTCTCCTTGACTGGAGCGGCACCTTTTGCCATCTTGATTCTGGCCTCAATTTTGCTCTTAAGGTACTACGGTATTTTTATCATTGAGGTCTGTAAATAACCTACCGGCACGATTCCCGCCTTGTGGACAATCAACGTTCTTGATACGCGAAGTATTCTGACATCCCATAGACCACAATTCACCATGCCTTAAAGCTACTCAACCCAGGCACGCTATTGGGAGGAAGCAAGGCCCCAGGCCCGAAGTGGCAGCTCCCCAACGGCCACATCATCGACAAATTTATGTACGGGCGTATGCGCTCGGACGAATGGCGGAAAAAATATGGTTCAGTCTACCGAATCTGGGCTGGTCCGCATCCTGAAATGTACGTTTCCCAGTTACTCGCGAGCAAAGAATCCAAGTGGATTACATGTCGTTGTGTGCCAACGACAGCATTTGTGGCAGGCCCGGCCGCGTGTCGACCAAGTTTGCGGCATCGTTGACAAGTAACATTGGTTTTACAGAGTGATCACAACACCCGAACTGCTCCGGAATTTCCACTCAGATGGCGAGACACATGGTAAGCCGAAATACTCAAATTTGGGTTGGTACCTTGGTCAAGTTTTGGGAAGCTGCATAGGACTGCTTGAAGGAGAGGACTGGAAGGAAAAAAGAAAGCTGTTCAATCCCCCCTTTACGCATGCAGCGTCGACAAGCCGAATAGATATTACGAACGAAACGGCCAAGGAATATGTCGACAAGCTACCATCGATGTTCGCCAATGCGCCCCAGGGACAGACTACCAGTCACTCCAACGTGGATGGCGACAAGACGAACGACCTTGGCTTCCCCATCGTTCCGGGCTTCCAAAAATACCCGTTTTTCCTTGCGGCCAATATCATCTACGGTCGAATGACTAGGGATGAGGAAGATAGGTTGTGGGCGATGGCAGAGAAGCGCCTCGGGTTGACACCGTACCTGTTCATCGGCGGTCCCTACCGATATGAGTCAGGCAGTTGGATCGACCGCAAAGCGTTTGGTCTCCTGCAAAACTTTCGAGACGACTGGATCAAGTATAATAAGGAACTTGTGCAAGATCGACGGCTTCGAGGAGTCAGCGCCCCTATTCTCTCATATTGGGATGCTTACGAAGGAGGAAGCATCACTTTGGAAAACGTGAGTAAGAAGTGAAGGGGGAGCCAGAGGACTAGCCAAGAAAGTCCCTAGCTTTCTGTTTCCCTCACACTGCTTAATTCTGGCTGACACAACGCAGCTTATGCACACCCTCGACGAAATGCTCATGACCAACCTCGACGTTACCACACACGTGGTGACTTGGCTCATCACTCTTGTGGCGGATAATGCAGAAGTAAAGGGGGACCTGGTTGAAGAGATCAAAGCAAACTCGGAAGATCTGCCTCGGTACCTCTCCAGGAGTGATAACCACCTCCACCGGTGCTTTCAAGAAGCATTGCGGATCAGGCCGCCTTTGAGTAAGTCACTCAGATCCAATTTTCGAGGAGCAACCATCTGCCTATTACACAGTGCTGTGAGCGGCGTGTGACGTATTGCTGACTGTGTGGCCTCTTGTAGTCTTCAGTGCGGGAGAAAGCGCATCGTCGGTGAAGAACTTTGATGGCATCTTGGTCAAACCAGGGGTAGGTTAATGCCCCAGGTCTATACTCCCAAAGCCGATATTACTGGATGCTGACTGAGACCTTGTGCTTAATTGCAGACTATGGTTTTGGCCGACGTTCTAGCTGTAAATGTACGCAACCCCTTCTGGGGCAAAGACAGCGAATCCTTCAATCCGTCGCGGTTCAAGGCTATCAAACCATCAGATGTATGTGCTGTCCTTTCAACTCCTTCTCAGTAAGAATCTTTTCGTGGAACGCTGCGAATCGAGCCTATTAATTGGGCAAGACTCCGCCTAGCTGGTCGAAGACCGAGCCTAACTTTGGCAGTTGCGGTATAACTTGATCGTATTCGGATTCAACGGGCGGAAATGCCCGGGTCAGTACATTGGCGCTCAGATGAGTAAAGCAATATTGGTGCATTTACTCCTGCAGTATGATGTTCAGATCGTCAATGGGAGGCAACAGCAAAGCGACTACAAGACTGATGACTCGACTTGGGTGCCTATGGCGGATGTCACAGTTCAGTTAACCAGACGGACAGTGCAGCCAGCTGGCCCGGAGAAGAATTGATGCGGTATCTCATGGCAACTCTAACATTTCTCTTGGGACACTCTGACATAGATTTTACTCTCCACTGAATGACAGCGACCGAAACCTTTTATTAATATCTACGTAATGTGTGATGGAAAAGGGAAAAAAGCAAAAGCGGACATTTTGTGTTAAATAAAGCGGCACTTACGTCTCTCGTGTGCACGTGATGAATCCGCTGGCGAAGTTAAAGTACAATGAGAGCCACATTAAATAAAGAAATCACAGTGTATTATCAAGGTCCCGTACTTGTGTGGTGTTCCGAGAGCGATAGTTTTCCCGGACATGGGTCTTGAGAAGCGTTTATTTTGATTGAGGGACGTTGACAAGCTGGTCTCCCTGCACTCACTTCTGACATCCTAATATGAGCAGGACCTATTGCCAAACAGGACTATTCGTCGCTTCAAGGTTTCAAGCTGGAGCTGGCTCCATCTTTTTTCTTCCTCTTATTTTTGTGTTGGTTTTGATTTCCTGTACTGTCGGTAGACAGGTATTCAGTGCTATGGTGAATAGTCAGATGAGGCACTGATGCTTATACATGGGTAGCAACCTCTCATTACAAAAGAGTCTCGAGAAGGATTACCACATTTTTGAGACGTGACCTGAGCAACGGCTTCCTTGGCATGCAATATCGCTCGTCCACTAAGCTGGCGACGTAGTATTGCCACCACCACTACTGTCGTCCTTGCCACCTTCAATGACACCTTGCTTCGTGTTCAATACCTGGTCGAGGCTGTAGTGTTGTACAAACAGGCTGAGCAAAAGCCCAACGCCCGCGACGGCACAACACACCGCCCACACGATACGCAAGCTGTCCGCATATGCCTGCTTGAGGTCGGATTTGTCATCGCCATCGGGCATGCTCTGAATGATAGTGACAAGTCCAGATGAGTCGGCGCTGTACTGAGCCGCCCTAGGAGCCAAGTTCGGGTATGTGAGGAGGTTGGCGTAGATGCGGTTCTGGAAGATGACGCCGCCGATAGCGACACCCAGGGCCTGGCCGAGGGCGCGGAAGAAACTGAACATGGCGATGGCCATGGCGACATTGTCGCTTGATACGCTGGCCTGGATCGCTGTGGCCAGTCCCGGAAGCAGGAAACCGAGGCCGAGACCAGGAACCAGTGTGATGAAGACCCAGCCGGGGATGCTGGTACCGACGTCGAGGATGCAGAAGAGCCCCAAGCCAAGCGTACTCAGTCCCCAGCCTGCCCAGGTGGCCCAGCGGTACTTCCCGGTCTTGGTAATGAGGCTGCCACAGGCAATCGCAGCGGGTGCGATGGTAAAGGTCAGTGGGAACAGGGCCACGCCGGAGATGACGGGGCTATAGTTGTGGACGGCTTGGAAGTACAGTGGCATGTAGTACAAGATGCACCAGAGGATCAAGCCCGCGGGCACCGTCCCCACGAAAGAAACGACAGTGGTGCGGTTTTGGAACAGCACCAGGGGAATTATGGGGTTCGCAGCCACATAGCCCTCATAGACGACAAAGGCCACAGAGCCGGCTGCGCCAAGAATCAGGGGGACCAGGGTCTGGTAGGATCCCCAGGAGAACTGGACGCCACCCCATGTGAGGCCAAGCAGGAAGGCCGTGCAGCTGGCGATGAACAAGAAGCTGCCGACCCAGTCGATCGCCCGAAGTTTCTCAACAAGTGAGGAGGGCACAAAGTGTAGGTGCATGTACAGCACCACAAGGATTGTGCCGATTCCGATGAACGGGAAGTTGATGTAGAACACCCAGCGCTGTCCGCCACTATGTCAGTAACCGGCAATTCATCTCTAATCTCTGGCTAGGGATTAGGCTTCTTTGTAGTCGATACGACTTACCCAGGTGGCGTGGGGGTTGCCTGAGAAGCCTCCGCCGAGGATAGGACCCGTCACGGAGCCAAGTGTCCACATGGCGTTGATGAGTCCATAGTAGTCTCCGCGGTACCTCAGAGGGATCAAGTCCGTGATGAGGACCTCTTGAATGGACATGATACCGCCCGCGCCCGTTCCCTGAATAGTGCGACCCACCAGGAGTGTGGTGAAATTCTGAGCCACACCACAGACAATGGCCCCTGCAAGGAAGAACGCCGTGGAGAGAAGGAAAAGGTTTCGACGGCCGAAGATGTTTGAGAAAGACACCCAATTAGGCTGGAATACTGCATTTTGGGCGCCTCAGCCTGGAGTCTACAACTGATACGCAAGCGGGCAAAGCCAGACTGTCCCCTGAAAGTCCACGTACCTGTCGAGCTAAGCAGGAAGGCCGTCCCGGCCCACCAGCTTTCAATTGCAGTGCCATGCAGGGCGTTCGCTATGGTCTGCACGTGTAAAACATGTTTTCTTAGCTCGAATATCCACGCAGAATTCTGGGGAAGTTGTCGGGAGGTTGGTTTGTTCTTCGTGACGCCAAGGCCCCGTGTTGACTTACCGGGACAGCAACGCCTATGGATGTGCCATCTAGCGCGGACATTAGGCCTAAAACGCAGAGAGAAGCAAACACCAGCTGGGTGCGCTTGGAGGCCTTCCAAGGCACATCGGCTGGTCCCGCCGTTTCGGTTGAGAGGTCTGCATTTGGTGTGGACTTTTCAGAGGGACCCGAGGATGGGTCGCCCGCCGGCGCAGCTCGCGATTGTGCCTCACTGTCCGCCATTGTCAACTATTTTCTTATCTTCTTCGTTAAGGCCAAGAAATGTTTCGAGAAGTTGGTCAAGCAGAACGGCTCAGTTTCAACCAGTCTAAATCCGGCGCAATCATGGGTCGGGTGAGAAATAGGCTAGCAACAAACCACCAGAGCGAGGAACGAAGGAAGAGTGGGGGGAAATTCCAGCAGGGAAGCAGGCAACCATTGAAGGATACCGTGTATCGCGTCTGTTGCTTACCATGTTCCTGCGTGTGGGTGTAATATTCTGATTGGCCCATCGGCGAGTAAACGACCGTTTGGTACGACAATGCCGCAGGGGAATGAACTGCTTATTCGCCGACGGCAAGTCTTGGACAAATTTGTTTTTGCATTTCCGGGTCCTTCCGATAGTACCCGTCTTACAGTGAATACCAAAATGGTCCTCTGAGCTGAACTTGGAGTTTTTGTTGCCGGATCCCATTTCCAACCTTTGGACAGCCGTGTCAAAAGAGTGTCGCGGTATGGAGTTTCTAGCGTAGCCATATCAAGTAGTCAGGGGAAAAGCAAGCAACGTCTTCGCAACTGATTCGACTGTACTCTGCTCTGCAACTGCACGACCCTGTGACTTATTGGCGAGTCGAAATCCCTTTGACCGGCTCTTACCTCAACATGGTCAAGCAACACCTCAGGTCCGTTCTGGATCTTATCCAGCACTGGGTGGTAGAGCAACCCGGCCATGAAGCTATCTGTATAGGGTCCCGGACGGTGTCCTACAGCCAGCTCGACGACGCATCCACCCGCATTGCATGTCTGCTGCTGCAAAGAGATGTGCGAGCGGGAGAGTTTGTCCCCGTCCTAGCTACGCGCAGCATCGAGATGGTTGCATGTTTCATAGGCGTGCTAAAAGCGGGTGCCTGTTACGTGCCCATCGACATCGAATCATGGAGCGAACAGCGCATAGCGTGGACCATTGACACAGTGTCTGCGCACGTCATGCTCAACTTGGGTAACGCTGCATACCCAGGTCATGACGTTATCTCGTTTTCCGAAGTCAAAGCTGCATGCGAACCGGGATCGGAGAGCCCAGAAGGCTTGCACGAGGTTAGCCATCGAACATCAGAGATCCGGCCACACGATCTCGCCTACATGATCTTTACTTCCGGGACCACTTCGACACCCAAAGGCGTCATGATCTCCCATTCTTCACTCCTGCACTACGCACAACAGGGAAACGACGAGACTCCCTACAACTGCAACGCCAGTCCAGACGACGCTATTCTGCTCATGTTCTCACCCGGATTTGACGCTTGCGTGGGCGTCGTATTCTCGGCATTATGCGGCGGCGCCAAGATGATCATATCTGCTGCAGACGACCTGCTGGAGTGCGCGTCTCGATCGACGATCCTGGTCGCTACGCCGTCAGTTCTGGCCGCCCTTGGAGACCCCGAACTGACCTGTCCCAATGTCAAGACGGTCATCCTTGGCGGAGAGGCACCGCCCCCTGCGGTAGTGGAAAAATGGTGGACTCCAGATCGGAACATCTTCAACGGCTATGGCCTTACCGAGACTACTATCATGTCCACAATCGGTCGCGTTGTGCCAGGGAAGCCGATCACACTTGGTCAGCCTATGGCCAACACGAGAGTGCTTCTTCTCGACGGAGAAGTCGAGTCGGATAGTTACGGAGAATTGTGCATCACTGGGCCCGGCCTTGCTGTGGGATACTACAAAAACGAGGTTCTCACGACGGAGAGGTTCATCACGTGGCAGGGAGAGAGGGTCTACAGAACTGGCGACTTTGCACGGAAAACCAGCGACGGACTCGAGTTTTCTGGTCGCGCAGACAGTCTGGTGAAAAGCCGTGGTTTCTTAGTCAACCTCGAAACACAGGTCATCCCGATGCTTCTTGCCGGAGGCGCGTCCACTGCCACGGCCTTCATGTTCCAGAAACAACTGGTCGCCTTCGTCACGCCAAAGACGTTGGATGCTCTTGCGCTCCGCCAGCAGCTGTCTGGACAATTTGATGAGTTCATGGTGCCTGACCAGATCAGAGCCATCGAGTCTCTCCCACTTACGCCAAACGGTAAGGCCGATCATCGTTCGCTACAGCGGACACTTGAGCTGGAAGGAAAGTATGCGGGCCAGACACAAAATGGTGACGCAGAAGACGACTCGAACCCCGACGGACAGTCACGAATGGATGTGCTCAAAGCAGCGGTGGCCGCGGCAACATCTCTACCGTTTTCCAGCATTACAGAAGATCGGTCTTTCTGGGAATTGGGAGGGAATTCCCTAGCAGCGGTGAAAGTGGTGTCTTACCTCAAGAAGAGACATCTCACCATTGGGGTTAAGGCCCTCTTCGGACTACCGAACATCACTGCCGTGTGCGCCGCCCTGCAAGACGAATCCCAGGCCGATACCCAGACATTTCAGCAAAACTCACCTTCTTCAGGGCCCATGTCAAGTCTGCAGGTCAAGATGGTTCAAGGAAGCTTGAAACAGCCCGGATTGAATTATATGCTTTTCCACATTCGCATACCACTACATGCTGGGACGCAGCCCGATGTGGCCAGGCTTCGCGGTGCGTGGCACCAAGTATTGCAACGGCACGCTGTATTTCACACCAGATTATCGCTCAAGGATGAGACGCAGGAGGTTAGTCCGCAATTCGAGCTGGACTGGCGCGAGGAGGAGACTACAGAACATGATCTTGAATCGACCCTTCGTGATCACTCTCACGAGATACTCGAAAGAATCGTGGCAACCGACGACTTCTCGGAAGCATTCCAGCCGGTCAATGCTCTACGGCTGGTTACTGTGCCTGGGTATAGCTCAAATCTCCTCATCTCAGTACATCATGCTCAAGTCGACGGCTGGTCACTGAGCATCATTTTGAACGAGGTACAGGCCGCTCTCACCAGCGACGGTACCCTATCTCCGCCACCCTCTCAGTTTTTGAGTGTTTCACGAGAACAGAAGAGGGAAGAAATGAATCCCCTAGGTGTGTCCTTCTGGAAGGAAAGACTGGAGCTGGTTGGTTCAGCATTTCCCAGGCTTGAGCTTCCCGGTCCAGCAGAAATCAAACTTCAAGGCCGACCAGGCTGGCTGCACAATCTTAGTGTGCCACTCGAGCTCGACAAAATCAGTCTGGAGAATGCAGGCAGGCGCTTTCGGGTTGTACCATCTGCATTGATCTACGCAGCGTGGGGCCTGATCTTGTCCAACTACACTTCATCTGATCGGGTCTCATTTGGAGCCGTACTGTCTGGCCGCAACCTCAAGGCAGCCGCCGTGCCAGATGTGGAGAGAGTGGTAGGCCCACTGCTGAACACAGTGCCCTTCCCTATCCAGGCGGCTGGCGAGAAACAGACAATAGCAGATTGGTTGGAGACAATCCACAGCGACATACTGGACACGTTGGAGTACCAGTGGTCAGCGAATGAGGCCATGGCCGGGCTGAACGGCGAAATCATCAGCAGCACAATGCAGGTCAGTTAACCTCTGCTCCCCAGTAGTCACTTGAGACTCCTTACGGCTGACGATGACACAAGACCATCGTAGTGACTGAATACGACGTGCCGCCAATGCAGGGGTCGTGGACGATCGTCCAGCAGGACCTCATGCTGGAATTTGGTTTGTCGTTATTGGTGGAGAAGGATCAAGACGACCAACTCCAAGCGACATTGCTGTTCGATGGCAATCGCTTTGCGCCAGCGGTTATACGTCGACTCGGTCTGCATTTCAGAAACGCCCTAAGGGAGTTAATGGAGCCGTTAAACACATATGTCCAGGATGTGCGTGCAAAGCTGCTTGGGCAAGACGAGAAAAATCTTCTCATCAGAGCTCCAGCAGCCACGGAGACATACAACGGGCCCAAAACCTTGAAGCAAGCGCTTGATTCCGCCGCCGCAAAATGGCCGGACCAGTGCGCACTCGAATCGCAAGAGCATGGGACAATGACGTACCGGGAGTTGGACGAGGCGACCAACAAGCTTGCCAGGGTACTCAGGGCCCGCCTGAAGGGGAAGTCTAAAGAAGATTCTGTGGTGTGTGTCTTAACCGATCGGTCTTTGCACTGGATCATTGGTGTCGTGGCCATCATAAAGGCCGGGGGTATTTGCTGCCCACTCGACGTCACGCTCCCTGCGAAGAGGATTGAAAAGATTGTTGAAACGAGCGGCGCGTCGGTATTCTTGTCTGCCAACCAACAATGCCGACAGGCTATCGACTTCATGCAGACTTCTAAGGGAGGCCAAGATGACGGGGTTATTATCATTGATAAATTTCTGGAGTCATCTGCGGATCTGGATGGCAGTGCACTGGAGACCATCACGAGAACTGAGGACATCATCTACCTCGTTTTCACCTCTGGGACCAGTGGCATTCCTAAAGGTATACTAACAAGACCCGTGGTACTAACTCCCACCAATCCAATGAAGCTAACATGATATGTTTTATCAGGCGTTCCTCTTCACAACCTGAGTATTTTGCACGTCATAGATGTGCCATCACTGCGCCTATTTGCAAAACCGGGGCGCAGAATCGCCCAGCTCACATCTGCAGGCAGGTTACACTTTTCCCACAGAAATTAGTTTATGACCAACCACGTCATGTTATGTGTCAAGTTTTAACTAACGAACATTCCTATTCATGTAGGTTTTGATATAGCGGTCGTCGAAATGTTCGGCACCCTCTGCCATGGAGCGACCCTTGTGCTGAAGGACAGCTCGGACCCGTTCTCACACCTGAACCGCGTCCATGCCACTAATCTCACTCCGTCTGTCTTGGGAGCTCTTCTACCTGAGTCCTATAGGAATCTGGATATGATAGCGTTGGCGGGAGAACCTGTGCCCCAAACCATGGTTGATGCCTGGGGTGTTGGGCGGGATCTGAGAAATGTTTACGGCCCAAGTGAGGTGAGTCTTGATATGCCCTGTCTGGTCCAGTCCATCGTTCTGGCTCGCCATAGCTGACAGTCGTTTTGCAACCTGAAGTGTGGACCGGTGTCAACGACAACTCCTCTCCATGCCGGCACAGACGTCACCATTGGTCCTGGTCTTCCACGACTCAGTGTCTACGTGCTTGATCACCACCGTTGTCCTGTGCCTCAAGGAATCACTGGAGAAATCTACATTTCTGGGGAGCAACTCACCCGAGGATACTGGAAGGACAGCGCGCGCAGCCGAGATCGCTACATCAAAAACCCTTTCTCCTCGTCCCCTGGAATGGAAATCATGTACCGCACTGGCGACCTGGGCGCCTGGAACCAGGACATGACGCTCTCTTATCGAGGCCGCATCGACCACCAGGTCAAGGTGCGCGGGTTCCGCGTCGAGCTCGAGGAGATCGAACACGCCATACTCGCCGCCGACCTGAGCCCCCGCGCCGAAAATGCAGTTGCGGTTGGCGTGGACAGCCCGCAGGAAGCAGGCCAAGACAACAAACGGATCGCGGCCTTTGTGACACCTGAGGGTGTCGACACGGCGGCCCTGCGAACCCAAATTGCTACCATGCTGCCGACCTATATGCGCCCATCACAAGTTATAAAATTGCAAGCGCTTCCAAGGTCAGGAAATGGCAAAATTGATCGGGAGGCTCTTCGATCGCTAGCAGTGACATCATGGGCTGAACACGGTGTGGAGAGCAATAGCTCAGGTGGCGAGACCCCCGATGATCAAGAGGATCTGACGACAACAGAGTACCTGGTCAGGACTGTATGGATCAAAATCCTGGGTCTGGACGAGAATACTCTAATTCGGAGAGATGAAGACTTCTTCTGCATTGGTGGCAATTCGATCCTGGCCATCAAAGCCGCCAGGATGATAGCATCTTCTGTTGGTCACGACGTCCCTCTGGCTCTACTGGTTCGCAACACGGTTCTCAGAGGACTTTCTGAGGCTATCGACCAACGAATTGCCCAGTCGACCACAGCATCGCGCAGTACCTTCTCCGAATTTTGCACATCAACTACCAGTCACCCCTCAACTCACCATCCTTCAACTATCCATCCCTTGTCCTACCTGGAGGACGAATTGTTTCACTGGCACCACACATCGAATCTCAAATCGGCGTTCAATACCGTTTTCCAATTTGTCATTCACGGTGTGGTAGACCAAGGAGCTCTCATTAAGGCTTTCAGCGCACTCGTACGCGAAAATCCCATCTTGCGGTCCCGCTATGTCTTTGCAGATGGACGTCCCTGCCGTCTCCTGAGCGACAGGGAATTCGTGCCAGAATGCTACAGGCTTCACGAGTGGTCTGTTGAGAAAACGAATGCACTGGCCGATGAGCCATTTGACTTGGCCAACGACCATTTGCTACGCGTCGTCATATGGAATCGGAAGTGTGATTCTGGGGAGACCGAGGTGATTCTGGTCACTCATCATATTGTGACAGACAAGGCATCGATAGGTCTCATGGCTCAGTGGGTCAGCAGCCGATACCGTCAGATTACGCAACATGAAGCGTCAACAGATGAGAGTCTTGGAGTTCGAAACAACATGCACTCCAAATCGTACTTGGATTGGGTCCAGTGGCTCCAGAGCGACCAGAACAACCCACTAACGAAGATGAGGCAACAGCAGAAGCTGGCATTTTGGAAAAAGACCCTCCGAGGCATGAAGCACATGCCCCTCAGGCCTCAGGTCAATGTCACTTCACACAAGGAGGCCCGCAATACTGGAACCACACTGCACATCGAGATCCCTCCGCCCGGCAACACAGCTGCAACAACCTATTCCCAACGTCTCGCTGTGTCCGCCGTGGCACTCGCCCTCGGCGCCGTTCTCGACACATCGGACATCGTCCTGGCGCTGCCGTACATGAACCGCGAGGACCCCGCAACCGCAGACATGCTAGGCGTGTTCGTGGACCGTCTCCCGCTGCGCGTCTCCATCGCGGGCGAGACACTCGCAAGCGCCGAGGCGCTCCTGGACTCGGCCGCGGCGGCCACGCACGCGGCGATCGAGAACCAGATGCCGTACAAGGAGATCCAGGCGTCTGTGGCGAGCCAGGGCGGCTCGGTTTCCGCGGAGGGAGACTCCTTGGACGTTCTGGTCATCTACAATTGGCAGACGGACGCGTTGGACCGGACTGTTGCCATGGGCCCGGGGCTGGAGGTCGTTGGCGTGGATCCGGCCATGGCTGCCAGGCCCCGGGGGGCAATGGTTCCTTTGCTGTTTAACTTTTGTGAGCTCGACGACGGCGCCCTTGTCGTCGAGCTGGAGGTAAATACTGACGTGGTCCCGGCCCATGTAGTCGACGCACTCTCGGGGTTCTTGCCAGGAGCAGTGCAGGGGCTAGCTTGCCATGTCAAGCCTGAGGATATTCTGCGAACTTGTCACCAAGTAGGGTTTAAATCTGGTGCATAGCTTTGAGATTCTGTCGGTCATGACATATTCTTGTGTCTCTAGACCCCTCGTATGTTCATATCTAAACACTGCTTCGAAGAAGTTGGATTCAATAGGAGCCACTGTGGGCTTTTGTACGAATAGAGGTCGCATTTTTGGATGTCTGACAATAATATTCAAATGGTTAACGCCATCAAAAGGCAGATGATTTAATTCACAGTTCTGGCAGTACGTACAGTCGAAACATCGACCTGGGCTAGACGGGTTGGTCACTGCAGGCCTTGAACCAACCCATGCAAGAAGATGGGTCACCTCAGTGATTGAAAGCCCGGAATTACGCAGATTTCTCCAGCCTTGTTTGTAAGTTCAACGATACAGAGTCTATCGTATAATTCCTCAGCGTACGAAATTAAAACTTGGCTGTCTGAACTCGGACCGTTGGAGAAATAGTCACCACGTACGTGTTGGCCGCTAATGTAGGGCAGTTTGCAGATTAGAGGAATTGTTTCATTTCTAAGAGTGCAGTAGAATGTCCATCAGATTAGACACAGGCACTTGGACTTCAGCTGGTAGGTGGCGAGCCGATATGACGAGGTATAAAGGTGGTTTTATTGCACAGGTGCTCATTTAATCTCTCTGAAAGATGCCAACATTTCTATGCCCTTGATTCGTCTCGCCTCGATGTTGTCCAAGCGCTCCTTGTCCTCTGGCCCGACAGCACTCCCTGTATAACCACCAGCCTCAAGAAGGTTGCCCGGTGCGATCGTGCGCCTTCCAGACTTGGCGACATACTTGGAGACAGCAACAGCAAATACCCTGCCTTTCCAGCTTTCCGGGTACTCACCCCTGCCCACGAGCGCTTCAAGGCAGCCATCCTCAACTTCGGCTGGTGTCCCCGGCTTGACGTGGTACGAGAGGACATAGATCCACTTGTGGTCCCAGGCAAGGATGCAGGAGCGGGTCTCGTAGGCCTGCAGCGGCTTGATCTCCCGGCGGAAAGAGATGTCGACGCCGGCCAGGACCAGGGCCGCCCCGCCGCGGATCTGGCGCAGGGCGTGGGCGAAGCGCAGGGTCAGTAGCGCGGCGCGGCTGACGTCGAGGTCGAGGAGGTAGGTGCTGTTGGACTTGTGGATGTTGATGTCGCACTCCAGGATGCAGGCACGGGAGCCCACGGATTGGGACTGGAATAACGAGTCTGGGTTGGGGGCGCTGGTAGGCCAGACAAATAGGCGTGCTAGGGCTGGAATGACGCGGATCTAGAGGTGATGATATCTCTTTGTCAGCCAGACCACTCTTGTGAGAAAACATGGTAATCATTGACTCCTTGGTATTATAATACGCACCGTGGAGGCCAAAGGGAGCATTTTCAAATTCAGGCTCAGGAACACGACCGTAGCTGACCATATCGGAGCAAGTCCCAATAAGTAGCATGTAGTAAAGCTGAACACCAGCACGATGGCTGGATACGTGAGAATGCCCATGGCGCTGCTGCTCATTGAAATTCCACTTGCAAGGCTGTGTCGAAAGCTGGTAGAGAGCAGAGCGCGACAGGCAATCTCTTGGTAGTTGCGAGCTTCTACCCAGTTGCTTCGCGCTGCAAAATCGAGTCACGTATCATCAGTCGTCAGGTAAATCAGAACCTATTAGATAGTATCATAACATAATTAGTTTGGAAAGATCCAGCCGGTTCAGAAAAAAAAGGGGGGGGGGACAAAACAGTGATTTTTCTTTTTTTTTTGGGGGGGGGGGGGCTCACGGTCCGTGAGACGCATTGGCGAACAGCAAGAGCGAGTAGTATTTCCAGGACTAAGGAAGCGGACCATAGCTCCAATTCCCCGCGAGAAGGAATATACTACTTGGTGAACCAGGGCGGACATAGGGGGCGGCTTCCTGGCGTTTTCTGCCTAAATCCATCTCTGTTCTCTATAATCGCCGACTTTGTCTCCGGACCAATCCAAGCTGCAATGCAGACCCACTGACCGCTAACATTCAAAAGTCCCAAAGCCGCGAGTAAGCTGCAACGTTTCTAACAATCCTCCTGAGTCATGGTTTGAAATCCAGTGCTAACGTAATTTGCAACTTGAATTTTATCTACTCTTGGCTCGTATTTACCGTGTTTGAACCACGCCGTGTAGGCGAGAAGGATCAGGTTAATGGCCGAATCCCACGCCTGGCTTTTGTAACACTGACGTGTCCTGAGAACAGACAAACTCGTGGTCGGTGTGAGATTTTTTGCGCTTCGGCAGGCGGCCCTAGAGCGTGTGCCGTGCAGGAGCCGCAGGATCACTGGATACGTCAGAATATCTCGCATTCGGGAATCGGACCGTCAACACGAGCAAGTCTTTGTAAGTGGATTATGATCGTTGTTTCTGTCTATGTGGCTGCGGACAGGGCGTTTTCTCCGGCGCTAATCCCGTTTAAGGGTGCAACGGTGACGGGAAATGCCGTTTCTTTCCACATCTCAAAGTACTTTTGTGCTGGACTGGGTGCTGTAACGCAAGCCGATCGGTGCTGCGATCAACGACTCCCGTCGCTGTGACAATGGAGATTTGATCAAATGCTTTGCTGCCATACCAGTTCTGAAGGCCAGGTCATCACGTTTAAGATATGGCAGTAAATAAATGTTTAACAAAGTCAAAGAGACCTCTCTTTCATGGATTCAATGAGGTACACTATATGGACCGAAACAAGACCCAAAGTAGCTGCAGGATAGCATTTTCTCCCTTGTTTCGGCCAGTAAGCCAGGCCCGCGTCCCTAGGTACCTTAGGCCCCGTCCTTGACCTCGTTCAACCTCGGTCTTCTCGAGTAATCTTAATGGAGACTTTCATGACATGTACGAGGTAGCAATTGATAATTCATGCATAGTCTTGCATGCTGAAGACCGAACTATCAATTTGATATATTCCAAGCGTAGCATCGTGGCTCTCACCCAAGAATTATACGTCCACCGTAACAAAGTTTTGCACCCATCAAGAACATCAACATGGTTCAATTCCCCCCGCCGCCGGCCAACATTGGTATGTCCCATATGTCCCATCTTGCTTGGGTCCCCAACCATAAGAGATGCCCGCTAATCCGAGACGAATCTACAGACTGGTCAACAGTAAGCCTCGTCAATCTGCCCAAGACCAATGGCCACGTAGAGGTGCGATTCTCGACCTCGAAACAAACCTGGGGCCAGCCACAGCTTGTCGAAGACCCCTACATCCGCGTGCACGGGCTGGCCCCGGGCCTAAACTACGGCCAGCAATGCTACGAGGGCATGAAGGCCTTCCGGACCTCTGGCAGCGGTGGGGAGGGCGGCGCCGGCGCGATCCACATATTCCGGCCGCACGAGCACGCCGCGCGCATCCGCCACTCGGCCAGCCTGGTGATGCTCCCGGAGGTCCCCGAGGCGCTCTTCCTCGAGTGCGTCCGCACGGCCGTGGCGCGCAACGCCGAGTTCGTGCCGCCCGCCAGCGCCAGCGGCGGCAACGGGTTCATGTACCTGCGGCCCGTCCTGTTCGGCGCGGGCCCCCAGCTGGCGCTGCAGCCGCCCGAGGAGGTCGTGTTCGCCGTGTACGTGGCGCCCGTGTGCACGCCGTACCACGGGACAGGCGCGGTCGACGCGGTGGTGCTGGACGGCTTCGATCGCGCCGCGCCGCGGGGGACGGGCAGCGGCAAGGTCGGCGGGAACTACGCGCCCGTGTGGCCGCACGCGGCCAAGGCGTATAGGCTGGGGTTTGGCCTCACGCTGCATCTGGACAGCGAGACGCGGTCGCTGGTCGAGGAGTTTAGCACGAGTGCCTTCGTCGGCCTCGTCACGGAGGGGGGCAAGAAGGAGTTGTTCCAGCCGGATTCCGACAATGCCATACGGAGCGTCACGAGCGAGTCGCTGGCCACGGTTGCTGAACAGGAAGGGTGGACGGTCCGTCGTGAAAAGGTTTGTCTCGTTCATTCCACCCAATTTCTGTAGTTCAGTATCTCCTCTATTACATGAACTGGGTTTGGTCTTACTGTTGAACACAGAGCTAATAATGATCATAGGTGCCATTCACCGGACTTGACCGTTTCTCTCAGGTCTTTGCCGTTGGAACAGGAGCAACAGCGGTTCCCGTGCGTTCGGTGTCGCGCCCATCCACCTCTGAAAAGTACGAATTTGCTGCTGGAGAGGCAGGACAGGAGTTGGTGAACAAATTGCTGGCAGCCCAGCGTGGTTCATATCAAGTGGATGCTTCATGGTGCTGGGAGGTCAAGGAGAAACCTGGACTTACTCATGGCCACTCTCAGACGAATGGTCACTCGGGGTAGCCTCTGTAACTGTATAGTATATATATCGCGTGCAATTTAAATGGTACGCCTGTGTCTGAATGCCATTATCCCCCTTGATTTCTAAGATTGTTTTACAGTTTTATCTCTAATAGTTCTCTTGATGAAGGCATCAAAGGCGAACGCCTCTCTGCGCCTAGACCCCTCATCTATTGACATTTTGTCATTCTAAGGTTTAGAAACCACAGCCACCTCTCCCAGGAGTCTCACCAACCGCTGCAGCGCGTGTCGAAGTGACTCGGCATCCATATACTGATACATTCCCTCGGCCTTGCTTGCACCGAGTGATATCTCGTCCACGCGCAAACGGAGGGTATCGACAATGGACTGGAGACCAGCGAGGACCTGGCTCGTCAATAACCCCTGGATGAGATGCCCATGGGCTTCTGGCACTTTCCAGGTGCCGAAGTAGATAGCAGGTATCTCACGGGTCTTGTTCTTGTGCTGCTTGCTCTCCACGTAGACCCAATTCAGGACTGTTTGAAGTACCGTCATGAGCAGCAGGAGTATCTTGGAGTCTAAGTGGCAGTGGCGGCATGCCAGGACGCCTTGGCTGAAAACCAGGACGCCACACGATTTTTGGAGCAAAGTATCAGAGGAGATTATGCTCTGCTGGCGTTCTGTGATATTCAGGTCCTGAAGGTGGTCCGTCAGCCTCTTGAAGCAGCTGCACACCTGGTCGCTGGCCCCTGAGTCCGAATCAAGCACCATCGTTGGGCTGCCAGAGACCTCAGCAGTGCTTTGTGCCATATCATCGAGGCCCACGTATGCGAAGTGGGAGAACGCTGATTTGTCGCCCGAAACGTCTCCAAGCAGCTCCTGCCACTCCCTGTCCACCCAACTGCCCGCAGGATCTCCCTTCGAGGGTCCCTCGGCAGAGAGTTCGGGATCGATGAACTCTCGTGGATCTGATACCGCAGACCACAGGTCCTTTGCATTCAAGGGTGGGTAGAACGAACCTCGTCCCGTGTATTGATCCTGATGGCATGCGCCGAGGATGTCGTTCGAGTCCAAGTGTGGATCGGCCCCAAGAATCGCCAAGTCAACGTTATCATTATCGCGTGATGTTGGCTGGCCTGATGACCCCGGCTCACTGAAAGAACTCCTGGCCAGACTTGGCCTTGGTGGAGCGGCCATCAGTCTCTCTAGCGTCTTTTTGTTGCGGCTCCCTTTGGGTTTGCCAAGCTTTGCCATGTAGCTGTATTTACATTCCGATGGGTCGCTGCAGCAATGCCGATGATCAGTTCCATTCTTGATCGTCTGCTACGGAACGGCACAGGTTCGGCCCGCTCAGAACCACTCACCTCATGTCTTGGCATCTGCGGCATGGTTCCCCACCGGAGCAGCGTACTTTGGCCTTGTGGCACGGGTCACAAGCAACTCGTAGTCTTTGTGATGTCTGACTTGCAGAAGAGTTGCTTGGAAAAGGCGAGGCAGGCATTGGGAAGATTGTATATGATATCCATGGAAACCCAAGTTCACGAAGGGAGGGAAGCAAGCAGCATTCGGTTTGAAGCCCCAGGACTGGACCAAAAGAACAAGCAAGGAAGAAAACCAATCAAAAGGATCGCCATGAACTCAACACAGCAGTTGAAACTCTGGCAATTCGTGTAAACGTGAAGCGGCAGAAAGATCATCTCGGCCCTCTATTTACATGCAGAATGGATTGGAGAAGCTTTGAGCAAGCAAACTTGGCGCTCTCGAGCACGGAATGGGGGGTCGGTCCTTTGCCATCCTACAAAAGCCCCACTCTTTGCTGAGTCTCATCCTACAAAAGGACTACTCTTTGCTGAGTGGCTCACATCGAGAGCACGTTTTGCTGAGTGGCTTGGGCGCTGCATCCTGCTGTTGTACTCCATGAGAAATGGCCTGTTTGTTGCAAAATCCGGCGCCAGGAGCCGGTCTGAAGCGAGCCTACCCTCGGGTTGCACCGAAATGACACTGATGAGGTTGGAATTTCCGGATATGAACCAAGGGCTTACGTTCCCCGACTCCTTCGCTTCTCCACCGGGGAACCAGGTAGGAACCGGATGGGGGCTACAAAAGCGGCCTCATGCGAGTCATGGTCTAGTCTACCTGTTCAGGCTAAGGCACATAGGCACGTGGTATGCATGCGAACACACCTGGGCAGCGACAGATTCGTCTAGCGCTCCCGGGTTCATCCCTAGAAGGATCGCCGTCAAGTATGACGAGAGAACCCCAGCACCTTTTTGAACGGGCTTGCAGCTTATTTAGCCCCCATCTTGCTGTAACGGTAAGCCTCAACGCCCTTGCGGCTCAGGGGCTGAAGTATGCTTCGTATCACGACAGATCTCCACCGCTTTCGCTCTCGGGATCTCATCGTAGATTTTGTGGCGCATCTTTGATTCGCATTGCGAACCATGCTTCAACTTTCGCCTATTCCCAGAGTCACTTCACTGATGCTAATTATTCATCCATATTGTCTCCACTTGATTCCTACAAGACGAAGATGGAAGACGGCCGGGAAACAATTTTGGTAAATTTACTTTTCTTTTGAGTAACGAAATACTTGACGTGTTATTTTTGACTGGCATTCCCCAGCGAAATTAACTAGGCATCAACGCTCGCCAGTCACATCTCTACACTCCACAATCTCGATGCAGTCATTGAGCTTCCCCTGTTCCTGGATTTTGACGGTCTTGGCCGTATAGGCTCATTTCGAATCTCGCTTTGATTGGGTGTCCTGTATAGGTCTCTGTATATCACTCAAACACAATGACTCTAAGTTGTCCTATTTGCTTGACGTTGCTCCCACCTGGGTTCAGACCCGAGGGCAAAACCGCAGCATAGGACCCACTTTCTGTCCAGTGACATGATCTTTAAGCATATATTCGACGGGCTCTGTATCGTGCGCTGCCGTCCACATCTCGTCTGCACCATCCGTGCGGAAGTCAAACTCCCAGAGCAGACGAGCAAACGTCAGCATCACCTCGGCAAGGGCAAGTGGCTTGCCCACACAGCTGCGAGGGCCGATATTGAATGGGAAGTAGGGCTGGCGCGCTGCTGCTGCGCCGTCCTCTTTGTTTCCGTTCTTCTTCTCGAGCCACCGCTCGGGCAGGAACTTGTCCGCGTCTTCCCAGTTCTTGGGGCTGCGGTGCATGGCGTAGATGCTGCAGCCAACCTCGTAGCCCGCGGGCACAAAGGCGCCGTCGAACACGGCGCCCGTTTTCTCGACCTCGCGCCAGAGCGAGGCGCCACCTGGTGGTGTGATCCGCATCGCCTCGTCGAGACAGGCCCGGAGGAAGACGCACGAGTTGAGCTTGGGGCCAAAGTGGATCTCGTCGACTGATGTGAATTTTGTGCGGACTTCTTCGGCCGCCCGAATGTAACACCTGGGCGATCCCGCCAAGTAATATGCCACCGATGCGAGAGTGGTCGAAGTGGTATCAGAGCCTGGCATCACAGGTCACGATCAGCTAAGCATCTTGGTCTGTATGCTGTGTGGCATCTGTTATGAAAAAATGTCTCTGGTCAGGTTGCTTACCGGCTACAATGAAGGTCGCAGTCTCTGAGCTGATCTCCCTTGAACTCAACCCGTTGCCTGTATCGGGGTCCTTACAGCGCTCAAGAAATGAGAAAATATCCTTCCCATCTGTCTTCTCACGTTGGATGCGCTCATGGAGGAGTCTGCGTAGGAACTTGACAAATCTGGCAGCGGCCTTTGCTGAATCTGGGAAGAGCAACTTGTCAAGTCCTCGGAAGCTCAGTCCCGAATCTTGGATGAGGACACCGAGGCGAACATTCGAGGTCTCAATGGATTCCACCACATAACGAAACCGCTCCTCCTGGATGGTGTCATAGTCCATGTCAAATGTCACGGCAGTCATCAAGTCGAATGCGAGATCCGTAACTGAGTAGACAAAAGTCAGTACATGCCAGGTTCTCTCAACTACCAGTAACTTACATTTTCGTGCCATGTCCAGCGGTGATGTCCATTTGTCTTCTGGTGCTTTCTGGTTTCGAATGAATTGGCAAAATCTGTTGACTCTTGACTGGATTGCCGGCTCAAGCCTACGAAGACCATTTTCCGAAAAAGCTTGGCTGAGAACCCTTCTGCGCAAAGCGTGTTGTACCTTGTCAGACATAGTCAGGGTATTCGCAGCATGGGACGAAAGAGCCTGATACCCGGGGAACTTTTGCACGGGAGCTCCATGTCCGTAGATGTCTAGTGGGAAAATCAGCTCTTCATTCTCGAAAATTCCTAGACTAATTTTCGTAGGCAGGCAATGGAGAGATAATTACCATTGAGGGCTTGAGGGGTGTTAATGAGAATTCGGTTGGGTGCATATCGAACACGGTCGCCTGGCAAAAGTCCCCAGCGTTAGCGTTTTGCGATAAACCATTCGCTGAAGCAGAGAACGAACACTGGCATCAAGCCCGTGGCACATACCGTACTTCAAATGGCAACGATGCATATCCAGGTGAATATCTCCTTTCCAGGCATGATATGCACCGTAAAGATTCGTAAACTTGGCTAGCACAGGCCCTGGATATTTCGCGAAAGGATGGTATACCGCAAGATACACGGCTCGGCACACCAGCTTCATAATGCATCGGTCAGTCGAATACTGCTAGATTATGTATTAAAGTGACATGGAAATCATACAAACGAGACGCCGACAGCAAGTCCTGCGAACAATGCAGCCTCAGCTTTCCCTACGAGTAGTTGCATGATCGTTGGTCCTGAAATCGGAGTCGTTGGTTGCGGAATGTGTGGATTGAGTCCGACAAAAGTTTGGACATACGGCGCAGTTCATTGATGAGTTCCGTGATAATAAGCATTGGCAAAGAAACAAACCCAAGGGCAACTCGGACTCTGCAAGTCTCCAAGGCAGGTTGGAATTGCTGATATTGACAAAGCAGCTAGCTACCCGACCCACTGTCACTGAAGCTCACTCTTGCTTAGTCTACTCAGGCGTGCTCCGAGCTGCGTCCATGTGTCGAAAAAATCATACCATGTGCCTGTGTTACGGCTGACACACGTGAAGAGCTGACTCCAATCCAGGCGAGCCTCGCCTTACTCTGCGGCCTGGGGTATGTATATTCGCCGAAGGACGACACCGTGTTGAATCCTTCGCCCACCTCCCCACCAGCCACATAGCTCTCTGATAGGCCCGCAAATTAAAGAGACACCGCCTTGTCGAAAGGATTTGCGATACTCACCGTCACTCTCTGTCAGAATATCTGCGATTTTCGATGCGCGCAAACCCGGCTACTAGTGTGTGCAGCATGCAGGTGAGAAGGCTGACTCCACTGGGACGGATCGTGTACGAGGCGTCGTATGCAGCCGCAAAGGCGGGAAAACCAGCCCGCTGGTATACACGCCAAATTCCACCCATGTAAGCCTGCCTGTTCTGAACCGATCTAGGCATCGACTCCACCTTGGCCTATTGCTCCAGAATCGCCACAGCCTCCTGTGAGCACGACACGGTGGGAGCTGGGCAAAAGCCACCATCTCGTCAAGGATGATGTCGCAACCAAGGGTGAATGGTGAGAAATGATACCTGCCAATAGCACAAAAGCACGGCCACAATTCTTGTGTTTTGAAGGATTTTAGGATTCTGGAGGCTACCACGCCGCCGGGAGCCCCCTCAACAATGCTAGGTGTTTGAGTCCCAAGACGCCTCATGAACGGATCTTACTACCATCCGTTGATTATTTGCCTGTCCCATACTCAGCTTCCAGGACACTAAACATCCAAATGATGAGATGAATCATCTTACTCTCATATATCTGCCAGGCCACTCCCGTGACATTCAAGAAGCCCATCTCAGAGGATCAACCCTCGACTTAGGTGTTGCTCAAAGCCGGGACATCATCTGTCCAGCAACTATCTCTCCGATTCTAGAGATCAACTCTCTTTCACCCCTCGTTACATACCCTTAGTGGAGGTTCAACCTTTACAAAATATCAAAATGGGATCCGTTTCGTACGAACCTGAGCTTCCCCCTCAGCCTCTCCCAGGGGATAGTGGGACGATGCCCACGGGTACCACGGTGTTCGAGCCCGTCGCAATAATCGGCATGGCCATGAGACTCCCCGGAAGAGTACACAACGACACCGACTTCTGGGATTTCCTCTCCCAGAAGAAGAGCGGGCTCGTCGATGTGCCCAAGAACCGATTCAATATTGACGGATTCTACGACCCGTCTGGCAAGCCCGGCACCATTCCCATCAACCGGGGCTTCTTCCTCGACGACACAGAGGTCGAGCAGTTTGACCCGTCGGTGTTCCCAATGTCAAAGAAGGAGCTGGAGCGCCTCGACCCGTCACAGCGACAACTTCTTCAGGTGGCCTACGAGTGCTTCGAAAGCGCAGGCGTGTCCACATGGCGAGGCAGCAGCGTCGGCTGCTACGTCGGGGAGTTCGGCGAGGACTGGACCGACCTAAATGCCAAGGAGACCCAGCACCGCGGCGGGTACCGAGGCACTGGGTTCGGGGACTTTGCCATGAGCAACAGGATTTCGTATGAGTTCGACTTGCGCGGCCCAAGGTACGTGGGGAACCGGACAAGATGAGTTCCGGCCATGAACCACCATCCGGACTAGACGCTGACTTGGCCTCACCCCACAGCATGACGGTCAAGACGGCCTGCTCCTCGTCCCTGGTAGGGCTTGACCTGGCCTGCGGGGCGATTCACAGGAGCGAGTGCGACAGCGCGCTCGTGGGCGGCACCAGCCTCATCTTCTCGCCGACCACCTGGCTCGCGCTCAACGACCAGGAGCTGCTCTCGCCCAGGGGCCAGTGCCGCACCTTCGACGCCTCCGCGGACGGCTACGCGCGCGGCGAGGCCGTCAACATGGTGCTCATCAAGAGGCTCAGCCACGCGCTCCGCGACGGGGACCCCATCCGCGCCGTCATCCGCGCGACGGGCGTGAACAGCGACGGCCGGACCAAGGGGATGCTGACGCCGAGTCCTGTCGCGCAGGCGGCGCTGATCCGCCGGACGTATGAGGCTGCTGGGATTGCGGACCTGTCGCGGACGGCCATTGTTGAGTGCCATGGCACGGGTACTCCTGTTGGTGACCCCCTTGAGACGGAAGCTGTGGCGAGCTGCTTTGGAGAGAAAGGGGTGATTATCACTTCGGTATGTCTCTTTCCCAATTGTCATGCCATCTTCCTTTGTTGCGAGGTGAAGCATCTACGACTAACATAGGAGACCCAACCTGCAGGTCAAACCGAACGTCGGGCACTCTGAGGGTGCTGCTGGCTTGACGAGTTTGATCAAGAACGTTTTAGCACTGGAACACCAAACGGTGCTGCCCAATATCAATTTTGAAACGCCCAACCCGAAGAGTGAGTCTGCCGGTGTTGGTGAGGACTACCAGGACGCTCAGACGTGACTGATAGTTGAACAGTTCCCTTTGCTGAGTGCAAGCTCCACGTACCAACCGAACTTGAAGCATGGCCCTCGGACCGTGCGGAAAGAGTCAGCGTGAACTCGTTCGGAATCGGTGGCGTGAATGCGCACGTAAGTTGATAATGCCTGTCTTCTGTCTACCCTGTAGGAATCAAAGTCCTTGGCTGACGCTGCTGTGGGGTAGGTGATCATCGAATCACCACGTCAATTCGGAATTACACCCACGGCCTCCGCCAAGAGCAATGGAGTCGCCAGTGGCCACCCAGTCAACGGTGTGCGAGCGAACGGCACTCAAACAAATGGCCACAGCAACGGCAATCACGAGAATGGGGAGGCTCTCGGTAAGCAGGGGCCCAGCCTGCTGCTTTTTTCAGCCTATACCACCGCTTCTCTCGACTCTCAGGTCAGGGGGCACCGCGAATACGTTGAGGGCCACAAGACCCAGCTTTCGGACGTGGCCTACACGCTGGCCAACAAGCGCGAGCATAGGCCTCACCGCGCCTACGCGGTGATGGGCACTTCCTCCGAACTCGAGGCTTCTGGCACCCAGGCCGTCCAGGGCTTGCCTCCTCGTGTTGGATGGGTCTTTACGGGCCAGGGTGCGCAGTGGGCAGAGATGGGCGTGTCGCTCATCGATACGAATGCCACATTCCGGGCAACAATACGAAGGCTGGACAAGTTCCTGCTGTCGCTACCCACGCCTCCGCCGTGGACGATAGAGGGTATGTTCCCCCCAAGACGGCCTTGCGCTTCCTGGCCTCGTTTCTGTGTCCATTAAATCCCTGGCTGACACCCGTCTCCATCACAGGAGAGCTGCGCAAGACCAAGGCCGACAGTGGCGTGTACCGCGCTGAACTCGGCCACCCCCTATGCGTCGCCCTACAGATCGCGCTGGCCGACGTGCTCCTCTCGTGGGGCGTCGCGCCAGACTTTGTTCTCGGCCACTCGTCCGGCGAGGTGGCGGCCGCCTACGCCAGCGGCGCCATCACGGCCGAGGCCGCCATGGCGACGGCGACGTTCCGTGGGTCGAGTAACGTCTCCACCGACCAGAGAGGATCAATGGCCGCGGTCGGGCTTGGCAGGGACGAGGTGCTGCCCTTCCTGGAGCCGGGCGTCGATATTGCCTGTGAGAACAGCCAGTTGAGCGTCACTTTGTCTGGAGACACGGAGGCGGTGGAGAAGGTCGTCAGTCGCCTGCAGACTGAGCGGGCTGGCGTGTTTGCCCGTATGCTCCGGGTTGAAAAGGCATACCACTCACGTAAGTTGCCAGTCCGCCATTCTCTCAACAACCAACAAGAGGCGTACGGCAAAGAGCTACTGCTAACAATGGTGGTATCTGCCAGATCACATGCTTCAGTATGGCCCTTCATATGAAGAGCACATCCGGCCTTATGTGGTCAGCGCCGATCCCGTGATACCATTGTACTCGTCTGTCAGTGGGAAGCGTCACAGCGGGAAGCATTGCCTGGATGCAACATACTGGCGTGCCAACATGGAGCGTCCCGTCCTTTTCAACTCGGCGCTCCGCTCTGCACTGCAGGACCAGCCTGGGGATGTGGTACTCGTCGAGATTGGGCCGCACCCTGCACTCTCCGGGCCCATTGGTCAAATCCTGAGGGATGTCGGCCGTGCAGACCAAGTCGCCCATGTGGGAACACTGGCGCGGGACAAGAAATGCGACGAAAGCATCCTGCACCTCGGCGGCAAGCTCTTCCAGCGGGACATCCACGTGGACTGGTCTGCCGTGTGCCCACCAGGACGCTTCCTCACGGACCTGCCCCGCTACAGCTGGAACCAAAACACCAGCCACTGGGCCGAGCCGAGGCTCACCAACGAGTGGAGGATGCGCGAGAACCCGCCACATGAGCTGCTTGGCAACCGCCTGTATGAGATCACCAGCGAGCCCACCTGGAGAAAGGCCCTGGCACTCGAGGACGCGGCCTGGCTGGCTGGCCACGAGGTCAACGGGCAGGTCGTGTTCCCGGCCGCTGGCTACATGGCCATGGTCGGCGAGGCCATCCAGCAGCTGACGGGTGAGACGACCGTCAGCGTCAGGAATGTGCGCATCGCCGCGGCGCGCGTTCTGGAGTCGGATAAGACGGTGGAGCTGGTGACGAGCCTCAAGTCCATCATGCTCGACGCCTCGGAGACCTCCCCTTGGTACGAATTCGCCGTTAGTTCCTGGGACGGCACGCGATGGGCCAAGAACTGCTTGGGAGAGGTGCGAGCTATGACGGACAAGTCATTCACCCCGCCTGAAGTGGATAATGCCTGTGGTGGCGGCGCCCTTCCGCGCAGCGTGGATGAGAAGTCTTGGTATAACAGTCTGAGGCGACTCGGATTCAACTACACTGGGCCTTTTGAGGGGCTCGAGTCCGTTTCGTCAGCTACTAACACGACTCTGGCCAGAGCCCGGGTGTCGACACGGCCGGCTGGAGTCGTGAAGGACTCAAAAACCTCAAGGTGTCTGCTCCACCCTGCTGTCATCGACCAGTGCCTACAGCTGTTCATGGTCGCCTCCTTCCGCGGCCTCTCGCGCAACATGAACCAGCTCTCCGTCCCCACCTTCATCGAGGAGATTGTCATCTCGCACAGCACGCAGGAGCTCGATGTTGTCGCCAACGTCGGCAACCTACAAGAGCGCGGGTCGTTTACTGGAGATCTGGTGGCTCACAACAGCCAGGGCCAACCCGTCGTCAGCATTAAGGGGCTCAAGACGAGTGCCCTCACCAGTAACGAGTCGGCCGAGGAAGAGCTGCCACTGATCACGCAGCTGGAATGGCGTCCTCACAGTGACTTTGTGGACCTGGGGGCCTGTCTGCCCCGCCGTGAATCCCGCGAGAAGGAATGGCCGCTGCTTGAAGAGCTCATCGTCCTGTGCATGCTGGACCACCGTGAGCGCATCCAGACCGCCGGCGATGGCCAGGACGCGACTGCTGAGCATCTGGTCAAGTTCCACGGTTGGATGGGCGAGCAGATCGACAAGTACCGGGCCGGGACGAACCAGTTTGTGCCAAAGGAGCTCCGCCTTGAGGACAAGACCCCAGCCGAAAGGGTGTCTCGCATTGAGCAGATCGCGGATGCGCTGGTAGGGTCGCCGTATGAGGTCTTCTGCACTGCCATCCACCGCCTGTTCAAAGTGGCCCCGTCCATCTTCACGGGAGCGACGCACCCTCTCCACGTCCTCCTCGAGGACAATGTTCTCGCCGAGTTCTACGAAGCGGCCTCGGTCGACTCGTCCGACATGATAAGGCTGCTGGCCAACACCAACCCGCACCTGCGCATCCTCGAGGTTGGAGCGGGAACGGGTGGCACGACGGTTCGCGTGCTCAAGTCACTGACCTCGCCGTATGGCGAGCGGCTCTACAGCAAATACTCGTACACGGACGTCTCGGCCGGGTTCATGACGGCGGCCAAGGAGCGGTTCGCGGAGCACGAGAACATCGAGTACGGCGTGCTGGACGTGTCCGAGGATCCCGCCGCGCAGGGTTTCCAGCTGGGCAGTTATGACCTGATCATCGCGGCCAACGTGATCCACGCGACCCCGACCCTGAAGACGACCCTCGGGAACCTGCACAAGCTGCTGAGCCCCGGGGGCCGCCTCTTCCTCGAAGAGCTCAGCCCGGACGCCATGTTCTTCAACTACGTGATGGGCTTCCTGCCAGGCTGGTGGCTGGGTGCTGCCGACGGCCGGCCCGACAGGCCATGGGTATCTCCAGAGCGCTGGACCAAGGAGCTGGTGGCTGCGGGATTCCAGGAGCCCGAGTGTAGTGTCCACGACGATGCCACGCCGTACCACGTCAACGCTGCAATCCTCGTGCCGCGCGAGAGCAGGAGGACCAGCCCGTCCAGGGTCACCCTACTCTGCCGCAGCCCCGAGGCGCCCCTCGTGGCCGAGATGCAGCGCAGGCTGGACATTCAGGGTGTCCTCACGGACATCTGCACGTTCGGCCATCCCTTCCCTCCGCAGCAGGATGTCATCTCCCTGCTCGACCTCGAGAACCCGGTCCTCCACGGCATGTCCGAGGAGACATTCAGGACGGTCATCCAGTACTTCGTCGACGCCAACAAGGCCACGCTCATCTGGGTGACGCGGGCCTCGCAGGTGGCTTGCGAGGACCCCAGGGCTGCCATGGTGCTGGGTCTCGCGAGGACAGCGCGCAACGAGACGTCCGCGCCGATCCTCACCGTCGAGCTCGACGCCGCGACGGCACCGCCGACGGCGGCCGAGCGGGTGGTTGACATTCTCCTCCGTGCCAAGGCTACCCATGTCAACCCTGAGTCTGTAGATCCCGACTACGAGTACGCCGTGGTCAACGGCGAGGTCCTCGTGTCCCGGCTGCACTGGAAGACTATGTCACAAGCCTTTTCGGAACAACACGAACAAGACAACAGCAAGACGCATCTGCTGCAAGCTCCCGGATGCAAGCGACTTACCATGAAGACGCCGGGTCTGTTGCACACAATGAGCTGGAGTGATGCAAGCGTGGCAGAACTGGCAGAAGGCGAGGTTCTGGTTGAGACCAAGGCTGTGGGGTTGAACTTCCGGGTTCGTCATCACTTCCATGCGTTGTTGGTTTTTTATCCATTATTTTGCTGTAGAGTATTTGCTGACGAATTGTTTCTGAACAGGATGTCCTCATTGCACTCGGTGTACTTGAAAACAGCCCAGCCGAGATGGGCTTCGAGGGCAGCGGCATCGTCCGCAAGGTAGGACCTGGAGCGACACGCTTCTCGGTTGGCGACAGGGTCATGTACATTGGGAGCTCCTGCTTCAGTACCCAGCATGCCATGAAGGAGGCGTTGTGCGTCAAGATGGACGATGCCATGAGCTTTGCGCAGGCAGCAGCCATGCCGTGTGTGTATACCACGGCGTTGATGGCTCTCGTCGACAGGGCCAACCTTCAGAAGGGACAGGTATGTTGTCACCATCCGCCCCTACGCATGAGCCTGGACGCTAACCTGATGGCATCTCCTAGACTATTCTTATCCACGCCGCAGCTGGTGGCGTCGGTCTGGCTGCAATCCAGATGGCACAGGTCATCGGTGCAGAGGTGAGACCCCGTCCTCTGGCTCCTACACGCGGTTTGTTCACTGACACCGAATCATCAGATATACTGCACTGTAGGCAGTCAGACCAAACGAGACTATCTCAAAGACAACTACAACATCCCAGACTCACACATCTTCAACTCGCGCGACTCGTCCTTCCTGCCCGACGTCCTCAAGGCCACCAACCAGCGCGGCGTCGACGTGGTCCTCAACTCGCTGTCGGGCGACCTCCTCACCGCCTCGTGGAGGTGCGTCGCCGAGTTCGGCACCATGGTCGAGATCGGGAAGCGCGACTTCCAGCGCCGCGCGAGGCTGCCCATGGAGGCCTTCGAGGCCAACCGCACCTTCACGGGCCTGGAGCTGCGCCTCATGGCCGAGGCCATGCCCCACAAGGCGACCGCGCTGCTCGAGCGCTGCGTCGGCTGGATCCGCGACGGGAGCATCGCCGGCCCGACCGTCTCGGCCACGTACCAGGCCGCCCACATCCAGGACGCCTTCCGCCACATGCAGGCGGCCAGGCACGTCGGCAAGATCGTCGTGGCCATGCCCGAGCGCGTCGAGGACTTGCACCTCGCCGGCGTGCCCGTCTCTGCGGTGGTAGCTGCGCCCAAGCCCAAGCCGGCCTTCCGTTCCGACCGCACGTATCTGCTCGTGGGCGGTCTGGGCGGTCTGGGCAGGGCGCTGGCGACGTGGATGGCGGAGAATGGGGCTCGTTCCCTGGTCTTCTTGTCGAGGTCAGCCCAGGCGGGTCCCGGAACAGATGGATTTGTGAAGGAGTTGGATTCTCTCGGGTGTCAGGTTTTCCTGGTTGCGGGTAGCGTCACAAGCAAGGCTGACGTGGACAAGGCTGTCAACAACCCACTCTCGGCCGCAAGCCCCTTGGCCGGCATACTCAACCTTTCCATGGTGCTGAAGGACATTGGTCTTGCCGACATGAGCTTTGCCGACTGGAACACGGCCGTCCAGCCCAAGGTCCAGGGAACCTGGAACCTCCACGAGGCGACGGCATCTGCCGAGCTGGACTTCTTCATCCTGTTCTCCTCGTACGGCAGCATCGCAGGGCAATGGGGCCAGGCCAACTACGCCGCAGCCAACACTTTCATGGACGCCTTTGTGCAGTTCCGCCACCACAAGGGCCTCGTCGGCTCCGTCATCGACGTCGGCGTCATGGGCGAGGTCGGCTTCGTCTCGCGGAACCAGGACGTCCTGGACCGTCTGGACCGCATCGGCATGCGCATCCTGCAGGAGTGCAACCTGCTCGACGCCGTGGCGCTGGCGGTCGGCAGGTCCACGGCCGCCGCCGCCACGTCCTCCTCTCCGGCCTCTGCCCCCGGCCAGGCGGTATACACAAACCCCAGCCAGGTCCTCCTCGGCCTGAACACGTCCATCCCCATCTCCTCGCCCCTCAACCGCGTCGCCTGGCGCCGCGACGCCCGCATGAGCATCTACCACAACCTGGAGCGCGCCGGCGGCGGGTCCGACGGCCCGAGCAAGTCGGGCGGGGACCGCAACTCCCTCCGGGCCCAGCTGGCGGCCCTCGCGGACCAGCAGGAAAGGCAGGGCGCCGTCGCGCGCGCGCTGGCCGGCGCGCTCGCAAACTTCCTCATCAAGGACGACGGCAGCATCCCGCTGGACAGGCCGCTCGAGAGCGTGGGCATGGACTCGCTGGTGGCCATGGAGATGCGCAACTGGGTGCGCCAGCAGGTCGGCGCGCAGCTGAGCACCATCGCCATCGTGCAGAGCCCGTCGCTGCTGCACCTTGCCGGCCTGGTCCTGCTGGGCATGGCGGGCGGCGAGGACAAGGGTGAGGCTGAGAAGGCGGCGGCGACTGAGGAGGACGTCCGTGGGGCGGGTGCGTAGTTTGAGGTGCGCAAATGAAATGATGCTTGTAATAGCTATAGAACCCCTAGTTTATTTATACTTATATAGAAATATACTTCCTCTTAAATATAATTCTTTTAATTATATATATTAATTAAAACTTTTTATTTAAGCTATTAAAAAACTATTAAATGCGTATAAGTATTATTATTATACTTATATTTTATATTATAAATAATTAATTAAGTAAAATATATCTTTATTTTCTTTTTTAAAGAAATATTATAATATTTTTTACCTTTACTTTTTACTTTCTTTTTAATCCTTTTAAAGGTAATTTTATTATTAATAATAAAATAATAAATTTAATAAAATGTAAAATTATTATATTTTATATTTTTATTTCTTTTATTATAAATAATTTTTTTATTTTTTTATATAAATTTTATAATATTTTTATAAATAATATTTAAGTATTTTAAAATAAAACGGTGTTTTATTTTAACTTATATTAAAGTTAATAGTTTTAAGGTTAAATATAAGTTATAATTAATAATACTTTATATGCTTATTTTATAAAGGTTTTTTTAAGAAATTATATAAGATATATATTAATGTAAATAAAAAAGATTAAATTTTTAATTAAGATTGTATTTATGGGATTATTATATTTTATAAAGAGATTATTTTAATTTTTGCTGTATAATTAAGTACTTAACTTTTTAATTTATAATGCTATTAAAAGCGGCTTTTACTAGCCTTATTTATAATTATTATAAGGCTGTTATTATTTTCTTGATTATTAAGTTATAATTATGTTTAAAACTTATTATTATTAATATTATATTTTTTTAATGTTAGGTGTTTAAGCGTTTATTATTATATAAAGGGATTGGATGCATATTGCTTAAGAAGCACATGTATATAGATTAAAAACGAGACCACTTAGCATCTTTGGCAAAAGCATGAGGTCTGATCCACTGAGTCTACGGCACAACTTGAATACCTTTCAACACACGGCCACCCCACCATGTTCAAAAATTGTATCAACAGCTGCCACTAAAGCTGAATTCCATAAACGATTTACAGAGGGCTATGAAATCACCGAGTAGAGCACGAAAATTGGGAAGTGGTGGATCGACAATAGGACAGTGGGGGGGAGACCTTGAAGCATGGCGGCACTATGGAGGTTACCGCTGCGTACAAATTACTTTTGGTTCCGAAGGAAGCTGTTGACTACAGGAACTTTTTGATTCCTGTCGCTGCAGCCAACGTGACCCAGCTTCTTGCTGAAGAAACTCCAATCTCATCATATAGTCTTTCAGCAATCGACTTGGGCGGGAGACATGTTGAGGCGCGCTCCGACCGTGCTGAAGACAATACCCACGTTGTACCTACAAGCCCGACTTCGCGGCCCAAAGACACAGTTGGGAACGATGGCGCCAGAGTTCAGAGGACCACAAATATCGGCCCTCATGAGATTCAGCCACGAATTCTGAGGCTATCAGGGCTTATTACCACGGTCTCTCCAAGGAGTCACATCGATTTCGCAATCTGGCGCAACCTCGAGCACATTCTATCGGCTTGTGCTATACCACTCAAGCCACCATTGTTGGTAGAGCACCAGAACAAGACGTTAAGTGGTCCTGACACTGAGAATGACGTGGACGCGGGGGCTTTAACGTGTGGTGACTTCTCGGGCCATCGCCTATATACTTCTGCAGGCTTGTGGGTAAATTCGTTTTTCATTATCTCATTCATGCTGCCCAAAGGTAAGAAAGCAGACATTCTGCAGGGGCAAGACATCTTGGTAGCAGGTATGTGAGTAAAGTCGGAAATTTGACGGCTGTGTCTAGTTTTGCCTTTGAGTTCTTGATAAACATTGCGCAGCGGCTCGAACAGATCAAAACCAACGACTCTCACCTCTCGTTGCTAAAGACCAGGATCAAACGAGTCTGCAAGGGCCATCTCATCTGGCTACTACGCAAAGCTGAGGTCTTTCAACAGACAGCATGTCTGAAGGGAGACTATTTCGCGACTGGTAGAGCAGTACCCCTGGTGGAAGGGCTCGAAGAATGGGATTCAGAAGATTCTTTCGTCCTAAGGGATGCGGTAACCGACAATCCATTTCATATCATCAAAGCATGTAATTTCGTCAATTTCTATGAGGAAGATAGTGAGATCGGAATGGATTTCCTCAAGTCAATCTGTTTCCCTTGGGTTTCGATGCTCAGCAAGACTGATAAGAGAGGACAGTGCGCCTGGCCACATAAGAGCATCATAGGGCACGAAACGAAGATTTTTCGTCTGAAAGACCATGTATGGGTTTGGAGGGCTTTGAAATCTCTTCAGGAAAAGGGTGTCTGGAGTAAAGCAGAATGGAACGGCTCCAGAACGATAGACCGTACTGTCCAAACTGATGGTCAAGATGAGGAGCTTGAGGAAGATGATGAGGATGAAAGCTCAGAGCGAAGTGAAGATGAAACAATGTCTGAATCCGACACGAAAATGGTAAAGCTAATCAAAGCTTACGCTCCGATTGAGGTTCAGAGGCAGGCATTGCAGCGTTTCACCATTCTCGAAAACGACATAACGCAGAGACGAATGCTTCCCTCAAAGTGTTGATGAACCCTTTTGAGCGGCTGCTAATAATTGAGACAACGGGTGAGGACTTTGTCAGTATATATGCACACGAGAAACCACTATCTGAGAATATAGCAAGGGGCAGTACCAGTTCTCGGGAAGAAAAGGCCAAGTTGAAGCTTCCGTGGGCTCAGATTTGAAAGGTTGTATAATCTCAAATGCAGGGCGAAATTCTCTAACACGAATGAAGTACGGCTCCGTGTCTCTTGTGTGTATGTCGCTGATCTTTTCAATCTGGTAGTCTGTAGGGCCCATTTGTCTGCAGTTGGAAGTTGCAGTGCGGTTAGCATTTTGTAAATATCCCTCTGCAGAGGACAGGAGAAAAAACACCACCCTCGCCCAGTGCATTTCAGTCTAGAGGCGTTACCAGGTTCGATACGGGGTGGGCAGGCTTGAGGTTCATGCCTGTCTTCCGCAAATTAGGTAAACTCTCTTAGGAGTTACAAGAAAAAGGTGAAATTTGAGAAATGAATTGGGGAAAGAATGAGAAAGCGGCTAGACCCCATCAGCCGTATTAATTTTGCCAGTGCAAGTTGAGCCGCATTTGTCTACTCTGCCTAATCCAGCTGTAGCTGACGCACATGAGCGGGGTTGCTTATAGCCTCCAGGCATCAACCCTTCCTGGAGGCTGTTATTGATTATTAAAGCCCTCGCTTTCTGAACGATAGCACGAGACAGCCTGACCAGCAAAGTAACTTCAGTGAAGAAGCAACCTGCTAGAAGGAATATTATCAACCTTTGCTTAGAAATTCATTGGACAAAGACGCTTTACGCTCACAATCACGTACAAATAAAGATCCCGGGGCTCGAAGGATTGAACCGGAAGACGGAAAACTGAGAAGCAATGTCATACACCCATGGGAAAGAAGACAGGGACGATGCCGTTGAGAGGCGTTCGGAAGAGGCGACGCAACCACCCTCCCTCAGGTCTCCTGAATGCCAGGTATGTCACGACCTGATGCAGATGTTTGCAGCCAGCAAAGACAGGTCCCCTACCACAACGACCATCGTTCTTGGATCTTTCGAAGAAGCCCTCTCCACCAACTGCCAACGGCACAAGCCACTAGTTGAACGTTTCGTGGAGTACTGTCAACAGGCAGGGGCACGGAGGATGAAGTCCACGGATCTGGGGATTTTGTTCACGGGTGAACGACCCGAGATATTCGAGTCGGTTTCCAAACTGGGCTTCGGCCGGAGCCTTGTGCTTGCCAATAAGTCACCTTCACCCGCCGACCACGTCCGCAAAGGGCGCATCGTCGACCCCGAGTACATGGACCTCGGGATCCTCAAACACTGGAAGAGCCACTGCCTGACCTCCCACGGCACCAGGTGCCAGAATCCGATGAGGATCTGGCCCACCTGCGCGGCTTGGCTTGTGGACGTCAAGCAGAAGTGCGTTGTACGAGGCGACGACCCTACCGTCAGCTCCTCGCCCTTTGTGGCGCTTAGCTACCGCCGGGAAACCGAGCCCGGCGCCGGCGTCATGCCCGAGTCCATGCTGGGCCTACAGCGGCCTGGCATACTTGACGAAGAAGGGGCTAGCGGCTGGGTATCTCCCCTAGTCAGACACGCCATGTACCTCACCGCAGTCCTTGGTGAGCGCTACCTATGGGTCGACACCCTCTGCATAGTCCACGGCGATGGCACCACCGCCGAGCAGCTAGGTCTGATGGGTGCCATCTACGCTAGCGCCATGGTGGTCATCGTCGCCGCTGATGGCGATGCGCAGGACGGGATTGCGGGACTGAAGGGAATTCCCGAATCACTGCCGCGGAAATCCCAGCAGTGCCTCATACCGTTTGGGGATGACGAAACTATCGTCGCGCGGACCAACTCGCCGTTCTCGCTAATCCACGGTGGACCGTACTACGAGCGTGGCTGGACATTCCAGGAGCACAAGATGGCGAGCCGCAAATTATTCCTCAAGGACGGCCTGGCACACTGGGAGTGCCAGCACAGCCTTTGGCACGAGGATCTTGTTCGGGGAGTAGAGCTCGACAAATACATCGAGCCACGGCTCCGCGAGGTCCTGGCTGGATTCCCCATGCTCAGCAGCCTGAGCAACATAATCGGCAACTATAACGATCTGGAGCTCCGCTACGAGGAGGACGCGCTGCCTGGGATCATGGGCCTTTTGTCAGTGCTCAGCCGGTCGTTCACTGGTGGGTTCTTGTGTGGCATCCCGGAGACCTTTTTCGACCGGGCCCTTGGATGGCGGCCATTTTGGCCCCACACTGTCCTGACGCGACGAAAACCCTCAGACCGGCCTAGCCACTTGAAGTTTGCGTCGGGGTTGCCCTCTTGGTCATGGGTCGGGTGGAAGGGACTCGTTACACTGGGGGACGAAGCGTCCCGGATCAATCACAGGTCGCCATCCATCAGCGAGACACTGCCGATCACACATTGGTACACAGGAGAGTCTCCCACAACTGCTCCTCACGACCGTCGGGAAATACGGTCATCATGGTATGAGCAGAGAAGCGGCTGGAAGAAAAGCGCGGCAGATGTCGCCTCGCCACTACCAGCAGGCTGGACCCGTCGCGAGGTCAAGCCTGGAAGCACTTCGACGTTCAGGGACGAACCGCTCCTATGGCCAGAAGAGTGCGAAGGATACGTGTACAAACACAAGAACTTGCCTGATGAGGACTACGGTCCCACGGACACGTTCTTCTACCCCTTCCCAGTCCCTGACATCACGGAGGCAACTCCGCCTGACATGCCTGAGCAGACGAAGTATCTGTTCTGCACGACTTTGACAGCTCGCCTTTGGACCCGTGGGGAGAAGGTTGTCGATCGCAGGGTTATAGATACTGATTCAAGCCTTTGCATAAGTATACACGATGCGTCCGGCGACGCGGTCGGAGAGCTCCAGCTACATGATCACGATCAGCTGAAGCGGCTTGAAGACGCATCGGTAAGCACTGAGCTGGGTGTGCAGGTCGAGATTGTGGCGATCAATCGCGTGCGGACATGGGGGAATACTTTCATCGAGGAAGAGCAACGACGGGGTCTCCCTCAGTGGACTCGAGATGAATATACTGTCCTGTGGATAGAGAGGACGGGATCGGTCGCTTATCGCAATGCCGTGGGGTCGATCGAGAAGTCCAAGTGGGAGCGACTTGATCTCGAACAGGTGGAATTAGTTATGGGATAGTTTCTAAAGGGATTCAAGGGACAAGGATTTTGATTTTGATTTTGATTTTCTGATGTGAAATGAGTATTATGGCGTCCGTAGCTCTCAACCTCCAGTGGAGCAGTGCTACAGAAGATTCGTCCTCGGCTGATGACCAGGAGCCAGAACGGCTTCCTGGATATTGAGGCCTTAAGCCATTCCGTACTGTCCACTCCCTTGCATGGAGGGCTTTGTCGATGGAATTTAGGAGCCGCCCCTGTTCCATGCTCATGACGTATTTACGAGGTTGAACAAGAGGGGCCAGTCTTTGAAAAGCAATACATATTAGAGAGTACTATATTTTCCAGTGCCTTTATATACATCTCTGCGAGTCTGTCTCTTCAATAAGAAAATGCCAAAGGGAAAAGCATAATCTAGACGTGAGTGTAACTACTAAGTAGATCTATACTAGTAATGCTCCCCGAGCCAGACAAAAACTTAGTCGCTGTATGCTGTTCAAAGCTTGCGTGTCATCTGTACGATAATTACTGTGCAGAACTGTTTTACTTGCGGTCTAGGATTTCTTCTAGAGAACAGCGTCTGTTTGATTTGCTCACTAGGTACCAACGCAAGTCCAAATCTGTCAAGCAAAAGGGGGTCCCCACAGTGGTCTGATACTGTGCACACGTGTCGAACGACCAACGAAAACTCTGATAGGTCAGCAACGAATAAGCTACCTGGTCCTCCGCGGGAGTCCCCCGCTATGGATCAAATCAAGCGACTGGCCAATAGTGATGGGCACTGGATATCGTCCGACTTGCCTCTTCTGGTGCATCCTTCGACGCAAACACATGCAAGACACTGACCAACAGGTATGCATGTGGCTTAGCGTGCTCAAAATCCGAATACTGGGGACCCGAACACGAATACGCCCCACCCTTGCCTCGTCATGATTGACATCAGTCCGTAGTTTCTATAACTCCCTTCTGTTGTCTGCGCATTGGTCTCTCTTTTTTTTTTTTTTTCTCTTGAAAGGTCAGCCAATGCGGCCGAATCATTTGAGGTCAATTGGTCATCCACAATGGGCTCAAAAACCCTCGCCTTCGATTTCCCTGGAACGGTACCGCTGAGGACGGCCTCGTGGCCGTGGCTCGCTGCTTACGGGCTGCTGCTAGTCATTGCGATCCATGTTCTACGCCAACAACTCCCTCGAAATAAGTCTGAACCTCCTGTTATCTTTCACTGGATTCCATTTGTCGGAAATGCGATCTCTTACGGAACCGACCCTTGCAAATTCTACAAGCAATGTCGGAAACAGGTGTGTTGTGTGCTCTCTAGAGCGGGTGCAGATGCTGACCGGTGCTCCGCGACTTACAGCATGGAGATATCTTCACTTTCATATTATTTGGGAAGAAGATGACGGTATATCTCGGCCTCGAAGGCAACGAATTCATCCTCAACGGCAAGCTCGAAAACCTCAATGCCGAGGAGGTGTACTCCCCGCTCACCACCCCTGTCTTCGGTCGGGACATCATCTACGACTGCCCAAATGCGAAGCTCATGGAGCAGAAGAAGTTTGTGAAGTTTGGACTTACACAGCATGCACTGGAGACATATGTTCCGTTGATTGAAAACGAGGTGAACGGATTCCTCAAAGCTTCTCCCGCTTTCAAAGGTCGCTCAGGAACATTCGACGTCCCGTCCGCGATGGCTGAGATTACCATCTTTACCGCGAGCCGAACCCTGCAGGGAGCAGATGTACGAAAAAAGTTGTCAGGGGAGTTCGCAGAGCTGTACAATGAGCTTGATCTTGGTTTCAGGCCCATCAACTTTATCTTGCCATGGGCGCCACTGCCACACAACAAACGACGAGACGCTGCACGCATTCAAATGGAGTCTGTCTACAAGGATATCATCAACGAACGCCGAAGGTCAGGTCAAAGTGTCGAGGACAAGGAGGCCGACATGATGTGGCACCTGATGAGCTGCTCCTACAAGAACGGACAGCCAGTTCCCGACGAGGAGATCGCCGGCATGATGATCACGCTTCTTATGGCAGGCCAGCATTCGTCCTCTTCCAGCAGCTCATGGATCATGCTCCGCCTGGCCTCGCGGCCCGACATCGTGGAGGAGCTGTACCAGGAGCAGGTGCGAAATCTCGGCTACGACGGCACCCAGCCCTTCCAGTATTCCGATATCGACAAGCTTCCGTTGCTCCAGAACGTCATCAAGGAGACGCTGCGGGTCCACGGCTCCATCCACTCCATCATGCGAAAGGTTATGAAGCCATTACCGATCCCAAAGACAGACTACGTTATCACTCCCGACCATGTCATGGTTGCCTCCCCCATCGTGACACATCTGAGCGACGAGTTCTTCCCGAAGGCAGGAGACTGGAACCCTCGCCGCTGGGAGAGTCGAGTGGAGGAGGCTGCAGACGAAGGCACTGTGGACTACGGGTACGGAGAGGTCAGCAAGGGAGTCAAGAGCCCGTACCTGCCTTTCGGGGTCGGCCGCCACCGATGCATCGGCGAGAAGTTCGCCTACGTCAACCTGTGCACCATCATTGGCACCTTGGTCCGGAACTTCAAGTTCAACACGCTCGACGGCAAATCTCATGTCCCGCCAACGGATTACGCGTCCCTTTTCTCCAGGCCAGAGGCTCCTGCGGTTATTCGCTGGGAGCGACGGTTCCCCTAAGTCTTCCGGGTTGCTGATTGCTCAGTCCACAGCTGGAAGTCATGTCACGGTTTAATACAGTGCAAGATTCGGAATTGTAGATAGATCATAATCCTGATAGATAGAGCTTGCCACTCGATAGATCTCTGCTAATATAATGTTCTGACGCTATCTTCCACCCACGTACTGAGACATCTCTAGTAATCTAACCGTATCGATCTTCCCCCGAACCCCTCACCCTCTCTCTCATCGCCGCCAGCAGCTCCGCTTCCATTTGGTCTACGTTCACGCCCTGTTGCTTAAGAGCTTCCGCCACCTCGTGTGTTTTTCTCTTCCTCTGCCTTTCCCATATATACCAGGCTGCAACCACGCACATCGTCAAAGGAACCACTACCACCCAGTAGAGCCAGAATCTTGGCGACACTGCTGACGACAAGTCTGCCGAATCGTGAAAGTCGAAGAAGGTGGTAGACAGAATGGACTTTTGAGCAATCATGAGTGCTTAGCGTCAGGTCTATCAGTGTGCCACGAGCAGCAAATGAAGATTACTCACTGCTACGTAAGCTCCGGGCAGGAATATTGCTCCAAGTAGGGACAAGGCCTTCATCGCGGTTGAGTCATTTTTGCTGGCGTAAGCAAGCGCTCGTTGTTCTCCAGCGAGTCTCACGGTGAGCCGGTTCTCCTGCCTCGCAATGAGATTAACCAACTGTGTCTGCATGTCAGCTGGGCGAGTCTCTTCTCAAGGACAAGGTTGGACTGACTGCATCTTGCTGCATGCTTAGCCGCATCAGGGTCTTATCCATATAGATGCTGAGGCTCTCAAAACGCTGTTCAAGGAAATCCACTCTAGACCCAAACCTCTGGTGCGTCTCAGCCACATCCTTGGTGTTTGAAACTTCAGGGCCCAGTCTTCTCAAGCAGGCACGGAATGACTGAAGTATGCGGATATAGTCCTTTGGAGCTTTCCACAGCACCTGAGCGTGACACTCAACGATGTCCCGGCGGAGGAGCTCAGTATGGAGCTCAGCCAGATGAAGGCTATCATCTGTTGGATGTTCCAACTCCTGTCCGAGCTGGTTTTCTATGCTCCGCACCCAGGCCCTAGCTGTTCGCTGCCTGAGCTCGGTGCCTGCCATACACTCCATTTCGAAGATTATGAGCGGTATCAGCAGCGGGTGATAAGTATTATCAGCGCATTGCTTAAGAGAGTCCAGCACATCTGCCATCTTTGACGAGCCGGTCCCTTTGTAGAAACCCGTTGTCATGTTCTCTTCGAAATCATGGCTGAGGATCAGCTCCCAGCCGCGAGTCCTGCGCATTTTCTCAACGTCGGCCTTTCTGAAGATAATATCTGGAGATTTTTAGCTGAGCGTCTTTGTATTCTTCCTGTTATTTCGGAGTGTCACCTAGGCGTTTCTTTCCATTCCTCTGGACGAATTCCCACCAGAACAGGGGCCCAACACCTGCAGTCAATTCCAAAGCATTTGTTGGCAATTTCAACTTTTTTATCATGGATTCGTAGTGCAGAGGCGGCAAGCTGATCGTGTCGGGACGGAAAGTGTCAGGGTGTTTCGCATTGACTTGGAGGCTGAAGATGTAGTCAGCGATTTATCACCTCCATAATCCGGCTAGAACACGGTCCTAAGCCCGTCTGCACTACCATAATTTGACTTTGGCTGCCATCTTGACATCAGCTCTCAATGTTGGAGGGCGATAGACTTCCTGGGACTTTTTTAAGCATTGTTTCAAATCTCAACATCTTGCATGACGTCCACGGCTGACTCACCATTTCAAAGCCGTCTATGAAATTTTGGAATTCATCCAGAGGGAGGGGCTCTTGCTCTACCGTATTGCAATCATTATCCTGTTTCCGCACCATTGTTAGATACAAATTTATGTACAAACAACATACGTGCATGTGAGCATACAGTGTATAACAGCATCTTCAGGTAGCTTGTTTCCTCGGAAACTGTTTTACAACGTTGAAGCTGTCGTGTGAACATATGTTGCTCCATCACTATGTAGTCTGATGAGGATATTGAATATGTACGCGTAGCGTTCAACAAGCCGCCTTCGAGAATTCTGACTAATATCACAACTTGAGGCAGAGCGAAATGGAAGAGTGAGTTGTGAACCTGAGTCCTCGTTGCGTCTCGTGAAAACCTTTCGGTGATCCGCAGCGTAAGCGCTATCCCGGATTTGGAAGCAACACATGCACGTGCTTCACTGGCAATGTGACCTTGGGAGTTTATAAGCATCCTCGAGTGACATATCCCACGTTGAGTTGGCCTGATAGACAGCAAAAGAATTAAAAGTAGCAAGTAGATCATACTCAGTACAGAAGGGAACGGGGGAAAAGCATTTTTAGATCTCAATCATCGTCCTCTCTTGCATCTCCCAAGCCATCACCCATGATGACGAGTATATATTGCCCATCAAGCTGGGGAACATTTTCGACATTGATGATATTTGTGGACCAGTTGAGTCTCTGCTTCTCCAGCGCCGAGAATTTCTCTGTTGAGCTGGCACTAAGTGCACGCCTAGCAACAACTAGCTGCTGTGGCTTTCGATCCGGTGCCTTTGCGGCAAGCATGTCTGGGTTGACTAGATAAGGGCATTGTATTAGCTAAATATCTTGATGGAGAGTAACATCAACTGGAAAGAGCTTGTTTTCTTACATGGAAAGCTTACGGCGGCTGATAAGCCACTTGATGCTATTGCTGTTGTATTGACAGTCCAGGAAAAGGAATCTGTGGTGCCAGCATTAATTAAAATCTTCGTCTGGTGCTAGGATTTAACCGCGAGCAGTACTCACTGAGGGGTATTGTATTCTCTGGTAAAGCAGCCTGATCAACTCCATTGGGAATATCAACATTCATGTTGAAGGGTGTTGTTGCAGCCACACTGAACCGCAGGCCATCCACAAATTCTGCCTCTTGAATGCCAGGGCCGCCGGTGATGTTGACTGTCCGTGTGGCACCCTGTCCGTATTGTACGAATATGTTGGAGTTGTCCACGGACTTACGTCCCAGCAGCATGTATTCGCCGTCTAAAGATGTCATCTTGATAATACGGGTCTTGTTTTCCGACCTACACGATGAAGATTAGATACAACACAACAAACGGAAATGTTTTATTGTGAACTTGGTACGCAAGAGGACAGCACATACACATGAACGTTTCTTTGCGCCTCTGAGACGATCCATGCCTTGCCGTCGGGTGCCAGTTTGCCGACGAAAGTATTGGAAACATCGAAGCCTTCCTGCTGTAGGGCAACCGGGTCGTAGGGCAACTCAATCTTGGCAATGAGATCTTGGGCCGTCTCGTTCATCTTGATGACCCAGCTATACCTCGAAAGATTGGTGAAGCCTTCTCCCGAGGACCCTTTGACGAAGTTCCCAGGAAGCGGTGAGGTATTATTGGTCACGACGAGTGTACGGTTGGTGGGGAGAACAAATCAAGAGCGAGGCCGTCCGTGAAGTCCTGGTCTGTTCGAGCCATCTGTTATTCGAGGGGGTCAGTATTACTGTCATACACGCAGTGCCATTTCTAAAGGGACATCAGGAGCGGTGTATCACTACTACATAGACTGACCTGGCCGAGAACTTGGATAGTATCCCCGAAATTTGCCAAGGGGTCATCTTGACCAAGCGCGAATGGAACAGAGACCCCTAGAGTAAGGCAGAATACGAGCCAGATACGACGCAGTGGCGGAGCAGCCATGAAATTTACTGGAGAAAGAGACACGGTCTGAAATTTAATTTCAAAGGCTTCTTCTTCCAATGCTGATCGTATCAACCATTTTGCTTACATCGGGCCGGACCTCATATTTAATGATCTCTTGAGCAAGTAAGAGTCACTCCTTTACGGCCTAGTCGCCCATCACCAGACAGACGATGGCTTCGTTTTCCGCGCGCACGAGCCCATGCAGTCTCTCAAGTGCGCCAGGCTGAGGCGTGCCAGGGAGAGAGACCAACTGCAGGGACGGTTTGACATTTGTGGTTTCACCCACAAGGATGATGGTGTGCACGGACTTGCTGACTTCTTGACAGGTCCTTCAAGCTGGTGAACATCGGTCCGGGATCTGATGGGTTGAGTCTGGGGAAGTGATGTCCCCACGACAATCCTAGTGGATGGAACAGCAAATTGCCGACTTAGTCGCCTGAAGTTTCTAAAGATAGGTTTTTATCCAGGGTCGAGGTGCAGCTCGGATCACGGAAGACTGATTTGCTACGGACAGAAATGGGCCGTGCAGATCTCAAGTAGCTTGGAAACAATCTTGGAAAAGCTTAGGTCAACTTGACACGCCTGGCTCCCGGGAACCTGGCCCCGCCAGGTTGCTGATAACAAGGGATCCTAGTGTCTGCATGTCATGTAAGTCGTAGGACACTGCACCCGTGCGGCAGAGAGGAGAGAGTGCAAGAAGCCAAATTACTTCGTCGATGCTATCCTTGACTTTGTTTCTTTCCGAATCTCTTAGACCAAAATTTGGATTCCTCTGGGGACTGCCACACCCACTAGGCCCTGTCGATTCCTCTACATTTGGGCACCAGTCAGGCAGACCACCATCATTCATCAATCCCGTGGTTGTCCAGAGAGGATGAAGCCACATACTCGAAGAAAGGGCCCGCCCCCTTCTCTTGATCTCAGAGATTCCCAGAACGAAGTCATCGAACAGTTCGATCGACTGACACCAACGTCACGGACACCAACGTCACGGACACCAACCTTACGACGTACACCTACACCAGTCCGAGCAACTGCGACACCTATCCAGATAGTACCAGTAGGAACACCAACCTCCACGAGCTTCACAGCCTCCACAAGCCCGACGCGTGCAACAACAGTCACTATCAAGAGGTGCGTAATTTTTTGGAAGCGTGGGTAGTGTAGACTTCGCTAATCAGCCCACGTGCTCCTCCAGTTCACTCACGGGATCAACCAGTCCAACTGTGACGGCGACAGCTTTCATCAGTTCCCAAGCCCCAACACAAACAGTCACAGTCACAGCAGACTTGGAGTCGTTGACCTTGTCCAGAGGCAGTTCAACATCCACCATCACAGCGACAGGCACAACCGCCGCCACTAAAGCAGCACAAGGCGGTATCGTGCTCTCATCCGCGGCCGTCGGGGTTCTTGCGGGCTTTGGGGCTCTGGCAGCTGTCTCGGTTGCCATAGCTCTCGGAATTGTTCTGTTGAAGCGGCGGAGGAGGTTACAAACGAAACAAGAAACATAGATGCCAATACGAGGGCTACGTAAGCTTATAATTAGACTTTAGATCTAGACGCGTGTACTCATCAAGTCAATACCTGATTTAATCGCCATTCTAGCAAGTCTTTCATCGAGCACTTCTTGTGGTGCCTCGTCAGAAAGGAAAAAAGCATGAACGCCTGGGGGCAAAAGTACGCGTATCCGTGTCTTGCTGCGGGCGGGCGGCCGACCAATTGACTGAACAGGTTCGTGTGGGCCCGAATTAGAATGAAACATGTTCGGGCTCTTGTCAGTAGCGCGGATCTTTCAGAAACTTAAGTTTAGCTTCTAGACTACCAGTCAGTGTGGTCAGGGAGAGTGTTCATCCTCAAACAGCAGCTAGCTCAACGCCTCGGCGCAACGCGGCCACATCTCGTATTTACGAGCACCCCGAGGACATGATGATCTTCCCAGCTTAGCCACTTCAGCTGTTCAGGCCTTCCAAGCTTCAAGCTACTAGTATATGGAACTAGTCGTATTGGGTTTCACATGCCACTCGGGTTGTCTTGATGAAACGGGAAAGGAACAGCAGTGAAGGGGTGTAGGGCCTCAGCAGAAGAGATGAAGCCGTGTTTTATACGAAGTTCTAATTATATCGTGCCTCTGAAATGTACTGCTTCATCTTGGGCAACGGCGTGTAAATCCCATCGTCCGCGAGACTGACCTTGACCTTAAGCCAGTCCAGGTCAGCGTCAGTGTCCCCGACGGCAAACCTACGTTTATCGTCCTGCTACCACCGGAGTAGTATTTCCTACCTCAATCATGAACACACCCGAAGAAGTGCCCATCGACCGCCGGCGGTTCACGACCCTCGAAGGGTGGCGCGAAGTTGGCCGCGGTGTGTTCGTACCGGCAGGATCAACCATCTCGTCCGTTGCGTTCAAGTCGAACCGGAATTCACGATTTGATCCAGAATGGGGCCGATTCGATGACAATGATTCCATCAAGACAAGAATCTCCAAGGCTGAAGAGCAAAGACGGACCTTTTCCCAGTCCCCAAGCAACATTAGGAGATTCTCCTCGCGGTCTCTTGCCAATCCCTTCATCTCTCCAGAGGAACTTGAAGCGGATGCGGAGGCAGAACGACCAACTGCTGATTCTGGCACACATGACGGTGTCCTCGATGTAGAGCAACAGCCACGATCGGAACAGCCGTTCCATATTTTCAACAGAAGGCAAAAGTGGTTCGTAGTTATCATCATCGGTGTTGCTGGCCTCTTCTCAGGACTGTCTTCAAACATATACTTTCCATCTTTGGACGCGATCGCCAGGGTACAGTGCCATTGAATTCCGTGAGCTATCATGTATCTTGGTCTAGCTGATATGGTTTTCAGGACCTGCGCGTCAGTCTTGCTGAGGTCAACTTAACCATTACCTCCTACCTCGTCATCCAGGGCATCTCGCCGCTTTTCTGGGGTCCATTGTCGGATACCATAGGACGAAGACCGATCTACATCGCCTCCTTTTCGGTCTACATCATTGCCAATATTATCCTTAGCTTCTCGCCAAATTTTCCTGTTCTTTTGATTGCCCGAGGTCTACAGTCCGCAGGAAGCGCATCAACTGTCAGCATCGGTACGTGTTCACTACCGAAGATGAACCTGATTGTCATGGCTGATTCCGATCGTGGGTAATAGGCAACGGGGTGATTCAGGATATTGCCACACCTTTGGAACGAGGGAGCTTCATCAGCTTCTACCAGGCTAGTGAGTTCTGTCCCCAACTGTCGATACTACCGCCCCTTGGATATAACCTAGGTAATTGACTTTTGCAGTCCGAAATTTTAGCATTGCCATAGGCCCAGTCCTAGGAGGACTCCTGGCCAACTTCCTTGGATTTCGGTGGGACACTTGCAACAAACCAGTACTACTTTGCATGGAAAGGTGACACTGACAGTGAAATCTTGGCAGATCCATCTTCATCTTCCTCACCATCCTCTCCAGCCTCGTCCTTATCTTGCTGCTTATCTACCTCCCCGAGACCCTCCGCCGAATCGCCGGCAACGGCACGTTGAGACTCTCAGGCGTTTATCAGCCATTTATCCGCAGGCTGATCAGAGAGCCGGACTATATGGAAGACCCAGGAGAAAAGCCAGAAGTGCCAAAGGTCACTTTCAAGACATTTGCAGCTCCCGTAAAGCTGCTTGTGGAGAAAGACATCATAGCCCTGTTGGTCTCGGGAGGCATGGTCTATACAATATGGAGTATGGTAGTGGCAAGCACGACAGGTATTTTCCAGGACCGATTCGGGTTGAACGAGTTGATGCTGGGTTTGGCTTTCTTGCCTAATGGTGAGTAGGAAACACCTCGTGAACGCGAGAGTCGTGGGTCCACACCACGCCATGCCAACTAGCACACTGACATGCATCACCACGCAGGCTTCGGTACCATCGTGGGCTCCTCCGTTGCCGGAAAGCTGATGACCCGAGAGTTTGTCCGCTATGAACAGCGGTATCTCGCAACTCATCCGGACGCCGTGCCTCCATCAAAATCAAGGAAGGCATTCGCCCCCGACTTTCCCATGTACGTTCCCGTCTGGCACGACTCCGACCACTCCACTCTGCTGAAGCCCATTTTCCTCAACTTCGCACCAGGGCTGTGGCTTCAGTGGTACTTACCCAGACTCTTCAACAGTGAGCACGCCCGACTTCGCTATATGCCCTGGATCACCCTCATATTTGTGGTTTCAACCGCCATCTACGGATTCACAGTCCTGCCCACCGACCTGCTACCACCGCAGGCCGCCAGCCCAGCCTGGGTCGTCCTTCCGCTTTCCCTCCAATTCCTCATAGCCGCAACTTCTAATGCCGTGTTCGCAATTAATACCACACTTGTGTCTGACCTTTGCCCGGGCAAGGGAGCGAGTTCCACGGCCATTAACAACCTGGTGCGATGCAGCATGGCAGCCGTCGGTGTTGGTTTGATAGAGTCAATGCTTGCACTTGTGGGCCGCGCTGGGACATTTGTGGCGCTGGCGCTGCTTGTGTTGTGCATGTCGGCAATATACGCGATGGAATGGTATTGGGGGATGCAATGGAGGCAAGAGAGAGAAATGAAGAAGAATATAGAGAAAATGTAGACATAGAATAGAGGCGGTGATTATATTTAGAATATAGATCTGCACACCGACGGCATCACCGCCATCGTATTGTCTTTCCCCAAGGTACCTAGGTATCTTGGTTCTTGCCAATATTCTCTAGGACTCGACCTTTTCTGCCTCAACAGCATTCTCTTGGCTCACATTCACGTCTCTCTTTCCTGTCTCCCGAGCGCTTGGCACATCTCTAACGTGCATCCCTTCCAAGACGTGGTTAGGAACCACTGCACCCTCCTCCCTGTGGTCGTAGTTCGTATCCTTGATATGATAAATGCCAAGGTAGTAAAAGCTGCAAATGCCGATGGCATAAAACAACAGTATGCCCCCTGCCTCGGCAATGAACGGGATCTTGATGGAGTCAAGGCCGAAACAGATGGCTTCGCCCGCACCAAGAACTCCACGAAACACGCCAACATAATGCGTGAGCTTTTGGGGAGAGTTTGTGATCGCGCCAATCCAGTAATAGACGATGTTATGCCAGAGTTGCTAAGATCACCACGTCAGCTCCTGACATGATGACAGTGCAAGTACTGCCGGCCACAGTGAGCGGGGGCACTTACAGAAAATACCCAATTGAGCATAAACAGAATGAATATCCAGCCAAATCTCGGCTCATCCCAGTCAGTCGGATCAGTAGGCGACGAGTTTCTATCATAGTTTCGAGTTCGGATCTGAACTTAAGTGAGCACAAGCGTGATGGCAGCTGGAATAAAGTAGAGAAACAAAATTAGTGGTCCTTACCATCTCCCACACCCAGGCAGCCACCAAAGGAACAGAAACAGTTGTCAAGCCAATGAGTCCACGCTTTCGCCTGCCCCAGGTCTCATGGTCTAGAATCGATCGCAACGCCCATCCAGCCGGGATTTGAAGACAGACAGCAACGAATGACAGTAATGAGCGCGTTCTGAGGTTGTTCAAATGGGCTAGACCAGGCCAGGTCAGAAAATCAGACACGCGTCGCGCATTAGATGTTACTCACCATTAACCGAGCCACTGTACACCAAGAAGCCCTCAGATGGAAAGAAAGCGGGCACCATGATCAGCAGCACGGGATCCGTGAAAATCATCAGGTTCGACTTCAGCTCCGCCCAGGCACCCCGGGGAGGATGGACTGCAACCACGGACCCATCATCGCGCCTCAGGCCCTGCGGGCGGAGCAGCAGCAGGCCACAGAGCCCACCGATGATCATAATCACGATGAAGGCTATGTAGACCGACCGGGGGACGCCCGCGACCGTGGCGGAGTTCCTGTTGATAATGACAGGGATGATGCCGCCAATCACAGACCCCAGCGCTTGCATGTTCATCAGCATGGTAGCAAAGGAGCCCTTGTCGCGCTCCTCGGGGTACGCAGTCGAGATATACCCGGCCGTGATGAACACCATGCCAGCACCGATACCAATAATTGGCCCTGCTGCATAGGGATATCCCTTGAGGCCCGTCTCGTCATAGTACCACAGCGAGCCGACGTACACGACGTACGTCTGGACGCCGATGCACATGGTCACGCCGGGCCCGAGCTTGTTCAGGATGCTGCCACCGAACGAGGACGAGAAGAACCACACGGAGCAGAGGGTGGCGTTGACGACCTGGACGACCTGCGCTGAGTCGGGCCTCCCGCCGCCGGCGCCCAGCAGGTTCAGTGCGATGTACATGCCCGCGGATGCGCCGACGCAGACGCCGCTGATTATGTTCTGGACCCAGGGGCTGCGGTACCGCAGTTGTGGGAGATTGAACAGGCCCATGGTGACCGTGGGCTGAGGGCTTACCAAGAAGAGGTAACTAGGAAAGGGTGAGACAAAGCAAGACGAATGTCGAGGAAGAGAAAACAAGACGCGTTTGAAGAAGCATTATCAGTGGTTATAAAGGTGTCACCTATAGAATATCCTTTCCTGGCAAGGTGACCGTAAGCCGGTCAATATGCATTACAAGTGTATACTGGAATTGTCTCTAACGGGGGGGGGAGAATCTGTACGCAGGATAGGAATCTGTTGTTATTAGCCCGAGATAAGCTTCTCAAGGTTAGTGCACATTTCTCCAAATTCTAGTGATGCCTAATCGGCGGCACATCTGGGCAGCAGCATGCTTGGACTCTTTTCGATGAGATTGCTGGTCGCTGAATCCTTGGTTGTCCTACAACAATGCAAGTCAAGGCGGGCGAAATGGGGTTACAGGCGATCTCACTTCATATTTGATAGCCGTGTCCTATCCAGAGGGTGGATCATATCACAATACACCCAGGTAACTCATATCCTCTATGGTGCTAAGCGTTCTACTGTCTTAGTAAATAAATTCTCATAAAGGTAGCGCTTTAGGCGAGGGCGGCAATTCTTTTGGATGAAGGTAACACTTCTTGTGGGGGCGTTCCGGGGTGAGCATAAAGCGGAGAGTCCTGCGTCTTACTGGTCTCCTCGGTCTTCCAGTATCAATATCGCGGATTACTTCCCTGCGAACGTGCATGATGGGGTAGCAGCGGTTCTAATTTGGCCCCTCAATTGGCTATCAGCGTAGTACGATCGGCTCTGTGATCTTGGCAATGCTGTGTGACGCTGATCCATGATAGAGTCAAGGGGAAATCTTGGACAGCTCATAAACTTGCTAAAGTCTCAAACTACGTGGTGCAAACACATGTCAGCCCCTCATCTCTTTTGTTCGCGCTGGAGGTAATTCGGAATCATGGCGCCCAAGCTGACCGACGAGGAGAAGTACCCGGAGCTGTTCCAGCCTGATGCCAATATCGATCGACGAACATGCCGACGTACTATGCCGATGGAGGTCCTAGGCCTGGGGCTCTCTAGAACTGGAACCACATGTGAGTCTCCTAGAGTACAGTTTTACTCTTTGGTAATTGAAGGCTCACTATCGCAGCGCTGCGGCACGCCCTGATGATCTTAGGGCACACCGAGGTGTACCACGGTTTTCGGCAGTTCAACAATCTCAGCGAGTGTGCCTTTTGGATCGAAGGCTTTAAGGCCAAATATGATCCAGCACCGGGTCAGAAACCATTCGGTCGTGAGGAATTCGACCAGCTCCTTGGGCATTGTTCAGCCGCTTGTGACACACCTACCAACGCTTTTGGGCCCGAGCTGGTTGCCGCGTACCCAGGTAAGTGTATCTGGCAAGATACCGCGCTCAAGTCGCAGAAGCTTGTCTGCATACCTCGTAAAATGTGACTAACTTCTATTGAATAGATGCGAAGGTCATCTTGGTGGACAGAGACATCTCAAGCTGGATGAGAAGTTTCGACGAGACCATCATCGAGTGGTTCTTTGAAAACAAAGTTCTCCGGGCCCTCTCAATCCTGAGAGCACCTCAAGTCGCGGAAATCGATGATGTGATGCTGGTATGGCTCAAGTACGTCTTCAAGTGTCGCAACAGGCAAGAGTTCCGGGCGAATGCACGAGCCGTGTACCTCGACCACTACAAGACAATGCGGGAGGTAACGCCTCCAGAGAGGTTGCTTAACTTCAGACTCGACCAAGGTTGGGGGCCGTTGTGTGAGTTCCTGGGAAAGCCAGTGCCGGATGTTCCCTTCCCGCACTGTAACGACACGCAGGCGTACCATGAGCAGCTTGAGGTTGTGGTAAGGAGGGCAGCTCGCCGGATGCTGCAGAATGCAGCGCCGTATATTGTCGGGACACTCGCCATGATTGCAGCAATTTTGATCAAATACAGGGGATTCCGTACGAGAAGATTGAGTTAATGATATTATAAATTTATATTGTCTATCTAAGCATATATCTTTATTAAAAGACTCTCATTTCTCACTATATGTATTTAAGTTGTTGAAGTAAAATAGTAAATGAAATACAGCAAGAGAAAAGTTAAAGGGAAGAAGGGAACTACTTCTGCAGGTTTCTGATGAGTGATATTTTCGCCTACCTTATTAGTTGCCCCTCTCAATCTTGCTCCATCACGGAGATGGTGCACTGCAATCGACACACTAGTATAGCCACAGTGACCAAAAATTCAGAATTATCCGGGACTTTTCTGGAAAATACAGCGTAACCTATATAGCCGTGCCGTCACAGTCACTGTGGTTATATCTTCCTTCCTGGATGAAAGTCTGTGCACATTGTGGTTGTGCCTTCCTTGAGATCTACAATCTAGATTCTTTCAGGCATGTAGGTAAACTCTGCATAAGCATCATCTAGTTGTGAATTCCATGAAAACAACAATTGACCTTCTCTTTGAGACAACGCATGCCCCTGGGCTATGCCTTTGGGAGTGCCGTAGGTTTGGGTCCTCGGCATCCAAGGGGCACCCCCTGTTCTGCAGGTCCACAGTCCTCACAGACTATAGAGAGCCTGTCTTTTCTGGACTCAGGGTGATCATTCCGAGGACCTGCCTTCGCCGAACGTCCATGACCAGTCGTGATCAACTGTCCAGTTCCAGGTGTACAGACAACAGACGCGAACCTCCCGCAGAAATCTTCATCGTCAATGGGCGTAGCTCCCGATGCTCGTATAGGTTTGTCACTAACACCTATAATGGGCAGTCAGTACCTGAAAATCAATCACAGAATAAACATATGCAGACTTGCCTTTCTTGATGAAATCTTTGATAAACGTGTGCGAAATTTGCGTCCATTCCTCTCCATCGGGTGTTCCATCGTCCCTGTAACGCGTCTGCTTGAGGAAAGGGACACCTGCTGACATGTTCTCGTCGTCCAATGGGTAGGGGTCGTCCTTGCCTTTACCACTCGTGTTCCAGACTAGTTCAACTGATCCATTGAACCCGTGCTTGTACGCCCACCATTCGCCAGCCTCGCCTTCATCGTTGTATCGATTTGGTCCGGAGAATTTGGGAGGGGTAATCACCTGGACAAATCCGGTCCAAAACCCAGTAAGTACGTGGAAGCACTCATGCGCAAGAGTTGCCGCTAGCTGGAAAACACAGCGCTCATAATGTATCTCGTAGTTTTTGGTGAACTTTCCCATCTCCTGGTAACTTCTGCGATACTCCTGGAGGTCAAACTCAGCCGCAGCAACCACCGTTGAATCATTGCTCTTTTGAGCCTCCAGAACGTCCCCCTCAAGCCTTTCCAGCTTAGATTGCCACTGTTGGGTATGTGACCTCTTGTACTCTGCCATGCGTATCTTAAGCGCGCACATTCTTTCGAAAAGCTATGAAATGCAGTTAGCACTCTAAAATCAAGCTCAATGTGGTGTTTGAACCTGCCTCGGAGTGTATCGAGATGCGAGCCGCTGATGCCGGGTCATATTGGTTGATATTGGTCCCCCAAATGAACCTGGTAGTCTCTCCGTAAGATGAGCAGAGGGAGGGGGAGATATACACGTCAGGAAAAACGGTACTCAAGTGGTCGAGCCACTTGCTGATGGTATCGTGCATTTCGGGACCATAGACCTTCAGGTCTCCGGCTGTACTCTTTTTGTACCCATCTTCCCTTTCCATGAAGTCCACGATGCCAATACTGTAAGTGACCATTGCATCCCGAGTCCGGGTTCGGCCGAGAACACGCATCGCGGCGTTTAGACTTGCGCGCATCTCAAGGTGCTCTAACGATCCTTGCGGGACTTGGATAGAGTCTTCACGTGAATCAGCACTTCCTCGGAATACTCTCAGAGCGTCGGACTGGACAGCATAACGGTCGTATAGCGAGTCATTGCTGCTTCCCGAGGAATCAGACCCGCTACTGATAACCCTCTTTGTGGAGTTCGGGGAAGTTGTCGACGTCGGCGAGTGGGAGCTTTGAGGACGTCCTGGGGCGGCCTGGTTGGTGGCATCGTGTATTGTGTCCTCATGTTGCTTGTCTGCATCGTGTTGCTTGTCCCTGTCGTGCTTCTTCGTAGCATTGGGCTTCTCAGTATCGTTGTTGTTCTCCGAGTCATCCATCGTATGTGTGGGAATAAGCCCAAGAGCGTAGTAGAAGTGAAGTAGCAAAGATTGGCGAAGGGCTTGCGATAGGATACTCAGAGTTGACAGTTGTGGATGCACACCCAAGGAATTGGATAGACAGGGAACGCATGCACCTGTTTCAATTTGGTCATGATCAAGAAGAGGGTTTGAGGTAGAGCTGTAGAAATTTTGAAATGATCGTGTGGGTTCCTTGAAACTTCACTTCTAGCTTCACTGGTCTCTATTCACCCAACTGACATCTATAAAGCGGTTACAGTATATGTATACCTCCGTATATCACCACTCCATTGAATGACCTCGAGGTGAATGACCTCGAGGTGCACAACTAAGATGCAATACTCTCAAGTCAGTCTTGGAGAGCTGACTACTCTCATCCTCACAGAGTTATCCCATAGGAGGTTATCTCATAGAAGATTCTCTCGTATGAGGTTATCCTATAGGAGATCAGGGCACACTCTGAAGACTTAGACCTTAAGGCGTTGGTCACGTCAACAGTGGGACTTAGTAGACCACTCACTAAAGGCACGTAGTCCATAGTCCTATAGGAGATTATCCAATGGGAGGTTATCCTACGGGAGGTTATCCCACGGGAGGTTATCCAAGGGGTTAGCCTTCATCACCCAGCCTGTAGTCCTCGGCCTTCATGGCTGCAGTGGAGGATGTGCTGCGGGCAAGGCGTTCTCCAGTATCAAGCGGTTGTAAGCACACTTTAAATAACATGGGAACGTTCATTAAATTGACTTCGTGATGCGGCAGTATTATATAGTAATACCCTACTGGGTCTGGTCAATGTGCTTCTTTATGCACCTAACTTACTAAACAGCACTGCAATGATTATAAGGGACGCTGTAAACTGTATGGTATGGGTGTATAGGTTGCTTGGTTGCTAATTATGCTTAAAGGGCAGTGCCTTTAATATTTTAGGCTATAACGCTGCTTATGTAAGCAGCTGCTTATCCGCTATTTATGGATTTATATTATTTCCTTCCTTAAATAAATTATTTTTAATTTTATTATATAATTTATATTTTTTAATAAAGAAGAGTGGGATGTATGTTTAATGTTTGGTTTATGCTTTTATTAAATAATTGTTCTTTTTTATTATTATAATAAATGGCAAGGTGGCGTAGTGGTAATGCACCTTTATTTGTTTTAGTGGTTTGCTTTTTAATTTAACTGTTTTTATAAAGATTTATTAAAAGAATAATAGCCTTTAAAGGATGGCTTTTTAAATAGGGGAATCTTAAGTTTAACTTTTAATTTAGTTAATTTCTTTTTTTATTTTTTTTTTTAGTTAATTAGGTAAAAAAGGCATGATTTGCTTGAAAATAAGGTATTTAGTTGAATTAATGAAATATTAATAGGTAATTAATAATAATTGGCAAGTTATTACTTTTTATTTTTGCTTAAGTTGCATTAATTAAGCGATTTAGTTATGGTTATGCTAAAGCATTGTTTTATTAACATATTATAAGCTTTTAATGGGGTAATTATTTATAATATATGCTAGGAAAAGGTTTATATTATTATATATATTTTTAAGTATAATGTTGTTAAGGCTGTGAAAAGTATAAGTATTATTAATATAATAAGTAGTAATAACTTAGGGATTATTATAATAAGGCTTATGCTTATGAGTATATTAATGTATTTGCAAAACTTAGTTATTAAGAGTAAATATGCATAATAATGCCTTATTTTTTTAAAGAAATGCTTAAATTTAATTATAAAAAGCTTTTAATCTTATAATATGGTTTTATATTAATAAAGCCTTATATTCCTTAATTAATTGCTTTATAAAGTTATTATCCTCTTGCTTTATAAGTTTTTATATATAAGTAATATAGGGTTTGTATTTTAAAAGTAGTAATATATTAAGGAAAAGGAAATAAGGGCTATATTTGCTTAACTTTAAGATTTAATTATATAGCATAATTACTTGCTATATTAAAGCTTAAATATCTTAATTTAAGTTAGCTAGCTATTTTTATAAGATTATATATTTTAAGTTTTTATTAACCTTCTTAACTTTATTATTATCTTTTAATTTAATTAGCGTAATTAAGCATAGCTTTAATTTATGTTAATAATGCTAAGCTAGGGCAGCTTTATTAATAAAGTAATTAGTATTATTAAAAATTTATTTATTAAGTATGCTAAAGATATTAATAATCTTGTTTAGCAATGAAAAAGTGCTTTTAAATTGTTAATTTAATGTAACCTTTGCCTTAACTTATTTAATAATGTATTTAATAGCTATTAAGATTAATATGCCATTAATTAATGTAAAGTTAATAGCTTATTTTATTAATAAAGTTAATAACGTAATAAGGTTAAGGTTAGGTAATGTTAAGTTGGATATTTTTATTAGCTAATATTATATATACTTAATAATGATTTGCTAAATAGTGAAAGTAATCTTAGGGTGTTAATATTCCTTTAGTGCTTTTTAAAGGGTATTGCTAATTGTTAAATAATTATATGCTAAATATAGCTTCTTTATAATTATAAACAAGTTATTATACTTTAAAATTAATAAGAAGAATATTGCCTTTAAAGCAATGCTAGCATTATAAGAAGGATTATTAAGTTATTATTTATATATATAAATTCTATATAATTATCCTTAAATAATTATAAAGTGCTTTTTTATTTATTTTAAGTTAATAGCAAAGGGGAAATTAATTTCTTCTTAAAGATATTTAAAGATTGCTTATAAATTTACTTAGTTAAGCTTATAAGGGTATTAAATTTGCTTAGGTAGGTTCCTTTTCTTTTTTTGCTTAAAAATAAATAAAGTAAATTTAAAGATTATATTTTTAAGTGGCTTAAAAAGGTAATTAATAAGAATATTAATTTTATTAATATAATATATAATATAAATGCCATAATGCTTAATAGCATTAAGGAAATATATAATCCTTAGTAATTAATTAGCCTTTATGTTAAGGATTTTAAGGAACTTATAATTTATAAAAATAATAATCTTTATGCCTTAAATTTAATAAAATTAATATTAAAGTATTAATAATATGCTAAGAAGTTTTTACTTTTAAGCAAAGTATTAAGTTTATATATTTATTAACTTTTTTAAAAAGTATAAAATTAGGTATAAAATAAACTTAATTTTATATAAATATAGCTAAAAGAGGGCAATGCTTACAAAGCCTTAATTAGCATTTATCTTTATTATAAAAAGAAGTTATTAATTAAAAGTTTTAATAATTAAAAAAATAATAATAGCATTATAAATATCTTATTATTATTATTATGCTATCTTTAATAAGGTAATTAGCTAACTTTTAAAACCATTAATATAATTAATTAAAGCGCCGGTCTTTTTAAAGTATGCTTATATTAAGTTTTAAAGATACTTAACGGCATTAATAAAGCTTTAAACTTTTATGGTTGTAATTAGCATAGGCTAATTATAAATAACTGCAATCTTTATTAAGTTTATTATAACGTTTTCTTTTAAGATAAGGAAGCTTAAAAATATACCCTTATAAATAAAGAAAGAAGTTTTTTAAGTATTAAGAATAAGATTATAATGATATAATTGCTAAAAAACTATAAATAGATATTTATATAATTATGGCATAAAATTTACTTATATAGCAATATTATTTAAAAAGCTGTATATAATATTTTAAAGATTTTAAAAAACTTCCTTAATAAGAGCTTAAAAGATAATTAAAGCATTATATAAGCTAAATAGCATTATTAATTATTTATATAAGCTAAAGAAAGTAATAAATATTATCTTCTTAATATTTATATAATAAATATTAATACATTAAAAGCTATTCTTTAAATTAATAAAAGTATAATATTTATAACTTATTATATGCTAAATTTAATTTATTGCGTTAAGCATAAGATATGCATATTTTTTAATATGCTTATTAAGCTTTTAATAGTTATAATAAAAATGCTAAATTATTTATTATAATTTAAGTGCATTTTAGCTTAAAAGAATAGGTTTCTTTAAGATTAAATATAAGGCTAATGCTTAAAGGCTTTTGCTTTTCCTAATTAATATTCCTTTATATGCTTTAATAAAGTTATAAATAACTTATTTTTATGCTAAATTAAATTATTAAGGGGGTTAATAAAATGGTAAATTATTGCTAATATTAATATAATGCTTAGTTTTTGCTAAAAGGTTTATTTAATGCTTTTTTAAGTTAAATAATTTAAGGAACTTAATATAATATTCCTTAAGGTAGCGCTAAATTTAAGGGTTATTTATAGGAGTATTTAAGTATTATTTAAAAGCAGAAGGTTAAGTATTTATAGCTAGGAAGGCCATTTCTTTTATTAAATATATTAAGTATTAATAAATAAATAGGATTAGTTTTAATTAATAAGGAAATGTAAATAAGTAAATAATATTTTATAAAGTATAATAAATTATTTATTAATAAAAGATTATTTTCCTAAGCGTTAGCTTTGCTAAAAAGGTATTATTAAGAATAACTTTATAAGAAATAATAAATTAATTTATAAGGTTAATCTTTATAATAAAATGGATTATTATAAGAATGTTTTTAATAATGCAAGGGTTTTTGCTTTTAATACCTTTTATATAAGTAGGGTAAGAAGAATTATATAAGGTAAGCTATGCTATTAAAGATTTAGAATAATAATAAATAATAGAATTATAATTAAAAAAGGTATTAAATTTATAGCTATTAAAAAGGTTAGCTTAGAAAATATTATAAGGGATATTAATATCTTTATAAGCTAATTTATTATAAGTAAATAGCAGTTAATTATTAGCACTTACTTTTATAAAGTAAGTACCTTAGCTGTTTTAATCCTTATAATTTAATTTATTAAAAATATTATTAAGCAGCTTATTAATATTATTATTATTATTAAATTAAGCAGCTAAGTTGTAATGCTCCTTATCCTTATTATTTAAATCTTAATTAATAATGTAAATATAGGTGTTTTTATAGCTAAATAAAAGC